GAAGCATGACTTGATTTGCGATTATGTGTCAGTGTTAAGTCTAACCCATTTACTTCTTCAGCCACAAAAGGCTTTGCCTCTGTGCTTGCTTTCCGTGTTAGGATTCTTTTCGTTTTTGGGCCATGCCATGTACAAATTCTATTGAAGTGGCCAAAAGGGACCATTCCATCTCCTGCCTTGCCTTATTCAGGGTAGGCAAGCTTTTTGTGGGTGAGAGTTGACAGATGCCGCTCTCAAACTGTATTTTATACGAGAGATATTGGGGAAAGGGGATTCATTCAAACAAACACAGAACTTAAGGTGCATACAAGAATAACTGCTCTTAGTCACTTGAACACAACACCTCACTTTGGGACGAAAAACTCATTTAGTAAATGAGAAATGTTACAAGTTATCTACAGTGTGTAGATAAGTTAGACAAGATGCAGAACCAATCGTGCAATATTTTTTCAAGGTTAAGAAAAAGTGAAAAAGAGAATTTCATTTCAGCAACTGGATCTATTTGAAGAGAGTCTATGGGAATTTTGGAAGAGAAAAAAAGGTCACTGTTTTCATAAAGCAGATGAAGAAAAACAACAAAGGAAATGAGAGAATTAAACAGCTAAAATTGACAGCAATGACTTGAATAAAAGGGAGTTATGAGCTATTATTGTGAGTGGGATGGCTACTCTTTGTCCTCGTGGGCCTTTGGGAGGTGGTTGCTTGTCGGTTTTCGGTTGCTCTCTATCCTCAGCACTTTGGTTGGATTTCAATTCTGTTCAATTCTAGGCCAAGAAAAAAAAGTCCCACTGACACCCTCAGAAATGAGGGATTTTGATCCGTGATCGAACAAAGAAGAACCCAATTGAAAACCTACAATCCCAAGGTCACAGTCTTGGTGATTGAAGATGGAAAGAGACGGAATATATGCCATAAAATGATGAAAGATTGATATGAGTAGATTTACATAGGGCAAAAAAATTGTGCGTCAATTGAAAAGGAGCATATGTCCATTTTGGGAGGCCCCCAAGCAATAGGGTAGGCTCATTATAGATCAGTGGACCACAAAAACAAACAAGTGGGTTTCCTTCTCCATTCTTACATCATCTGATTTGGACTCCTCTCTCCCTCACTTATTGACAAATTGCTAATTAGGTTCCTCAAAAGTCTCTCTCTCAACCCGTTTGGCTGCAGAAGGAGCCTGTTCATAAAGGGTCCCTTTTCTTTTTGGACAGTATTTCTCTCCTCCATCGTCCATGTAAATAGGAACTCGTAGATTCATGCCAATAAATAATAGTTTTTTTTTAATTTTTAAATTTAGGTTTTTAGTGAATTATTTTTGCATACACACACATATCTTCTTTCAGAAAAGGAGACGAGCAATATCCTTTCTTGGATGCATATACATACAAACATCAAAGTTCAAAGTTTGTTAACACGATCTAGCATGTGGGAAAATTTTAACGTATTGAAACAGCCAAAGAAGCATGGCCATTCAACCTGAAACCAAGCTATACTGATCCCCAAGTTGAAAATCTTCCAATATGTGGGGGAAATATTATTACTTTTGGAAATATATTTTTGCTATATAATTGATGAGCAACAAGAACCCACCAAAAAACTAGAGATAAAAGACCATGGATCTTAATCACAGATTAGACTCTACTGTACATAATGCAGAAGAAAAGAAACCAAACTGTACTTCATGGCCTGTTATGTCAAAAGTAGATAACATTATTGGTTCATTGTCCCACTTTTAAATTAGTATTTGGTAGGCCTCAAGACTGAAACAAATGAACCAAATGGAAGAAGAATCCTTAAACTAAAAGTCTAAGTTTAACAATACACCAAATGCCTTTTCAGCTCAACACAGAGATTGGCAATCTACCTATTTTCAGGTTGATGGGTTCTAAGACCAAACAAACAAACATAATCAAACAATTAATGTCATAGATGTTGGTTGATTGTATGACCAGCCAATTGAGAAAGGGTCTAAATTGAGATTGATTGGATATCCAGCTAAACTTTACCTTATTTTTCAGTATCCTACAGCCTAGAAGAAACTAGGACATGCATGGAGGCAATGACAATAAATTTAGAATGCATTTGAATTGGAGCAAATCCAAGTTAGAATATTTTAGTACGCATTTGTTATACACCACTTGATTCACACAAGTTGCTAGACTTCGTTCAAATTCAATGACTTGTATTACTATTGGTGTAAAATAATCAAAGATACCAATTTGCGATATGAAAGTTTACTTTGAAAGGTGAGAAGAGCAAAATTTGGTGAAGTTACATTCCCCACACGTTACTCGTTTATCCTAATTTTCCCCATATAAGGCATCTCATCAATCATTTCAACGGCCAATTTCAAGTGAGTTTGTGTTAATGTTGTTGCTTTCAGCCGTAACCACATTGACTACTACTTTGTTGGCTTTTTGAAAAAATGGAAAACAGCTTCTCAGTTCCTTGTGAACTTGAAAACCGTAGGCTGAAATGTTGATGGAAAAGTATAGCATGAGAAGAAACAATTAGGAGATGATTTTGGAAGGGAAGCCTCAGATTGTCATTCAATAATGCAATGCATCTGCATAAAAAGAAAAGTACTTCATTTTGTACTCCAAGTTTTGTGGGGGTAGGGTTGCGAGATTTGCATGCTATGCTTTCCAGTTGAAAATCTGATGGGATCGATTAGGACCGCCAATGTCCTGAAACTTCGAGCTTTTGTGAAACTATGTTTAGTCAAAAATAACGGTCTAGAAAAGCTAATTGCCCTCAATATGGAGCATTAGTTAGGACCACCAATCCATTGAACACATAGATGATTTGTAATAACTGATTACATGCAATGATATTGCAGAGAAGTTATGACTTGTAGAAAACTAATACAAGTGGTAAAAGAAAAAGAAAAGAAATGAAATAATGGTTGTATGGTCAATTTCATCGCCCATCCTTTTCAATGGTTCAATAATTGTTAAGGAGAGGTGCAAAATGAAGGAAGTCTAATGAGCTCTCATTAAGGATGACGAAATTTCCATTAAAGAATGAAGCTAAAGAGCACATACATAAGACCATTAAAAAAAAGACTAGATCAACTTGGAGAAACAGTAAATTGCAGTGTCATTACAGAAAGGAAAAAAATTATGCCTTCATTTTATAATAAAAGTGGTAAAAGTTGAGGAGTTGCTCTCAGAAGAAACTAAGTGGCATTTGGGAGCAGCATTATGAGAGGTGTTTGTTTCTTTGTCAAACAGTCAAAGTTATAAGCAACAGAGTGAAGTGAAGATGTCAGCCAAGCCATGGTTCATGGCGCTTGCGTCTCCCCAAAAGGAGTAAACAATGTAAGAAGACCCCATCAGTGTGTGTCAGGCTTTTGTAATGCTAAAGATTCTTGAAACTGGGGTAGGAGGGAGGGAGGGAGGAAGTCTTGATTTGTCATGATGGTGGGGGCTTTGATTTGTTGTTAGAGGCTTTTATACTTTTTACTTGAACAACTTCTTCTGCCACTTTTTCTGATTTTGATAGCATGAGATTCCAAACGACTCTTGATGTGTTTCATCATCATTTTATTTATTTATATGGTGTATTTACTTACTTGTGAAAATTCTGGTGGTGGAGGTTGGAGAAAATGATGGCTGACATAATATTTTCAGTATAAACACCATGAAAGCTGACATAAAGCTGGTTAATATGATTAAGGAAAGCCCCCAATGACAGAAACTGTCATGCAACGGGGATACCACTTTTTGCTATCTCCGGCTAATAACACAATGATATATGAGATAATTTTTCACGTTTCATTGTGTTATTAGCTGAGAATAGCGAAACAGTGCTATCCCCGTTACAAGAAAGCTTTTTTCCCCTTGAGATGAAATGCCATGACCACTTTCAAGTAAAAGATGGAGTAACAAATTAAAGTGCTTGAATTCCAGTGATCTTAGATGGTTCTTTCAATTAGTTGATCAATTGGTGTGATTGATGTGCTTGAATCGCAGCAAATCAAGGAAATGAGGAGTGAGATAAAGAAAAAGTTCATTGCACTTGTTAAAGCCCACCCATAGAAAATTGCTCACTTGTATTCTCAAGTACAAACCACCCCCCGTTGGTGTATGATCAATATGTGGGAACAAGGAGGTGATGGGTAGAGGGTAAGACACATAATAGTGAACAAATAGCTGCTTTTGAAGAGACAAAGAAAAAGAAATTTAAAAAGCATGTGCAAAGCAAACGAAAATAAATCAGGAAGGAAATAATTTTTGGTTTGTTTTATTATTGGCTTGTAGGAGATTTGACCTTCTTTCAACTATGAGAAGAGAAATACCACCAAGTCAATACTTAGTTGGTAGATAACAAAAATGTATGCAACACAAGAAAGAAAGAAAAACATTTACACCCACCTTTTTTTAAGTTACAATGAAATCACTTGTTTTTTTTTTTTTTTCCCTTTCCAATCCATATGATAGGAAAATTCAATATTTATGGGAACTATCTTCCTAACCTATCATGTAAGAAATGTTAAATATTATTTAAAGTAATTTTAGCAATATATTTAAAAGCTAAAGATAGTTTGGTATTTAAGGCACTACCATTACCATAGAGTAAAATGTAAGGTTGGAAATGTTGGTAGAGAGAAATAAAATCCCATAACCAAAATGGATATGTTGGAAAATGTTCTGTTTTTGGCTTTTGAGCCTTAAATGACAAAATTACTAGAGGTACATTTATTTAATTATTATTAATATTTTTTGGAATATCAACTCAAATTGACTATGCATTAAAAAAACAAAAATAAAAACAAAAACAAAAACAAAATGACTTTTATCTATTTATTATTCACTTTTGTTTTTGCTTGTGTCTCTTCCCTTCATTAAGCAGAGAATCTAGGATACATGGATTTTCTGTTCCTCAGTAAAAGAATAGAAAGCGAGAGAGAGAATCGGGTGTTTTTTACTTTTTGGATTTTCATCTTCTTTCTATCGGATTTTATCCGTTTACTTTGAAGAGAGAGTTGTATTTGTATGTGCGTTTTGTCACGATCATTGGATGCACGTGGAAGCCCAGAAGGTAAATTCCTTTTCAACTTCTAGTGAAGTTTTTATTATAATCAGTAAATGGATTTTAGAGTTGTAATGTGATGATACTATAAATATATTATATTATAATTTCGTGTTGATACCCATCTTCCACCTTCGTCAGTTTCTTACTTCTCTGCCACCACCTCTCTCTTTCTTCCTCCTCCTCCTTCTTCTTCTTTTTCTTCCTTTTCTTCTCTGTAAGCATCTGTTTCTTCTTTCCTTGTTCTTATTATGCCTTGCACTGCTGTTTGTTGCAGTTTCAATAATCTTAGATTGCATGGCATTATGTATTTCTTTTATGTTAATAATCTTTGTGTTTTCTAAGTTGCTTGCTGTAATGGGATGTTGAGTTTTTTTTTTTTTTTTTGTGTGGTATGGTTTTGCTGTTTCATTTTAGTAGCTTTATGGGTTTGTTCCCTTTGATCTTCAGATTACGATCATCATACACTTTGGTTTTATCGCAGTGTTGAACTCAATTAAGACTCCAAGCGCACAGTGATTGTTTTTTAGTAATTATGTATGATAAGCCCTGATGTTATATGAAATTCATCCGAATTATGAATTGTGTGGACTGTAAATGGTAAAGATTTTAAATCCCCTTAGGTAATTCAATGCCCATGAGCTGCAAGTGGACGGCTATATCATGTTTACTCTTCTGACCAATAATTGAAAACTTTCTGTTGCCCAGATGGTTGTTATATAGTTTTGCCTGCTCTTCCCCTTTGGCTAAAAACTTAAAGGTAACATTGCGTTTATTCTTTTTATTCTGTCTAAATTTTGATCCTTTTCTCGTCGGAATAGTGCTGTTAAACTTGTTCGAAGCATGGCTCTTTCCGGAGGTCACAAAGATAGAGAGTTGAGAGTTCATGAAAGTTTGGATGAGCTTAGCACTGATTTGGCAGACTACATTGCTGAACTATCAGAGGCATCAGTGAAGGAGCGGGGTGTCTTTGCAATTGCTTTATCTGGTGGTTCTCTCATTGGCTTAATGGGGTATCCATGCTTTCCTTTCCACATCTGGTTTCTCTGTTTTATGTTTTTTTGTGTTAATGTGTAATTTTTGGTGGAAAAACAGGAAACTCTGCGAAGCTCCTTATAACAAGACTGTAGACTGGGCCAAATGGTATATATTTTGGGCTGACGAGCGTGTTGTGGCAAAAAACCATGCTGATAGCAATTACAAGCTTGCAAAGGATCGCCTTTTGTCTAAGGTTTGTATGGCTATTCTTCTGTCTTTTTTACTTTCCCAGCCTATTGTAGGCTGTATTTTGATCTTGAAGTAACTGAGTTGAAGGAAAGAACCTTGCTTTCAACTTGATGCTTTCTTATTTCCAATCTTTCTCTCCTTCAAAAAACCAAATGATGGGATGAACCTTGAAGCAGTTTTTCCTACTTTACTCTCTAACCCTGTTCACATTCCATCCTTATTTGGGTCCGTTCTGTTTGCTCAATTATGCTACTTTATGTGTGTCAACTCCTTACACACTGATGAGCTGCGCTGTGATGTAGTACCCAACAATTGTGAACTGTATCTAAACTGCTTATCAAACTTATCCAGTCAAGTTTCTTGTATAACGAGACTCTCTATCTGTTGCTGATTTCTGTAGTTTCACTAAATCTCCATATCACTATTGGAACTACGCCATGTATTGCAGCCATCTTCTGGTGCAGCTATTCAAGTTTGTCTGGTCATTTATTGCATCTTAAACACCAATCTATTTCATAGCTACTACAGTAACCTTCCTCTTAATGGAACTGTTCGGTAAGATGGATGTTTATCTGTTTTTAAAGGCTTGAAACGTATGTATTTAACTGATCCTAAATAGCTTTAACTGTGCTTTACTTGGGGTTGAATGCAGATTTCTTTTTCGCCCTTCTGCCTATTTAGGACGTATCGTGATAGATCTTTCACCTTTCTTCTCATGCTCTTGACATTTCAAGCTTGAAGCTTGTTACCACTGCATTAGTCTTTGTTGCCCAAGACAAAGCCATCTTGGGTTACTTTTCGTCACCTTGTACTGGATCGCTACCGTCTAATGATCCCAATCTAAGGAAATGATATATGATGAAAATAAGATTATTTGTTCAGTATCTAGGCTGAATTAGTAGAGAAGCTTGAAAGATTGTAAAAGGAAAGCCTTTTGCAAAGAGTTTTGATGGTGCAGAGGCACTACTGTTGATAGAGTGCAACTTCTGAACCGTATGACAATTTATATCATTTTGCCTTACTTTAGTCATGATGTGATGCATTCTACCATTGTCATTAATGAATCTTGCTGTTTTAAATGGGATTACACATTTTATCTCTCACTTAAGGAAGGGAAGAGGAATCACCTCTATATTTTTAATACAAACTTCTCTAGTTGAATTTCACTAGGAAGTCTGTAATAGAGGCAGTTTGTTGGCTTGCATTTTCTAAAATGGAATATATTACATACAGTAAGTAGTTAATCTAGTATCATGTTATAGTTAATCAAGCTATATAAGTTGCACCCCTTTTTATTATTCTGTGGCCATCATCTGCGTACTGATGTGCATTTTAGCTGATTGCTGAAAGCCATCAGGACTATATTGCTAGTTTTGTGCACATAATATCCTTTATTATTAGAGAACAGATGAACTCAAACTTATTACAATCCGGATCGTGTATTACTATATTGGAACTAAAAAGTAATGAAGTTTGCCTTTTTCTTTCATTGAAAAGCTTTTAGTTGTGAATGGTGGCTAGATCATTGCAGTGTTTATTTTGATTTTGGTAAATTTTGGTCGTCCATCTTTATGCTGATGCTCATTTTCATATCGTGTTTGCAGGTACCTATAATTCCCAGTCATGTGCATTCTATTAATGACACAGTGTCAGCAGAGGAGGCTGCTGATGATTATGAGTTTGTCATTCGTCAGTTGGTGAAATCTCGTGTGATCAGCGTGTCTGATATAAGTGACTGCCCCAAATTTGATCTCATCCTCCTGGGAATGGGGCCTGATGGCCATGTTGCCTCACTATTCCCTAACCACTCGGCGCTTGAGGAGAAAGATGAATGGGTAACTTTTATAACTGATTCCCCCAAGCCTCCACCTGAGCGAATCACATTCACTTTGCCCGTCATCAACTCGGCATCCAATGTAGCTATAGTCGCAACCGGTGACAGCAAAGCAGAGGCTGTGCACCTGGCAGTCGATGACGTGGGATCTGACTCCCCATCAGTGCCGGCAGGGGTTGCCCAGCCACTGAAAGGGAAGTTGGTGTGGTTTTTGGATAAGGCAGCTGCCTCAAAACTCGAGGGTTCCCAATTTTCTGCATAGGGTCGAAATCTCATCATGTCCAAGTGTATGTTTGTATGTAGTGGAGGGATTCAACACCTGTGATTCTATTTCGTTTTCGTTAGCCACCTTTTGTTCAAGCTTTTGTGCTAATCTCCCCATTTTGCCTTGCCTTCCTCTCTAGTTTAGTGGGGTTTGGAGAAGTGTGATTACTATCCTTTTGTAAGAAGAGGTCAATAAAGTTGGGGTCTTTAATGCAAAAGCCATTTCTGGTTCTATTTGCTTATAGGAATGGCTCAAGGTCGATGGATGATGTTCTCATTGGTAAACCAACCCATGGACATTTTGAAGAGTAGCCTATTGATATTCAGCAAAGGTCTTGTTTTTTGGCCCCCTGGTGCTCTGTAATTTTCTCTTCTTTCGGTTCTCAAATTTTGGTCAATATCTACATACAAATGGACCATTGAGGGCATTATTTATATTAATTAAAAAGCGAAGGCCCCACCCAAATGATGATTATATTGTTCTTTATTTGCTCTCGAGCTCTTAAACATAAGATCTTGAACATCTCAGAGAGGAGTTAGACAAGATCAAATGTTTTTCTGATATTATATTATATTTTGTTTATTTAAAAAAAAACTTGAAAGTTGACATAATTTGCATTCTTTTTCCTTGAGGACCGTTGGGTCAGTCTAGCAAAATTGGGTATACGAGTGGGTTACCACAACTTCTGAGTTTGTGCTAATTGTTTGTCTTACGAAATGATAATCTCTGGATGGAATATTGATCTGTCCCTCTCATCAAAAACAAATCTGGTTTATATAAAATCCCTCACACTGTTGGTTCAGTTTTTAGCATGACTTGAGCTGCATATCTCAACAATCTGGACCACACATTTTAAAGAATCCTGCTTAATTCTTTTATTTTCATTTGTTTTTTGATAATACAAAGCTGCTTAACCCTACTCTTCTCCACCTACCCCTCAACTACACATAATTAATTAATGAAAACTACTTAACATCTCCAATCTTTTTCTGAATAAAGTGACATAGGGAAGCGTGTGGAATGCACACTCTACTTGGATAAGATTAGGATGATATAAAATGTTCCCAGTCTCCATAAAATATTTCACTTCTGTGACTAAAAAAAAAGAAAAAAAAAGCCATTGAAAAGGGCCTGGACAGTTTTAATTAATTTTATAAATGCTACATGACTACATTAGTTCACTCTGCAAGAAAAGTAAACCTTTTGGCCCTGTGTAATCTTGAGGTCTACAAACAACACAATAAAATTCTATTTATCAATGGAAACTGCAAACTGCAAACACAACCTGGATTTTAACTTACACTCTCTAGTGTGCGATATTCCATTTCTGTTAGAGACCTTATACCATCTGGATCAGGAACCACTTCTTCCGTATCCTCTTTAGGAGGGAAGCCGCGTTCTCGCCCGAGCAACCATTGATCTATGACCCCGCAATCAATTGCATACTTGATTGTGTGCTCCAAATATTCTTTATCAGTAATAAGATGTGGTTGAACTGTCAACATTCTCATGAGAGCTGAAAAGAAGTCACGAAAAAAAAAACACTTGGGAAAACCGGAAATTTGTCTAAAATGATATAATTAGTGCCTTCTTTAAACACTAGGAACTCATAAAATTGGGAGATATACATTTAAGATTATAGAAGTGATGCTATATCTTAATGACAAGAATATGATTATAGGCATCAATGAATTTCTGCATAATGCTATCCACTAAGAAGAGAAAACGACAGGTTCTTTAGTTCAATTACTGTGTGCAACGGAAACTTAACAGGACTTCCCCTAAACCAATAGCTGGAATCTAAATCTTACAAAACAGCACTTATTTAAAGAATAAGCCTGCCAGGGACTAGAGGCTTGTATCTACATTTCTTGACTGAGCCACCACTATCCCCAGAAAGAGAATAACTATAATGGACCACTACAGGCTTCTCCTAAGCACTAGAGGCACAATAAATGGTTCTTATTTAGGAGTTCTGGCAGTTGTCACCCAAATGCAGGGCCAAGCAGGCCCTACTCTCATGGTGAAAGCACTAGTAGATATAATCATTAGAAAAAATAAAAAATCAATAGATATGCAGATCACAAGAGTGTACCCGCCACAATGCCATCTCCAGATGCTGACATATCAGAAGTGAAAGGAGTAATAGGGGGATCCTCCATCCCATTAATAGCACCATGGTGCTCCTTTGTGTAGTAGTGAATCTTAGAAGTCCCATTTGTCACAAACAAAACCTTAAGATTTTCATGCCAAAGCGGTGCAACCACTTCTGGTGTATGATGGACAAATTTTGATCTGTCATTATTTTTGGTGTCAAATTCCTCAGAGGGCTGGATCCCACAAATAAACTCAAGCTCTTGCTTGGTAACCTCAATAATATCAGCAAGGTTCCACACTTGCTGTATGAACAACTTTGTTTCTTCGCAAGAATGCCATAGCGGTAATGGAAGGTTTACATCATAGAAAATAACTCCTCCTAATTTCTTCGAAATCTTGATTGCTTGCAGTGTAGTTGATCTCATATTTTGATCAAGCATAGAATGCGTGCTGAAGTAAAACATCTTTGCCTGCACCATAGGTTGTTAAAAGCTATCCATGACTTCTCTAATCATAGAAGTAAATAATGAATCTAATGTTTACACACTCAGTGAAATAAATTTAGATAATGTCTAATGGGTTTTGTTTTAAATTCAATGATGATTAAATCAAAACAAACTGATTAAATGGGACTGAAAGCTTTTACCTCCTTTAGCACATCAATGTTGATCTCTGACTTTGATAAAGAATCCTCGGCACAGGGTTTGACACAAGTCAATCTCAAGCGAGCCCTTTTACCAATCTTCATCTGTGATACTGCAGTTGCCCTTTTACTATCAACTCGAACAGAACGAGTTTGAACATTGTTGACATTCATATAATATAGCATGGCCTGACCATATTCATCATCCCCAAGTTTTCCCATGAAAGCAACCTTGCCACCCAAGCTTGCAAGAGCAATTGCAACACTGCCTGCAGATCCCCCAGGAGACCTAATAAATTTTTCAGGAGCCCATAATGCGTCTTTCTTTCTTTCATGTATTTCATAGTCTATAAGTCTGTTGGCTGGCCTTCCTGAGGGCACAAAAGCATGTTGTGCAGCCCCAAAGCAACAAACAAGAGGAGGCCAATCATAAGTATAGCTAATATCCTCTCCCTCATCTATTTCCAATTCTATGTCTTCTGTATTCTCATCCTTCATATCCACAATGAACGTAAACTCCTCAGGCTCACTAAGTTCAGCTTCACTAACCTGCTCCTCAACATCATCTTTCTTCTTAGTTTTTCTCCTCCGTACCTTCTTCTCAGTTTGTTCTTCCTCCGTGCTTGTAGACGCAGATGCAGCTAGATAAATTAAATTGCAGGTTTAGCACATACAAGATAGATTTTTAAGTAACAAGACCTAAAAGAGCAATAAGGAGGACTACCTTTCCTACGAGTTCTTCCACGCGGTTTCTTGGTATCTTCACTAGATGCAGAAATGATGCTTTCCTCACTTGAAGCATCTGTTTCGGCTATTGTTTTCTTTCGAGTTCGTTTTGGAGTCCTAGATGTCTTTTTCTTCACAACAACCTCATCTTCGTTGGATGCCTCCACAGCTGAGTTCTCTGAGTTTATCTTTTTAGGGACAGCAGCAAGGCCCCGCTTTTTACTATGTAATCTAAGACCCTGAAGCTGCACAAAGTTCAGTGAGGGGCTACTGGGCCAATCCAAATGGCACCTGCAAATATTAATAAACAAGTTGACTATCACAACCATTACCATTCATTTGGTAATTGAGCTGAAGGAAGTGTAAGAAAAAAAAAATCTTTGACCAAGACTATGAAGTGCAATTAATAATTGTAGGGTTTTAGAGGTTTAAGAAAATTCAAGTTTTTTCATGGCTTTTATCTTAAAATCCATCAAGAAAACTCTACAATTATCCAAACCCAGAAAAGGTTTCTCATTTTTTCATTTCTGCTCAGTTGGGATATCCATTTGAATTAAGGAGCAAAGGAACCGCATGGTTTTAAATGAAAAGACTGGATTTTCAACAGAGAGATAGAGAGAGAGAAAGAGAACCTGGGTAAGAGGAGAAAGTGAGTGAAAGAAAGAGATGCCATCGACAGAGCTACCAAGAGCTCAACTTCTTCGTTGCCCAAGTAATTCCAATTTCCAACTATTGGGTGTTGCTAGTATTAAGCCATGAGAGAAGCGATAAGTGTACGGGTTTGAAGGGTTGCAAACTTGGAAGTGTCTTCACTGTCAGTAAACAACTCCGAAGAGCTTAGCGGGAGAGGAAATAGGTAAATAGGATGAGAACTTTGCACGTGCGTAGGGCGTGCAGGTAAGAACGCCAAACGGCGCCGTATCGTTCCTAATAATTAGGCTCGAGGCATCTTTGGACCCTTTTGTTCTCCAACTTGTCCTATTGCTTCCATGTCTGAATATCTGTTTAACGTTGGATCGCAGTTGATTTAAGGAACTGTATTTAACTTAAATCCTCTTTTACCAACACACATAATAAACACACGGAAAACCATGAAAAACAAAACGCCTCCCACAAACAAAAGACCTTTCAAAAAAAAAAAAAAAAAAAAAAAAAAAAAAAAAAAACTATCATCTATAAGAAATTAAGAATCTGGTATTTGTTTCGTTAGCAAAGTTTTACAAGATAGCTTGACAAATTACAAGGATTTGATGGAAACAAACACATTTTTCTCTCCTAATTTTCACTTGGGAGCAGTGGAACTAGTCATTCTGTTTCAAAACCTCTGCTTCAGCCCTTGCCATGGGGTCATCCTTCATCTCGATTTCCTCTTCTTTCTCCCCCTCTCGCTCCTCTGTCTTCTTTTTCCTGTGTAACTCTTCCGCAGCCTGCATGGCAGCCCGGTTCTCGGCCTGCATACGCTGCATTTCCTCTTCTTGTTGCTGCCTCTCAAACCATGTGTCTGCATCTGCCCAGACTGTAACAAGAACAGAAGTTATTAAGCATCCATCATTAAATTTCAAGCTTGAATGCAAATGCAGCTTACCTTCAAAGAAAGAAGGATTTTAAGTCATTCTAGTTCAGTGCAAGATCAAGTGAACTTTTGCTCAAAGATGTTATTCAACTGTTTCTAATTCAACCTTATCTATCTTTTTCTATCAACCTCAACTATATACACTTAAGGGTTGCATTCTTCTGTTGTTGCCTAATTTTCATAACTTCAACGGAAGTTACTTCTAGGCCATTAACGTACAAATTTCCTTTACTAACCATAACCAATAATAGTAGGAAATTCCCAGAGCTTATCAACGACTCTAAGAAGAAACACCTAAGCCTATTTGACTGCATCATACCCAAACTGAATCCTAAAACCCTAAACCCCCAAAGTAGTAAACAAGAACAAGCAAACCCATACCCACTTAATAACAAGAACAACCAAACCCAACAGAGTATCAATCACAAACCCTAACCAAAATTCACACCAAGACTAAGAAATCAAACACCCCAATTAATCAATCAACCAAACCCATCTAAACAAATCAAGCAACAATCAAATCTACAAACGCATACACAAAATAAATAAGAATTTTTTTATAATAACAATAATAATGTAAAGAGAGGAGGAGGAGGAGTAAAAGGAAAAAGGACGTACTGGGCTGAGCGGCCCAACCCTGTTCACCACCCTTGATTTTCTCAGGGAGGGCATAATTGACGGTGAGGACGCGGCCGTAGAGCTCGGCGCCGTCCATATTGTCCATGGCGGAGGATGCATCCTCTCTCTCCAAGAATGTGACGAAGCCAAAAGACCGGTGCTTCTGTGTGGCTTGGTCCAGCGGCGTCTTCACGTCCTTGATGTCCCCAAAGGGTATGAACGCCGCGTGCAGAATCGATTCGTTCACCTCCTCCGCCAACCCTCCTACATACAGCGTGTTCTTCTGCACTGCTTGCTGCGCCATTCTCAAACCTCTGCAATTTCAGATTTTAGATTCACCTCTCTCCCTCTTCCTTCTTGTTCCTTCTGCTTCTTTTCGATTTCCAGTTGGGCCTCTATGCGTCTATACGAGGGAGAGCTCATAGGGGGTGTATTTAATTAAGAATTTTAGACTATTAGGATTTTGAAAAGAAAGTGACCAAATATTTAATTAAGATTTTAAACAAGTAACAAAAAATTTTATAGTATTCAAAATCTTGTTAATTTCAAAAAAAAATAATAATGCGGAATTGTATAGGATTTTTTATTAGGAAGTATGAATACCAAACTCTATCTCAGGGAGGAGTACTATGGTGTCTTTGTTTGAACGGAGAGAAGCTACATATTGAAGGTTGCAATCAGACCCCTGTAAATCTTGCAAAATAATGAGAGCTAATTAGGGAAAATGTGGAAATTCCATTTGGTCCTTTTTTTTATATGAAAAAATCCATTTGGTTCATTCAAATCTTATAAATTCTATGATATAATTTTTTTAAATTCATAATTAAAAATTCTTGATTATTGAAATTCATAAATAAAATCCTATAAATTATTGCATTTTGCTTAAATTCATTAGACTTTTTTTTAAATCCTTAAATAGTCTTTTATTAGACTCTCCCTATACGACTAGGACTAGGAAAACCGCACTCGCCCATTACTTTTTTTATTATTAAAAAAAAATTGTAAGCCCATTCTTTTTTAATACATAGCAATATTGTGGGAGGCGGATTCCGTATTCGAAGATCTCTGATGTAAGAATAACTTTTTTAACTATTTGAGCTACAAACCCCTTATTATTCTTAAAGCTATTATCAAAGTCTTGCAAGAATAATCATTATCAAAGCTTGGACTTCTCTCCTTTTCTAGAATGAGGAGTTTAGAGTAAGGAGCTTATTTCAATTCCACTATCAAATCATTTAAAATATTTAAGTCTATTAATTTTCTCACATTTGTTGATAGTATGATTGAATGCCTCAAAGAAGCTCCTCACTCTAAATTCCTCATTATAGCCTTTCCGGGATATTAAAACCCCAACTTAAAAAATCCCATGAATCTCTTTAACTTTCTGCATTATTCAACAAGACAATGGAGACCCAAAAATTAAAAAGATTCCCACCAATTTCAATGACATACATCTACTAAAAATTTGTAAATGTCATATTTGAAATCCGTACATAAATCTCTCAATCAAAATAATATGCATATTCTCTCCCCAATACTTGTGAATTTTTTTAAACAATAATGGGCTAGTTTCCTCAGCGGCTATTGTCCCAGTTATTCAAAATTGTGAGGACTTTCCTTTTGAGTGGTAACAAATGGGCAAAATTGTATTGAATCACTTCTTGCGCAAGTATAAGAAGCCAACAACCACAGAGATGCCAACAACGGCCACAGGAACAGCCCAGTATTGCTTCGTCAAGTCCTTGATCTTCTTAGGATAATCAACTGCTTGATCCTTAGAGGTTATCTCAAGTTCCGCGATAGCTGAGGAAGTGGTGTCAAGCTCTCCAATGCAAAAGGTTTCCATGAGCTCCCTTGCAGTATGGCTATGCCCAGCATCTTCAACATCTTCAGTATGCTTCAATCCAAACGCAACTATCAGAATATTAGGATAGGTAGCACTGCAACCAACTCAATAAATAAGCAAATCTAAAGGGAAAAGATCAAAATTTGTAAATGAAATATAATAAAGATAATCAGTCAAAACACTAAACAAGTAGCAAATCTAGGCAAATTACTGTTGATCAACATCTACTTTACTGGGGCACATACTTTTACGTTAAGCTCATCCCAAGCTCCTACCCAAGTAACCATGGCATCTGCCAGCTTAAGGAAGTATGGGTCAATCCTGCCAAGCTCATCCTTGACTTGCTTTGAGAGTTCGATGTAGCATTTCTGAACAGTAGTGCATGCTTTTGTACGGACTGCAGATTGGAAGAAGGGGTTCAGCTCTTCTTGCCAGAAGAAACCATAGTACTCCTCTCTGAGGTTAACAAATGCAATGATGGGATCACTCGCTTTGCTGTGCCATATGTAGGGCAGACCAGTCTTGACACCATATCCCAAATGGTCGCATATAACCTAAAAGCATATCAACATGATTTAAGTTTCGTCCTCATGATGATCAAAATGTTCAAAGTAAATTGACAATCAATAAATCCAAATACAGAAACCATCAAGAAAGTAGAAGGTAATCATCACAAACTAGAGAAACTATATTTCTGAGGTTATCATCTCAAAGTCTGTAACTTATGGCAAGGAAGTTGGCATATCCTGCCAAATTATCTTAATAATCTAAACCCCAAGTTGATGTGACCCTAGAAACAACTTTCTAATTCAATCTTATGATCCAAACATCTCTATGGAGACACCTTGGTGATAAGTCCACCTAGAAAAAGAAATTTAAATATAAAAAAAAAGAAAACCATCAAGGAAGAGTTAGAATATAGACCTAACAAGCTCTCAGTAGACATAAACAGGGAATAAAAATGAAGCAATTCAAATTACCTTCACGCACCAGCCAGACCACATATCACCATATCTTCCAATTGGCTCACGAATACCCATGAGTCCAAAGTACATTGCTGGTCCAATCAGTTCACGGTTGAATGCCAAGTTCATACCACACATAGGAAATAGAGTTCCCCCAGGTATGGTCAGAACTACATCAACAAACCTGAAAAAATTCAAGAAGAAATGAACAGGCAATTATGTAAAAACTGGCTTTTCAGTAGTAATTAGTCCAGCTTAAAAGGAAAAGAAAAGGGAAAAAGAAGCATACAATCAGTAATTTGTGTAATTTGGGATCACTATTTTACACCTAGTGTTCCTTTCTAGAGGATTGGCAAGCTGGGTAGAGCATCATAGTCAGGGATGTTGAGCCAGAGGCCATGAGAAACAGCTGTAGGTACACCCCCACGGAAACTAAAAGGATATCCACGGAATAAGTCTGCATCTTCTCTGTATGGATCATAAAGAGTGTTGAATAATAGAGGAGTTGATGGATTTAGCAGATTCTTTATATGTTGTTCGAGTGCATTGATCTCTTTCCCAGATGGATCTTTGGCAACCTGCATAAAGGATACAGATGTGAACACATATGAGATTATGAAAATTTCAATAATAACAACAAGAATCACATATAATATTCTTAACAACATATATATCAGACACTTGTTTTGAAATAAGACAAAACCCAGATCAAACACAATATGCTAAACAACAGATGATTATATGCTCCAAATACAACAATCCCAATAAAAAAATCCCTCACAGTTTTATCACCCAAAACCCAAAAATTGACAAGTGTTAACAACAAACCCATTATTAACCCAGAACTCCATATCCTAAAAAACTTCAAGATCGGACCGATTGAACCCAAAACCTTCAACAAGTCCAAGCAATCACACAGATAGAGAAAGATAGGGAGCTTACAAAGCAACAGAGACCTTGAAGGAAATGCAAGAGGCTTTGAGACCCAGAATGCGGTTGATGTCGTTCCAATTGTAGGGCTCACAGTCGAAGCCATCTGAGACCTTGATGGTCCTCGACGGGTCACCGTCCTGGACCATGACCAGGTGGTAGGGCTCGAAGTACGGCCTCCACATCTCCAAGAAGTCCAGGTTTCGAATCGTCGGGATCACAATATCAAGCTCGTCCTTCAAGATCGGCATAGGATTGACATCGATCAAAGCTCCTGCCATTGCTGCTCAAAATGCAGAGAGAACCTTACAGTGGTACTGAGAACTGAGAAACGGAGGAATTGGGTTCTTGTCTTTGACTCTTTGACTATATTTATATCCGTTGCAAATTGCAATTGGAGGATAAAATCGACTTTCAGTCAAATTGGTAGACGGAAATATCACGTTGGTTGCGCGTGCAAGGGCAACTCAGTCAATTTCATAGTCTTGTAAATCACATAAGCCCAAGCTAGGTTAATGGATTAGCGAATCCGAACTGGGCCAGCCCACAACCAAAATCAAAAGCGCGGTGCTTCTGCCTGGCTTGGTCCAGCGGTGTCTTCGCGTCCTTAAAGTCCCCAAATGGTACGAACGCGTGCAGTGTTGACTCATTCACCTCCTCGCCCAGCCCTTTTTTTTCTTTTCGTTTTTATACATAGCGAAATTTGGAGAGGCGGATTCTGGATTCGAAGATCTCGATTGTAAGGATAACTGTTTTTAAGTTTAACTATTTGAGTTACAAACCCCTTACTCCCTTACCCATCATGCCATTCGTGAAAGAAAAAAAAAGATATTAGGTGTCGAACTCAATTCTTGGGTGCGTTTAGAAAAGTTATTATCTTGCAAAATGTTGTGCTATTGGGTGTGTTAGAAAATTAAGTACTTGTAGCCACCCAGCAAATTGTAGGACCATTATCAAAGCTTGGGCTTCTCCCTCTCCTCAGCAGGATAATAAAAACCAAACTTAGCAATATTCCCATGAATTTCTTTAACTTTCTGCATTATTCAGTCAGACAATTGATTCCCAACAAGGAACAATTGCAATGACATACATCTCCTTAAAATTTATAGATGTCATATTCGAAATCCGTACATAAATCTCTAAATCATAATATGCATATTCTCCCCAATACTAGTGAAATTTTAAAAACAAATAATGGGCTAGTTTTCTCAGTTGCTATTCTCCTACTTATTCAAAATTGTGAGGGCTTCCTTTTGAGTGGAACAAAGGGCAAAATTGTATTGAATCACTTCTTGCGCAAGTACAAGAAGCCAACAACCACAGAGATGCCAACTACGGCCACAGGAACAGCCCAGTATTGCTTTGTCAAGTCCTTGATCTTCTGAGGATAATCAACTGGTTGATTCTTGGAGATTATCTCTGGGGAAGTGGTATCAACATCAAGCTCTCCAATGCAAAAGGCTCCCATGATATCCTTTGCAACATTGCTATGCCCAGCATCTTCAAAATCTTCTGTGGCATCTCTTCCTAAAATGAAATTAAATCAACAAGTCATATCAAGGTTCTGTATTTGTATCTACATTGTTGTTTTAGATGATTATCTGAAACAAATCTTGACGGCGCAGTCAAATAAACGAGAATATTATCCAAAAAGGAAGCTTCAAACTATACCAGCTGCAGCAAGGACTACATCGTCTCCACCAGGGTGATGATCCAAGTATCGTGTCAAATCGTACACCTGGGATTAACAAATGAACTACATGTAAATATGGGAGGAGAGAGATTTCAATTTTCTTTTTCTTGTATGGTGTGCAACCATGAACAGACGATAAGGTCTATGACAAGTTCTAGTTCTCAAAAGCAAAATAAAACAGAGAAATAAAACAAGTGACGAAAAATTAAAGTCAAAACTCCTTATATACACAATCAAACAGATCACTCGAAGACGGATTTCACATCGGGAAATCAAGACATTATTTGGATGAGAAGAAAACCTCTGATATAGATTGGCTATCCTCATTCTGAGGATCTGCATATATTCCAAAATTTGGGTAGTTAAGAGAGCAAAGACACCAAGATACTGAGCAAATTCACAGAGAGAAGCCACATGGGAATTTATAAATACCAAAGCACAAAAGAAAGTTACAACATTAACAGAACACAACAAGCGTAATAATCTATATGCTTATAGTATGAGCACTTTTCATCTACAATCTAAATAAGTTCATGAAAGCTGTTAGGAAACTGCAATGATAGACAAAACAACCCTGATGACAATCTACCCAAATTACATAAGTAGATGAAAATCAATATTAATTTTAGGAGGAAACTTCACCAAGAAAAGAGAAACGCCCAGGAATTGGAAGAAAGTAGAGCATATTCTAATGTGGCACAAATTGTAGTAAATAGTAATCTTTCAATGAAATAGATTATGGGTTTTCCAGGTAATATTCCCAAGTCTCACTCCTTGACCTCCCATGACCTAAAAACATAGTGAACGATAACATCTTGAAAGAGCTTGAACCTCCTGAATACAAACTACCCAAACTTGCTACGCCTTCTTTACAATATCATATAACATTAGCTACAGAGCCGAAAATACAAAACAATCAACGATAGAGAGGCAATACAGATCTGAAAATAAAGTAATCAAGCATACCCACGAAGAAGAACTCAGGAGAAAGAAAAAAGAATTAACGAAGGTGAGGTTCTTGTGTTCAATTGATACAAACAAAATACTCGCTCAATGCCCATGAAGATATCAGAAAGGATTATAAACAGAGAAAAGGGTACCTTGCCATCAATGACGACCCAGCAGTTGTCTTTGCTGTTTTGCTGGGAGACTTCTTGCATTGTAAAGAGCTTCGTCAACGTCGGCATGGTTGCGGGTTTGGTCAACAAAGTTCAGAGATTCTTGCCTTCTTGGTCCTCACTCTTCGGCCTTGGGTACGACTTCCAGATATTCTCTCTTTTTTCCTGATTTTCTCTGTTTCCTTTTGTTGAATCTTGGTTGGGCTATAACTTCTGTCAAAACCCAATTGCTTATAGTCAAGGAAAGAGAAAGAAAGCAACCAAAGATAAGACTTGCGTGCGGAGGAAGTTGTTTGTTAGTTGTTACTGGTTTTAGTAGGGTGGGCCTAAAACAAGGCCCAACTCTGTACAACCGACAAACCAACCCATAATTATATAGTTTTTTTCTTACCCAAAGGGGGAAAAAAAAAAGATTTAATGCTTGGTATATTGTTATGGGGGGATGGGGAATCGACCTTAGGATATCAGGTGCACGAATAAATTCTCTTAACCATTTGTGCTACAAGCCCTTCCATGAATTATAACTTTTTTAAAAAAAAATTTCATCCCAACCATCTTCAATTAGAATTTCAAACTCAGTATCAGTATACTTCAATCCAAATGCAACAACTATTAGTTCATAAAAAATATATAAAAAATTAAGAAAAATAAAATGGGTAATTATATTTCATAAAAATAGGACCTATTATCTGATTTTGTGTTTTATTTAAAACTTTTTAATATGAAAAATATATATAAATTTATCATATTATCCTTATTTAATTAATAATTTTAATGCTTAATGTTTGCATTAACTAATGGCATTTTCTGATAGTTTGAATGTTTCACCATTCTATGTATTTTGCTTTGCTTTATATATATTATAACTATGTAATTAAAGATTTATTAGAAAATAAATCGTAGATAGAGTTCTTATTAAGTGAAAATCAGAGTAAATCAACCCATATTCTACGCAACCCATAACAGCTAAAATGCTTTTCCTGCTTAACTTTTTAGTCGTGAGACACAATTAGGTTCCATGTCAACCATCTTCAATTCAAATTTCAAACTTAGTATGTTCAAATCCAAATGCAACCAGTATCAGAATATTAAGATAGGTAACACCACCACCATCTCAATCAATAAGCAAATCTGCCCTCTCACCCTTCTTCATCCCAAGGGAAATATCAAAATTTGTAAATGATATTATAATAATGATAATCAATCAAAACACTAAACAACTAGCAAATCTGAAGCCATCTGAGGCAAATTACTGTTGATCAACATCTACTTTTCCGTTAAGTTCATCCCAAGCTTCTACCCAAGTAACCATGGCATCTGCCAGCTTAAGGAAGTATGGGTCAATCTTGCCAAGCTTAGCCTTGACTTGCTTAGAGAGTTCGATGTAGCACTGCTGAACAGTGGTGCATTCTTTTGTAAGGACCGCAGATTGGAAGAAGGGGATCAGCTCTTCTTGCCAGAATATACCATTGTACTCCTTTTTTAGGTTAACAAATGGATTGCTGGCTTTGCTGTGCCATATGTAGGGCAGACCAGTCTTGACACCATATCCCAAATGGTCGCATATAACCTACAGGCATATCGATGCGATTTAAGTTTCGTCCTCATGATAAATGTTCAAAGTAAATTGACAATCAATAAATCCAAATACAGAAATCATCAAGAAAGTTACAAGGTAATCATCACAAACTAGAGAAACTATCAAAGTCTGTAAGTTATGACTGGGATGTTGGCATATCCTGCCAAATTATCTTAATAATCAAAACCTCAAGTTGATATGATCCTAGAAACAACCTTCTAATTCCATGTTATGATCCAAACATCCCTACGGGGACACCTCAAAAAAGAAATTTAAATATATAAAAATAAAAATAAAACCACCAAGGAAGAGTTGTTTATTTCATATAGAATAGACCTAACAAGATCTCAGTAAACATAAACTGGGTGAATAACAAAGAAGCAATTCAATTACCTTCATACACCAGCCAGCCCACATATCATCATATCTTCCAATTGGCTGACCATCACCCATGAGTCCAAAGTACATTGCTGGTCCAATCAGTTCACGGTTGAATGCCAAGTTCATACCACACATAGGAAATAGAGTTCCCTTGGGTATGGTCAGAACTGCATCAACAAACCTGAAAACATTTAAGAAGAAATGAACAGGCAATTAGGTAAAAACAGGCTTGTCAGTAGTAATTAGTCCAGTTTAAAAATGAGAAGACAGGGAAAAAGAAGCATACAATCAGTAATTTGTCTAATTTGGGATCACTATTTTATACCTGGTGTTCCTTTCTAGAGGTTTGGCAAGCTGGGTGGGAGCATCATAGTCAGGGATGTTGAGCCAGAGGCCATGAGAAACAGCGGTAGGGACACCCTCACGGAGACTAAAAGGATATCCACGGACAAAGTCTGCGCCTTCTCTGTATGGATCATAAAGAGTGTTGAAAAATAGAGGAGTTGACGGATTTAGCAGGTTTTTTATATGTTGTTCGAGTGCATTGACCTCTTTCCCAGATGGGTCTTTGGCAACCTGCATAAAGGATACAGATATGAAAACATATGAGATTATGAAAATTTCAATAACAACAAGAAGAATCACATATAATATTCAGAACAATATATATATCAGACACTTGTATTGAAATAAGACAAAACCCAGATCAAAGACAATATGCTTAACATCAGATTATTAAATGAAGCAAATGTCAATCCCAATAAATAAATAAATAACCCATTATGGTTTCATCACCCAAAACCCAAAAATTGACAAAAGTGTTAAAACAAAACAACAAATCTATATTATTAACCCAGAACCCCATATACTAAAAAACTTCAAGATCCGAGCAATTGAACCCAAAACATTCAACAAGTCCAAGCAATCAGAGAGAGAGAGAGAGAGAGAGAGAGAGAGAGAGAGCTTACAAAGCAATCGTCGTCAATGGTAAAGATGTACTTCTTCTTAGAGACCAAGTAGCCAAAGCAGCGGCAAGCAGAGTCCTTGAAGGAAATGCAAGAGGCCTTGGGACCCAGAATACGGTTGATGTCGTTTCGATTGTAGAGCTCATAGTCGAAGCCATCTGGGACCTTGATGGTCCTCGACGGGTCACCGTCCTGGACTATGATCAGGTGATAGGGCTCGAAGAACGGCCTCCACATCTCCAAGAAGTCCAGGTTTCGAATCGTCGGGATCACGATGTCAAGCTCCTCCTTCAGGATCGGCGTAGGCTTGACGTCGACCAAAGCTCCTGCCATTGCTGTTGAAACGCAGAGAGGAAGCCTGCAGTTTCAGAGAGATGCTCAACAAACGCAGAGAAATAGACAGTAAGTGAGAATTGAGAAACGGAGGAATTGGGTTCGACTTCACGATGAAAGTGGAGTTAGTCTTTGACACTCCTGTTTGTTTGCAATTGGAGGACAAAATCGACTTTCCGTCGAATTTGTAGACGGAGAAGTCACGTGGGATGTGCGTGCAAGGGCACTTCAGTCAATTTCATGAGTCTAGTAAATCACACAAGCCCAAGCTGCGTTAATGGATTAGCGAATCCGAAGCCCACAACCAAAATAAAATGGAAGACGAAGTTATTGTTTTTTTATGGACAAACTACACTTTAGTGGCTGGAGGTTTAGTGTCAGTCTCGAAATGGGCCCCAAGGTTTTAATTTCATCAATTTGGTACCCAACATTTCGAAATATTACCAATTGACACCAGCCGTTACATTGACCGTCAAAGTCAGCCGTTAAATGCTGACGTGGCAGTCGTGGGACCCACCTCATAACCAAACAGCAGTTAGAAAGGGATGAGACGATGGGCAATTTCGGAAAAAAAAAAACACGTGTTCCAAGGCGTGCGTGCTTCCATTACCAGGATTGGAAAAATCGAACAAATCAGATTGATTGGATTCGTGTTTTCGGGAGCAAAGAAGCGAGAAACAAATTGGAGGGAAACTGACGAAGAGGATTCGATTGGCTGGGCGAAATGAATGAAGAGGCGCCGATGTGTTGGTGCGGAAAGGTTGCTACAATTCGAACCTCTTGGACAGATTCGAATCCTGGGAGGCGATTTTCCATGTGTGCAGCAAAGGTACGTGAGACTAAGAAGGGTTTGAAGGGCTGTCAATTCTGGGCATGGTTTGATCCGGCCATGTGTGAACGGTCGAAGGCAGTGATTCCTGGGCTTCTAAAATCGCGGAATAAGCTGGAGAAGTCAATGGCAAAGGCAAGACAAAGAGAAAAGGTCGTTTGGGTGTTGTTGGTGGCTTCGTGGGTTCTATTTGCAAGCATCATTTTGGGAGGGATGTCTGGATGTGGAGTGAACAAAAAGAGGAGCTTGGAATTAGCTTCTGCCATTGAATGAATGTATTGCTTGTGGGTTGGTTAGGGTATTTTCTGTGATTTAGTAAGTGTTGGGTTATTAGTAGCATTTTGTAATGGTTTAATTGTTATGTAAGGGTTTATGGTTATAGGGTTTTAGGGTTTTAGGGTTTTAGAGGTAAGGCTTAAGGGCTTAATTGCTGACTTTTTGTAAGTTGATGAAGTGAATGGAATGGCAAAATTTGTAGAAAATGGTTTAGGGAAGTTGTAAGTTGTAAGTTGTAGAAAATGGTTTAGGGAAGTTGTAAGTGAATGGAATGACTTTTTGTAAGTTGTAAATTGATGAAGTGAATGGGAAGTTATGAAATGGCTTAGAAAATGGATGCACCTGGAACAACCTGCTTGAATGACCAAAATAATGAAGCAAAGTGGCAACCCAAAAACTCAGAAAATTATGCATTCAAAATGGGCTGAAAATAGCCAGATAATAACATTGCATATCGTACATATTTCATGTCCATTCAAAACATCATCTTCAGTGTATATATTTGCATTCACAGTGGTTGAGGCTTATGTGAATGCCATTACATCCATCAAAAAAAGTCAGCACTTAAAGTTATACAGGACCTATTTATCAAAAACAAAAACCTCCTAATCACAAACTGTCAGTCTAACAAATCAGACCAAAATCATCAAAGAGCTCTTTCAGTCAGCTTCAATGCACAACATTTGATCCTGCAGTTGAAACAGAAGTTGATGCATGAGGACATGAAGGGAAGGCTGGTTGTGCTGCAGAAATGGCATGTCCTTTCTTACTTGGCTTCCCTTTTTGCACACGCCTTGGAGGCTTGGATCTTTGCTTTAGGGTGCTTGGACCACCAGCTAGAGTGGATGTGTCAGATGGAGTGGTCTACAACATAAAAACTACATCAGTTTGCAACAAAAGCTTAAGGTTATTAAGGGATAGAATTGAACAAAATTGAGTTGCTATACCTGGGTATTTTCAGTACCCCTCTTCCTCTTAGTTGCAGGTTTGGATTTTGAGGGAAGATTCCGATGGCAAGTCCTTTTATTGTGCCCTTTTTTACCACATTGGCCACATTTGAGAGAGTCCTGTGTGTTGGGAATGCGAGACAATGAAGTTTCAGATTGGTTGCTTGATGCTCTCATCTTCATCTTGCCCTTGTACTCTTCATGTTCTTTGTGTCTACATTTTCTTGGCCTTCCAGGCTGTTTAGAGTAAGAAGGAGGAAGACATGGAGGAAAGTCACTCCTATCCCTCATATCCATCCCATTCATAGGCAGTATGAGATTCTCATATGTCTTCAAGTAAGTTGTTTTCAAATAGCAGTCATTCACAAAATCCAAGACATTAAGACCCCCTTTATAATTTATGGCTGCAATACCATGAACACAAGGGCATCCCTGCAAATCCCAAGCTCTACAAGAACAAGTTCTCAATTCCAAGTCCACAATATATTGTGCATGGCCACCAGCTGACACTTGGAATTTACCTCCACCTGACCACATTGCCACACAAGCACCTGCCTTGGCTTTATTTCCCTCCAACTTCTTAAATATCCTTGGGCAGATAGGCTTGTTCCATTTCAGCATTTTGTCCCTTCTTCCTTGTATTCTCCTCATTAACTTACATCTAATATACTCAAACATTGACAGAATTGGTCTATCCCTACATTCCAATATGGTAGCATTGAAAGACTCGCAAAGATTATTCAACAACATGTCACACTTCAAATGAGTGTTGAAGTGTGACTTGGACCAATGCCTTGGAGGTTTATCAGGACTGGTTAGCCATTCATATGCATCATTTGACAGTTTTTTCAGGTCTTCCATGGCCCTTGTAAAGTAGGGGACAGTGGTTGCATATGATGCTTCCCAAAACTTGTCTCTGAGGCTTTTTGCTTTGAAAAGCAGACTATAGTTGGAAAACAGGTGTCTTGCACAGAACCGGTGGTCACAATTAGGGACCACTTGCTCAAAAGCAGGCAGTAAACCTTTTTGTTTGTCGGATATAAAGGTGAACCCAAATTGATTCACAATCTCACAGTCCTTAACCAATAGCTCTAGAAACCAAATCCAAGATTCCTTGCACTCTGATTCCACAACTGCATAAGCAATTACCCAGGTTTCATTATTGGCATCTATACCCACAGCAGTTAACAATTGCCCTGCATAAACTCTTCAAAAAGCACCCATCTAAACCTATAATAGGCCTGCACCCAGCTTTGAAGCCTTCCTTAGCAGCTCCTAAACAAACATACAACCTTTGAAACTTTGGTTGCCCCAGCTGTTGTTGGAAATCACACTTAACCACGACTGTGGTTCCTGGGTTACTCTTCCTTAATTCCTCACAGTAATCCCAAATTCTTGAATATTGTTCATTGAAACTACCCTCAATCAGCTTTAGTGCCTTCTGTTTTGCCCTATACACTTGTTGTGTTGACACCCCTGTATTATAATCCTTCTCAACAGCCTGCTTGAATGACCTGACTGGCCACTGGGGATTGGACTTCAAACTGTCAACATATTTCTTGCTTATCCATGTTGACTTCACAGTAGGGTTCTCCCATACCTGTGTACATGTGTGCTCACCTACATATGTCTTCACTTGCAATGTCTTGTCATGTTGCATTTTTGAAGCATATATCATCCACCCACAATCTGGGTCCCCACAAACTGCCTTCAGCTTCAAAGCCGCATTCCTAATAAATACTACATCCCTATTCTGCAATATGGAGTATTCTCTGACAGCTGCCCTAAACACCTTACAATCACTAAACAACATCCCAATCTCAAACTTTGGATCTGCCATGTCAGTTGCAGCATTGAATTCTGGCCAATCCTTGTCAGAATTATACTTGGCATAATCCCTGCACTCAAAATCTTCAGAATCCAATTCAACATCTGTAGGCCAATCAGGAGCAGCCTCATTCCCAGTTTCTTTAACCCCTGTCCATTCAGTTTGGTCATCCACCCATTCATCAAAACAAACATCATCTTGATCTTCATCTTCATTGAAGTTTTTGGGATTCAAATAATCTGAGTCCTCACTATCACTATCACAAGCATCATCATCTTCATCTTCAAAGTCTGCAGCATTTGCCATTATTCTTCCACTTCTCAACATCATGGAATGCCTTTGAACCTCGGTCCTGACACCATCAACCCTTCCTTCCACAACTTTGTCTTTATGGTGAACAATCTTTGTCCTCCTCAAACTAGAGCATCTTTTTTTACCAAATGCACGCTTCCCCCTATGTGACATCTCTTTATCCTTGCCTTTGCCTTTATCAGAACAACCTTGACTTGGCTTTTCTTGGCCCTTGTCAAAATTCTCCTCATTATTCACAGTGGCAGTTTTTTTGCCTTGTTTAGAAGCTTCATCAATCAACCCATCTTCATTCAGCCCTTCTTCATTCAACTTTTCTTCATTCAGCCCTTCTTCATTCAACTCTTTGCCTTCTCCACCTACTTCTTCATTCAACTCTTCTATTACAACACTTGTTTTTTTCACCTTTGGCACATTACCAACTCCCCCACCCACTGGAACAATGGCACCATAATTGTCATCAAGCTCTTGTAAAACTACCCCAGTATTGGTCCCAAAATCTTCATCCAGATTTATAAATATGTTTGAACCCACTTGACTGTAAAACTGCTCTTGACTGCATGCCAACACATGTTCTAGGAATATATTTATCACCCTAGTGTCTGGCACAAATACTAGCATGTCTAAGACATCTGTATCCTCACTCAGCTTAACTAGGCCACCATCAAAACTATCACCTGGAATACTGTACCAGTAATTAATCAAACCTTCGTGCCCTAACTCCTTCACCATGGCATCTATCTCAGTCATTGACATTCTATCCTTATCACAATAATCAAACCAATCCATAGACCCATTCACATAATAGTTACCTCTTATTTCACCATTGTGGTACATTTGAATAGAAAATCCTACCTCATCCCCTGCAGGTCCAAAGCCACACATGAATTTTACCAATTTTACCCAAAAATAATACATGTACTCCTGTTTACAAATACACACATACAAATACAAATACAAATACAAATACAAATACAAATACATATACATATACATATACATATACATATACATATACATATATTCAAATGCAGATATACTAACAGACAAATACAAACACACATATACAAATGTTGGTTTCTATGTCAGTCCACACATAAACAAAAGGTAAGATTCACAGTGGTTGTAGGACCACATACAAAAGGCAAAGTTTACTTCCGCATACCACCTACCATTCACACTATTCCATCCACCAATTAAATAGACAAAGTGATACCGACACCTAACTCGAAACTCACAATCCATTATAAAAGCCAAACTTTCAGTCGACACCAAACTCGAAACTGACTCTATTTGAACAGTAAGCCATACGTACCGTAGAAAGGTTCTCCATATCCTTCTGGACGAAGTCCCCAACTCATATTCTTCAGATCTTTCGGAAACCTCCGATTTAGTATGTTTTTTGCAGTCTATTTCAAATTTCTGCACTCCAAAACACGAACAAACCATCAAACCCTCAAACCCTCTCCTCTATGTCTGTCTGTCTCTGTACACGAACAAATCTCAGAAACTGAGTTTGTTCGATTTTTCCAATCCTGGTAATGGAAGCACGCACGCACGCCTTGGAACACGTGTTTTTTTTTTCCGAAATTGCCCATCGTCTCATCCCTTTCTAACTGCTGTTTGGTTATGAGGTGGGTCCCACAACTGCCACGTCAGCATTTAACGACTGACTTTGACGGTCAATGTAACGGCTGGTGTCAATTGGTAATATTTCGAAATGTTGGGTACCAAATTGATGAAATTAAAATCTTGTGGCCCAATTTCGAGACTGACACTAAACCTCCAGCCACTAAAGTGTAGTTTGTCCTTTTTTTATATATTTATTTTACCTCATGCTTAATTGTGAAATTGAATGACCGTTTGCTTATATTGAATTTTGACCTCATCAAATAAGCTTGGAGAAAATAGGAAAAAGAAAATTTGAGAGAATTCACAAGATAAGTTTTTTTTTATATAAGCCATATCGGGAGGGGGATTCGAACTTAGGTGCAAGAGGAGGTCTAGCTAAATCATAATGCTACTTGACAGTCCACAGCAAAAACAATATACATCTGCACTACTTTCTTTCTGTGCATCAAAATGTAAGATCAGTATCTACAATATATCCCAATTCAAAGGCATGAGAGAGAAGAATGACATGTTTGCTTGTTAAAGTACAGACGACTTTTCAGAGTGCAGGAAAACCAGCAACTGATTATCCCCAGCTACGGCCACAGCGCCTGGCCTCGGCCTCGAATCATCCGTAGCAATACAGGAAACACTGCCACCTGAAACCATCAAAACGTTATGTAAAAAAAAACATCAGTTTAACAGCAAAGAAGCGAAGCAAATGTAGTGCTGCTTCTGGAATTGTCTTATAACTGGTTCTACTTCTAACGTTGTTAAGATAATAATCATTGATGCATACCTTTGAAATGATGCAGAGCGCCAAATTTGTTTCCTGTAGACAATTCCCACATATACACAAGCCCATCACAAGTACCACAGATGCCTTGACCCGCTGATGCACCAATCACAGCAGCGCTGCTCAGCAAGTTTGAAAGTCAATGAACAGATGAATTCGCAGTCATTCATTAGACTAATTACAAATGAAAATGAAGCAACTTCATTCCTAAAATTCCGTGTATGATATTTTACTTGTAGTTGCAACAACTTAATTTCCAGGAGTTTGCTACCAAAAAATGGTTTTACTACATATAACATGAATGATTCCAATTTCATGAAGTTCACTGCCCCAAAAAGTTTAGATTTGAAGAATTAAATTCCAGCACATGAACAGGTCAACGCAACACACCTTGGATCCAATGCACTTCCGAAGATCACCATATTTTTCACCATTAGAGCAAGCCTCCACCTCCCCACTGGATTCGAGTCACAATCATCTGATACATAGTCTTGTTGAGCATCAGAATCAGAAGATGATGAGACAAGAAGCCAGACAGCAATGTCTTCCCCCTCCAAAGAAAATTGGTCATTGGATGTGGCAGCCACCAATTCATTGATGTGTTCTTCTATATCAGAGTAGCTTGAAACAAGGCATTTTATTTGCCAAGTAAACAAACTGACAGGAACGAATTGACAGATTGAAGCGCTTGCTGCAGAGAACCTCGACACAACGATGCGTTTAGAAATATCCCTGAAAGAAAAAACCGCTGCCTATTAGTACTAATCAAATTTACACAAAATGAAATTATCCAAATTCACTTCCCGAGTAGTTTAAGAAAGACATACCATAAACTGAATTCACCAAAACCATTATGTCCAACAACTATATGGGTACAATTTGGAATTCTCTTCAACTCCACTATTCCAGGGGAGACGCAATCTTCAGCTGGCAGAACAAAATTCTCTATTTGCGCACTGCAGACAAGGAATTTAAAGCCCAATTAAACTGCGTTCAATACAAAGAATAGAAAGGTATGGAAACTGCTCAAATTAGCGAATGATTGTTGATAAACATGAAAAAAGTAACACAATTTATGGGGTATATCAGATTTAAACATGATTGGCTAGTGGAAAAAAGGGAGGGGGGGTTGGGTGGTGGGGTGGGGTGGGGAACAACCCAATACGCGGACTTGTGGACAAGTATTCCCCTTGTAATTGAAAATCAACACTTTAAAACTTTGACACCTGCACTTGTATCAGAGGTGTTGAGAGAAAGGCTTTAGATACTCACCTCCATGTTGAATTCATAACCCACAGATGCAGTCTCCCACTTTCTCCAACAGCAACAAGATTGTTAGGTGCACAAACCAATATGCATTCTAAACTGTCTACTGCTTTCAAACTTGCCACCTTTGAAACATAGCCAAGTTTTACTTGCACAATCTTTACTGTATTCTCCTCCGAGCAGTTTGACGTACATGTGGAGCACAAACAATGGATACTCCCCTGCCTGAGACATTCAAATGAAATTCTTACTAATAACTTTACTCCTAATTCATGTCATTACTTTGTAAAATCTGCAAAGATAGTTAACCTGCAGTAAGGTGTTTTAATGCTGTCAAGTAAAACTAGATATTGCCCGTCCGGGGTGAATTGCAAACTGGATCTTTCCAAAGCAATCTAGCAAAGAGCAGCACAAATGTCAAAAAAATTAACAATAAACCAGACAAGCCTACCGAGCCAAATGCATACAAGAACTTACTCTACCAAAATAGTCTTTTCGAATCGGCAATGTTACTGATGTGTGACCAACAAAAGAAGGGGATCCAACCCTTGGTTCCTCAATTGCTACCTTATAGATGAATAGGCTTCCGTCCTTATCAACCAGAAGGCCACATAAAACACAAACATAAATTTCAGTCCCTTTTGCACTCAACAATACTGACAAAACGGGATTTTGATGGGAATAACATCCCACAAACTCAAGACCGCCTGTTTGTTCGTTATTAAGTTCCACACTATGAGGCTTCGAGTCTGAACTATGCGGAACACTATTGGGATTATGCATGAGACCCCTCCCCTGTTTCTGAGATGTTTCAGTGTCGTTTAGCTCAAGGAGGTTCTCATGCCCAACCACATCCTTGTCAACATGGTTTTCTAAACGTGAAACAGACAAATCAAGAGAGCACAAAGTATCTTTTTCTTTGGAGGCACCAACCAATGCTTGCTCTTGTAATACAGCAGGACAATGACCATTTAAGAGACCTTTAGAATTCACAGAAGGTTTGTCTGCATTCAAACAACGGGAATGTCCCACAATCTTGGCTTCAGCACAGAATGAATCTTTATTTGAATTGTCATCAGAAGAACCCATCTGAAGAGTCTCCAACGCAAGCAAAGTCTCTGTGGAAGGGTATGATTCAGGCAAACAAATATCCCCACTGTTTCTGCATATTATACTTTCTGAGAGTGGACCACTGTGATTTCCTTTAATAGGACATATATTTTGAGCTTTTCTCTTGGTATATACTAAGGGTGGAACTTGAGTGGAGGGCTCATTTCCAGTTTCTGCAACAGTTGTCTTAACAGCATTTTCATTCTGTGTTGCCTTTGAAGAATTCAACATGCCTCTTTGGTTGTCATCAATTATATTTATGGCTGAATAATCAGAATCAATACTTGAGTTAGTTTAAATTTCATAAGAATCAGAACATATAGATTTTCGGGGAAAAAAAAAGAGGCCACGGAGTTCAGAAAACTGTTCATAACCTGATCATAATTCAAGAAAAAAGTGTTAATTTGAGAAATGAAAGAGTAACAGTACTATTTAGTAAAAAAAATGTCAAACACATTGTCACAACTCACAAGACAAAGGAGCTAAATTATCATGTCATATTATCTACTTAAAGGCTAGTAGAAGTAGAAGGCACGTCATCACCAACTATACTGAAAATGGGTATGTTAGATAGACGTATTCCAGCATTTGAGTACGAAGCAACAAATTTACCAAAACAATTGGTATTAACGAATTACCTTCAGGAAGATCAACTGCAGTTTCATTGCTTTTCATAGAATGGATATTAACACCTAGTGAGCATTCATCCTTATTAACAGATTTATCCCTGATTTCTTCAGAAAAGACTCTTTTACTAGGAGACATACATACTGGAAGAGACTCAGATAAGTTGGTGTCACATTCCTGAAGCCCCCCAGTAGAAGCCATGCCCACTTCCTTATAAGGAAAAATATCTTTGGTTCCAATGGTCCCAAGATGATCATCTAATGATTTGTTATGCTCATTAACAGCAACAAGAAGCCCATGACTGTTGAGAAGGCATGCAGGGTAAGAACTATCTTGACCAGCTTCAGCCTTATCAGAGGAAGATATCACGCGGTTGACTACAATGTCACCGTATTGATCATCCTCTAAACTGCCAGGAACAAAAGACTTTGTTGGGACAATTGAACCAAAATCATTATTTTGGGTGTACACCTTTTCCTCCATTCGATCGTTATTTACAGCAAGCATTACACCTACAAGTGTAAAGAAGAGAATAATCAACCAACTGCTGAAAGGCAAAGTGTAGAACTCATAAGGTTCAATAAAGCACCAGGGGATGGAGCACAAGGCAGAATTTCAGAAGGGCTCACAATACCCTTTTCCTTCCTTGAGCCCTTCTTGAGCAGAGGAATAGCTTGCGGAAGAAGAAATGTCATCATTGACTTGGCCATTTCTTGACCAACTGAATCAAACTCACTCATTTCAGAACTTGCATTTGATTTAGAGGTGGCTGTTTCTTCTTCTCGATATGATTCTGTCAGCAATCCTTCAGAAATGACCACATTCAATGCACTTCTATCCTGGAAAGCTGGAGCAGAATCATAAGTCTTATCTGCATTTAAGATGATGATGATCAATTACCAATACTTGAAGCCACAAGCTGGGGTAATAACAGTGGAACTACAGAATATGAAACATGTGGATAGTTAATGATCACCCTGTGTAAAATAGGAATTGGGAGCACAAAGGTCAACGTCAATAAGACCTTCAGAATCTTTTGGCACTGTAGGATCTACATTTTTGTTTTCTGGTACCATTAGATCGGGATCTTCAGTCCTATCAAGCTGTAAGAAGTTGAGAATATGTCTCATTCAACAGAAACTGACTACAAAACCATGACATATGCAAAATTGAGGATAAATGGACAACTTTTATAAACAAGCATAGAGAAGCGTAGTTTGGACTAAGCACAGTAATGTAAATATTTGCGGATATGTGAAGACATGCGTTTTCAAAGGTTTTCAAAGATAAGTGAATCAAATGGGAATCAGTAAAATAGTCAAGACTTTTCAGCTTCCTTTGGGGTTCTGAGGCCAGATGAATAAAAAAGGGAAATGTGCTCACAGGTTTTTCTTCATCCACAGACAAGTTGCTGGCTACCACAGTAGATTTGCAATTTCCAGAACCAACAAAAAGCCTTGCTTCTTCATGGACAGCATCCATCCTGGGATGAATGGGGAAGCCAACAGAATCCAATGGCAAACTATCTTTGACTGAAAAGTCACTCTCTTCTTGATGAGCAGGTACTAAATGCACTAATGGTGGCGATGCTTTTGAATATTTACAAATGTCATACTCTTCTTCAAAAGAAGAGGAGAGCGTGGAATTCCCATTATTATGATATCTCTTACTCCCTTTCACTGAATCTGAAGGCTTGGCAAAAGATGTCAGATCTTCAGGTCTGGTTCTTTTAATGCTAGTCCAACTGAATGACTTTGAATTTACAATTTCACGTCTCCTACTTCTCTTCCCAGTGATTCGTGGTATTGCCAAGTATGGACATGCATCTGGAAAGAGATTATCAACATCTGTTCTTCTAGAAGCTCCATTGCAGAAACTTGAGGGTACCAAACTCCTTTCTGCTGTTCCATTAACGTTTGCAGCCAGCTCCCGAAGTAGCCTCTGGACAAATGGATTTTTGAACCCAAAAAACTACATACAAAACATGTTGAATTACCAGCATGGTCTGTTTAAACTTTTACATTGAATATGGAGGAAAGAACAAAATAAAAAGAAAGAAAACCTAATTAACCCAAAAAAAAAACTTATGCTTATCTAGCAGACAGAATAGTTAAAAAAAACCATCCTGCATAGATGTTGAAATCAATTAACCAGGTATAAAAAGAAACATATAGCAGCAAGAACAGGAATAAACTTTTGATGAGTAGAGTACAGTCATGAGCTGCAATTTAATTGAACATGTAATGGGTGACTAACACAAAATTCATGATGGAGCACTAGTTACTGTGTCACCAGTCAATGTTTTCAGTTTCATATTGACTAAACTCATATAGTCGCTTTTACTTTTTCATTCTCTCTTGCTTGGATTGTTCACAGAACCCCAATTGCTCATATTAAAAGCAACACTGAAATAAACTACTTATGCAAAGGAATCAATATCTACCTCCACACCATCTATTTTACACGAAAATCTCTTCCCATGCCAAATCTTCATGCGGGGAAAAAATGCCTTCTGAAATTTCTCCCATGCAATGTATGGCGTTTGCCCAGAAGACGATTGTCCATCAGCAGCAATAATCTGCACATTTATAACCCATAGAAACAAATCACAATAAAAAATTAAATATCATTAAAAATCAAAAGCAACAGGGCCTGGCTAGTAGTGGCTAACCGAAAATAAAGGTCCTTTAGGACCTTCTTGAATTTCCATCTTATATGTGCTCCCATTGTGAGCTCGAACAGCCCGGTACCCAACTGGATAAGGATACCGATCTTTCCCCTACCAAAATTTGAACATAATAATCCAATAAATTAGTGCAAATAGCAAAATATGAATGACTAAACACTAATTTAACATTTACTAAACTAATTACTCATTGTCAATTAATTCTCAAATACTCAACAATTAATCAATCGAAGAGCTCAAACCTCGTATTGTAGATAAATTTTTGGCATAAAGAACAAATAATTTTCTATCCTAGATGTTTATGTGTTCATACATTTTGACTAATGAAAGAGGAAAATTTTGAAATTAAGAGGAGGAAAAGGAAATCGAACCCTGGAGGAGCTCCAGTACTTCTTGTCCCAAGGTCCATTGTAGAGGGAGCCGATCGAGTTGATTTCGAGATCGTCGGGTTTCTCTTCCGCGTTAGGTTTTGCTTCTTCGACTTTAGGCTTCGTCATTTTTAGGTCTGAGAGTCAGTCTGATGAGCTATCGAAAGGACATCAAAAAAAACAGCGGCGAAAATTTTAACTTATATTTTTAAGAGGGAGAGGGAGGGAGGAGGAGTTTGTGGCGGGAACGAAAATGAGAGGGTCTTTTGAGGCCGCGTAGACTTGAGGTTAACATTACCTGCATTTGAATTTTGGTTTGGAACGTGAACACAAAAAATTAAAAAGACGCCGTTGCCGGGGATCGAACCCGGGTCACCCGCGTGACAGGCGGGAATACTTACCACTATACTACAACGACCTTGTTGCTTAATTTTCAACTTAACACTTATTTATTATAATTTAAAGTAGAGGGTAACCCAAAAACGAAACAACGCCGTTGCCGGGGATCGAACCCGGGTCACCCGCGTGACAGGCGGGAATACTTACCACTATACTACAACGACCATGTTGCTTAATTTTCAACCTAACACTTATTTATCATAATTTAACGTAGAAAGTAAAATCTTGAGTGAAAGGCAAAAACCCAAAATCAAAACGACGCCGTTGCCGGGGATCGAACCCGGGTCACCCGCGTGACAGGCGGGAATACTTACCACTATACTACAACGACCATGTTGCTTAATTTTCAACCTAACACTTATTTATCATAATTTAACGTAGAAAGTAAAATCTTGAGTGAAAGGCAAAAACCCAAAATCAAAACGACGCCGTTGCCGGGGATCGAACCCGGGTCACCCGCGTGACAGGCGGGAATACTTACCACTATACTACAACGACCATGTTGCTTAATTTTCAACCTAACACTTATTTATCATAATTTAACGTAGAGGGTAAAATCTTGAGTGAAAGGCAAAAACAAAACGACGTCGTTGCCAGGGATCAAACCCGGGTCACCCGCGTGACAGGCGGGAATACTTACCACTATACTACAACGACCCTATTGCTTAATTTTCAACATAAATTGTATTTATCATAATTTAACGTAGAGGGTAAAATCTTGAGTGAAAGGTAAAAACTCAAAAACAAAACGACGCCGTTGCCGGGGATCGAACCCGGGTCACCCGCGTGACAGGCGGGAATACTTACCACTATACTACAACGACATTTTTGTCAATTTATGAACCTAACTCCAATTTATCACATATTTACAGCAGAGGATATTCTTGATTGCATCCAACTCAAGATATTAATTTGTTAGTTGGACGCTTGGAGCATATAAAAGAATAATAAAAACTTAAAAATTAAATCTGGTTTGCTTGCATTGCTCGAGAACTCGATTTCTTTTTCGGTTTCAATTTCTTGGAATTTTCCTCTTTGGTTTGCCAGCTTTTGATAAGCTTTCAGGAATGGTAGCATCCTGCTTTAAAGCAATAGTTGTTTCAAAACACAAAAATCTCCATCCGTGCATTGTCCGTTCCGTTGCATGATTTCATGCAGGAGGGAAAGAGCAAGTCTATATGTTTTCTAAATCATCATAATTTGTATATCTATATATAATATATGCCTAGTTTAATGTTAGTTTAGTATAATAACGAACACTGATAAACGAATCATCTTATGATCCAATTTTGTTACAAAAACGGACTTTGTTTTTTAACAAAGCTAGTGCACATGTGGCTAAACATATAAAATTCCGCTTTGTACGTACTACTGAGTAAATGTAAATCAACTATGCGGAAAACGTCTTTGATATCATATTAGAATGATGAAAACCCCGAAAAAAGCCAACAAAGAAAAACTTGAATAAAAAAGAGAAATAACAAATAATGTTAATGATCACCAACCTAACAGGAAGAAGGTGCCCTAGACGTTAGGGAAGTGTCCAACAAGCACACATGCCAAAATCTAGGTAGCTATAGAGGCTAGACAGGCTAGAGAGATATGGTGGAAGAGATGGGTCAAATCTGGATTTCTAAAAACAGATAGAAAATGGAGGAGGGCATAGATCTAATGATTGTGTCCAAATATGTTAATGAACTGAACCACAAATTGGAACATCATATTCATGGATTGACTGAAAGGAAAGGAAAAATAAGAGTCTGGTAACTTCTTTGGTGAGGTTCAGAGCAGACATGGGAATCTCGAGGGGGCACCAGTTAAACAAAAGCGTCCAATCCATGTACAAAACGTATCATCATGATTCATGCAGAAGCAGAGAGGCCTGCCCGCAGAGGCATGCAATTACTTCTATGAATTCAAGGACTAATTAAGGATCATGCAAAGTTGAAAAGAAAAAGAAGAAAAAAAGTGAGGAGGTCTTGGGAAAACAGCTTCTTGCACCAGCAAAGAAAGGTGGAGATTCGAGTGTTAAAATGGCTTTATTTCCTGTTCGGGAAAATGAAGAATCGTCCCATCACCAAAATAAATATTTTTTTTAGAAAAAATGAGGTATATATATATATATATATATATATATATATATATATATATATATAAACAACCCATGTCCTGGCATGTCCAGGCCAATTGGAAAGAAGTGACATGTGATTTTAGCAGTGGTCTCTTTCGAATTTCCTAGTTTGGCATTGCACCCACAAAAGAAGGAAGGGATGACAGGGCCTCCTTTTCTCACTAACTTCTCTCCATCGCCCCAACTTTTTTTCTTTCATTCATTCAACAAATATTAATAAATATTCTGGCTGGCTGGTTACTGGGTGGCTCCAAACTCCAATTCATATTTACTGCAGGCTGCTAGCTCATCGTTTGCATATGCATGACGATGACGTGGCTGATATGTCTCTCAATAAACGATGGCATTGGCTGGGAAATGTTTTGCTACAGCTCAACTACTACAGTGTAGCATATTTGGTGAATGTGAGTGAGTTAGCATAAGAGTTTATTACTTTATAAAATAGAAATTTGAACTCGCATCATGAACGAACTAGTTATGGACGTAGTATTTTTCTATCTTTATTTTGTTAAAAGAAGTTCAAAATTGAATCCCCGGTACTCCAAATTTTTTTAATTTTGGAAAAAAAAATGTAAAGAAAGAAAATGTTTCCCCGACAAGATTTTGATTGTGAATTATCCTGAATGTCTAGAGATGCCAATAGGCAATAGGGTATATCACAAGAATTGGCTAAATGGTCAATTTCGAATTGTTTCTCTGGTGGTCTTGTTGTGTAACAATATATTTGATGGGACATGTCCTCTTTCGAGGGATCTTGCACTCTGTCAATACAGGATAAAGGTGAAATATGAAAATATAATCAAAGGATTTAGGGTGATAACAAATCTTTATTCATTCAATCAATGGATGATTATAGATTTGAACACACCATTTACGTGGCAAGGTAAAAAACAACTAAACAATAACTAAAAACAAAAGAAAGAAAAGAGAAATGGATATATCAAATGTCACATGGGATCTTTTCTGGAGAAAATGGTGAGATATATATATATCTTGGGTCAATATCTAAGTTTGTGGTTCGTACGTACGTGCAAGTGAGAGGTCTCTGCAATGCAATTAAGTGCAGCAGCTAGCAGAAGCAGTACGTACGATGATGATGACTTTGTGAGTGGTGGGTGTGTAAGTATAGTAACTTTAGATTTCCTTTTCACTCTTGCTTTGCTATGTATATATATATATATATATATATATATATATTGCTACTTTCTCCTAAACTATAAGTGCCTCTCTCTATCACAACACCTAAACCCCAGACTTTCATCTTCCTTCACAAACCCAAACCCCAAACCACCTCTTCTTCTTCTGTCTTCCTTTTGTTCTCGACATGAACCTGGAAGAGAAAGTCACCATGGACTTGATTAATCAACCATCTGAGCATCTTTGCTATGTCCGCTGCAACTTCTGCAGCACTGTTCTTGCGGTAATAATCGCGCACACACTATGTATCTTTGCATGCTAGCTATATATATTAATCTATTTTCCCAACTCTAGATAAGCTTTGTCGACCTTCCTATATCTATATATATGTGTGTCGCTGCCTATAACAAAATGAAACCACAGTCTCTTTCTCTCTCTAACAACAAGAGTATCATATATCATGCGCTTTCAGAATCATACATAACTAAGGATTTAATTCTATGTGGCATGCTGATATGTATGTTCATCTATACAGTCCTGTTATTTAATATCTACTTCTCTCTCTCTCTCTCTCCCCCCGTAGTATAAAATCTTATATAAATGTGTAGGTTGGGCTTCCATTCAAACGGTTGCTGGACACTGTGACGGTGAAATGTGGTCATTGCAGCAACCTGTCGTTTCTCAGCACCAGACCTGCACTTCAAGGTCAATGCCTTTCTGATCACCCCACCTCCTTGACTCTTCAGGTAACCTCTCTGTAATTACTCTCTCTCTCTCTTAGTGTCTCCTTCCCTGTATCTACTCTCCAATGGTTATATAACATATGAATATCTTATATATATGTTCTTAGCTAGGGCTTTCATACAGTATATTAATTTTGGTTATATGTACATATATGTATGATATATGACTATCTAATGAGAATAAGGTGTTGATGACTTTATAATAATGAGAAGCAGGCCGGATGCTGCAGTGACTTGAGAAAGGGCCAATCCTCATCATCATCTTCACCAATATCAGGCGAGCCATCATCCCCCAAAGCACCCTTTGTTGTCAAACGTATGTATATACAAGTTACCAACCACATTTGATATAGTCTCGCCTTCATTAATTACTTGATTAATTATAAATGTCAAATTGTTTTGCAGCACCTGAGAAGAAACACAGACTTCCATCTGCTTACAATCGGTTCATGAAGTAAGGGGATCCAAGCTAATTAACCCATCTTTATTTATTTAATCACTCTTAATTAATTTCCTTTTCTTTGTGTTGATGATACAGAGAAGAGATCCAGCGAATCAAAGCAGGCAACCCAGAGATCCCACATCGAGAAGCTTTTAGTGCTGCAGCCAAAAATGTACGTTAATGAACTTCCCTTTTTTTTTCTTTTTGCATTTTGTTAGCTTGCTAGGGTTCACGTACTACGTTCCCTACGCATTATTAATTTATGAAATATATATATATTCTGACTAGCTAGCTGTCAATATTATATTATTTGTGACAGTGGGCTAGGTACATTCCTAGTCCGTCAGCTGGATCAGATTCTGGGAGCTGCAGCAGCACTAACAACGTAAGAGAGAATATCTTGTCTATATCTATTTCTATATATATTGTTTGGTTGTTGTGGCTTTCGTTCAACTTGAGTTTTGCCTCTCAGATTGATGCTTTGAAGGGCTCAGATTTTGCAGGAATGAACATCCTAGCCATGTGCTACCAAAACCCAAAAACGCCATGACATGGGATGGGGATGATCACCACTGAATTTGGGTTTTGCCTCTCTCACTCAGATTGATGCTTGCTTTGCTTCCCATGGAGATCTAGATCAGCTGCCTACCTTAGCTACCACTACATCATCTCACTTTTTCAGCATATATATATAATTAAAAGTACTCGTTTAGTTCCTTCCTGTTAATTAGAACTTGAGTTTGACTCCCTACGTACTTTTTTCTTTTTGTTTCTTAATGAACTTATTTTGCATTTGAGTACTTTCAATTAGAGTTTGGTATTCTTATTTTGTACTTTTGGAATTTGGATCCTTCTATATATTAACTTTCGAGTTTCACCAATTTGATTTGAGGTTCTCGTTTATAGTTTGTAACTGTCTTATAATTAGGTATAAGAACATGTTTGATTCCTCTGAAATAACATGAGGAACACCCTAGTAAGTCATCAAAGAGGTCTTGGTATACTCTGGTCTTGAGATGGGGTATGTGGCTCGATTTCAAATTGGCTCACGTCCAAACAATTAAAGGCATTGGTTATATTTACATGTTTTCTCTTCAAAGTTTTTTTAGTAAGCCTTTTTAAAATCGGCTATTCCTCTCTCTATATCTCTTATCGTGTGATTAGTTGCATTAGGAGAATGATTAAGAGAGAAACACTAGACTCGTGATAGGCAAGCGTTTCTCACATATTTAATAGTTGCCTCCGTATTTTATTTTAGATATTTCTCTCACATATGCTAATACAAATTTCCTTTGCATTCAACATATAACCTTTTTCTTACTTATTTCAAAATTTTCTGCCATTTATCTTCGAGACTGTCGCATTATTATGTGTTCATATAGTACTCTAAAATTTTTTTCACTTCAGCACATAATAATTTTCATTTAAAAAACGACTTGTTTTTTTCTCCTGGGTTAAAATCCTGAATGGATCAACAACCCGTGACCCGCGATTTGCAGTCTTTAGTCCATAAAGCCCAAACCAATCAGCCGACATCACCGGCGCACTTTCAATTAACAAGGCAGTCGTCGTCGAGGCTAAAAGCGCTTTTGAACGACGTCACTCGTGATGTCATATGATTGCTACAAGCTTGGCATGAAAATGGGGTTTTGGTGCTTTTGGGGCATGCGTTTGCTTCCACATGCACACGAACATGCATTCACAATTCTTTTCACATTAATCTAACATTCATATTGCTGCAAGGACAAAGTTATTCATACTTTTATGTCCAAGTTGTGTATATTTATTTGCTTCATTATTTTTAAAAAAAACAGAGTGGTGGCTGGTGAGCACTATTTGTTAGTGGTTTCAATTCAAGACTTTGATGCTAATCCACTTTTTGCTTTAATCGGAAGTGATTAAGGCTCACAAAAATAGCCAAGATTGACAGACTTTTCTTTGCCCTGAGATGTGTATAAACTTCCACACAAATAAAAACTCCTGCACACATCACACTGTTATTGGTAAGAAAGTCTGAGCTCTTACTTACCTAGTAAGGAAAGAGGTATTTTCCATTCATAAAAGTCAGGCAACCAGTATTTTTAGTTTTTTTATATATATATTTGGAATATTGCAAGCAGAACTTTATTGACTAAAGATTAAACAAGGATAACATTAATAATAAAGTTAGCCTGTTGTTCAGGCATGATAATCTTCCACAAAGAAAAAAGCCACCCTGTGTAAAGAACTTTGATATGAAAAAAGAGAAAGATTTTGACAAAACTCTACACTAATGTTGGTGGCTCCATTCTCTTTCATTGTGGTTTGTGCCTTCAAACTTATCCATGCTCAAAGAGATCAGAAAGCAGGTACAATTTGAACACCATCACACACAGTAAATTGAACCAATGATACTTTAAACTTGTAAGATAATGACGTAAATCATTATATTAGCATAAAGTTTGCACATTACAATAAAGGTGTCAACTTGCATAACTTTACAATATCAGAATCCACATTGCTTTTTTCTCTTGTATTTGCCCTTCAGAATATAAGTTTTACCACCAATGGTATCTAAAGTTTTTACCAGCCATTGTATAGAATCCACCAATATAGTCAGAGTACTGCTGATGCAGAAAAACCCAAACTGCCTCCACCAACCTGCACAATCATTAACGTCGTTTTCATTAAATCCTCATGATCGTGAATATCCTGCATAAAGCTATATACATGCGGAGACACAGCCAGTCATTTCATCCAATGATTACGTGCACACAACACAAGTATACAAAATATGATTAGATTGCCTTTATGCTGCTGCTAGATTTTCGAGGACTTTTTAAAGCAAAAAGGATTTGCTTTGAGAGAGTTTAATCAACTGAGCTACTTGAATGCTGTGAAAGATCCTACACACAATCTGTTGATAATATAAACTTTCAATCCGGGAATGCATTCGGCATTCCCACTTTCACAGGGTGACAAAAAAGAACAAGAACAAAAATTTTAAGTGGAAACACTCACATAATCACATTGTTGACTGCATGACGCTTAAGCAGTTGGGAAACAGTAGTATTCTCCATGTTCCTGTTTTACTTGCAAAAAGTTTCTCTCATGCTCCACTCTTTGAAGATGTGATGACAATTGCAGCAAATCAAAAGTTGTTCCATGTTCGGGAGAAAGACAATACTTGGTACTTAAACAATGTGACTCTTGAAAACCCCCATCTGTGTGAAGTTGGAAGTCAACAGCCTGACTAGAATCTATTACTGATTTCATCTGGTCAACTCCCAAGGAGTTCATACTACGTAGGTAGGACCCGCTTTGTCCACATTTTTCCATGGAGTTTACTCTTGAAGGCTTTTCATAAAGTTGACCAACACTGTGATGAGTACTTTGTTGTATTATCGAGGGGCTAGGAACCTGAACTCCTGCTGAATGGCCTGATAAGTTATGCGATTGAGTTGACAGAAGAGAGAGAGCACAACCGGAGTTTGAGGACCCAGATGCTTTCTGAATGGTTGATGCTACATCAAAAGCAGAGTATTCATTTCCTGACGAAGGAATTCCTGGAGCATGTTGTTTCCCAAGGACGGATTTCGGAAGCATTTGCCTGTTTGCTATAGGTGTTACACAATGACTGTAAGTTGACTCATCTTCACATTTGACATTTCCATACTGGTTAGCATGTGCATATTCTTCTGGATATAGAATGCCACCTGGAAGAATATCTGAAAAGACAAAGGGTGTTCTCTTTGCAAAGGAAGTTCCTACATAACCAGTGCCTGCAAAACCAATACACAAGCTAACTGTAAAAATCATAGCTGCTAATCTCATTCACCTGGTACATGAATATTGATGCTTAGACAAAAAACATATATTCATCCGCAGAACAAATACTTTGTTCTAATCAAGTGTTTTGAGAACTATACTGTTTGCACACATTTTAATCCTCAATGCCAATTAGTGTGTATTAAGTGGATGATAGTGCTCTTTATTGCTTTCGCTTAGAAGATCCAAATTAACTTTACAAAAATCCATAGACAGAGAGAATTAAAAGGACCTCTGTAGGTGGCTGATATCACCACTTTGGCCCTTGATAGCAAAAAAGTTATTTGTGAAAACAACATATTATAGGTAAGAGATGGCCTGGTCAAAAGATTCAAACATAGTGGGACTAAAGAATAGGATAAAGTTATCTTGCCCTTATCTCCATGATCTAGCCACAGACACAATCACACAACAAGGTCTATTCCATCACAATATATATATAAAAGTATATGCATCATACTTGGTTCTGGCATCTTGCAATCTTAGAAAAACTTATCCCCTTTATTCCTCCAGTATCTTTTACTCTCTTTCATTTATAAAACATTAAAGAAAATACTATATTCCTTTGAGTTGATTATAAGATTAAGGTATGTGATGGTCAACATGGCATTGACAATAGTGCCTTTGCCTGGTACTCTGGCTCAATCACTAACTCTAAGATGAACAGTGGCATATGTGTCATTACCTTAAAAATGTTCCTTACTATATTTGAAATAGACTAGAAAATTGCTAAAGCTGTTTCAATATGGATGATTTTTAAGTTCTTTTTCCTTCTTACTGCAAGCAGATGAGATATATGTGGGTGTTCATACCTTGATATGACCGAAGCAACTTATGCGGTTTACAATTGAGGGTATCTAGTTGAGGCTTCCTTCGGCGTTCATTGTGGCCAGCTAGGCGTCTACGACAACTGCGCTTAACATCGTCAAATTCAGCAAGCAGATGAAACCTAATCACAGAAAGATACCATTGTTCATACCAGTTATAACAACTCAGCACTTAGAGCTTGGGGTGAATAATGGTATAAAAATTAAAGAGGAATTCAATAGGTTTGACGTTCATTGTCAGATGTAAACTAGAAACCCTGTGAAAGTTGAAGAACTAACATCAGAGCAATTAAAACTAGATTTTTTTTTCAAGCCCAAAACCCCATTTAATTCATGCCACTCAGCAAAAACCTTATACAACAAATAAAGGTTAAAGAACATAACTGGACAGGGAAAAAAATCGTATCACTGTCCAATTAATTTGCTTAAGCTTTATTTGACTATCAAAATGGAACCTGATAATGGTTGAGGTTGAAGTTGAATTGTAAAGACACAAAACGTCCTCTTCTTTCTTGAAAAGAAAATTATACATTTCTTACAATTTTTCAGCCATCATTTGGAATGCAGGAGGGAATTCATCCCTCACCATCAATATGAGATCCTACTATGTGCCAATCCTAGGAGCAAATATTTAAAGTGGAGTGCTGAATCTGCAACATAACTTTCTTTAACTCTGTTCAGGGTGGTTGTGGTAATGCAGATTCATCTTCAAGACACTGCACCCCATGTAAAAGGGATGCCTCTTTTTCAGATTTCATATATCTTCATCTCATTTTCACTTCTCATAAGTCAACAAAGAAATTCATCACTTAACTTCAGAAATAAACAACTGGGATCATCCGTGGGGTTCATTCCAAATACATAATTAGGATAGGAATTAATACCATCTTTCAATGATTATGTGCCATGATAACTATAGAAACTTAAGAACAGGCAAAGCAAAATGATGGCATGATAAGGAAAATTTAGAAGAAAAAGAAAAAAGAACCAAACCTGCTACACTGCTGACAAAACCTCTGTTCCATGCCATTAACAATCACTTTGGGAGTCTTGGAGTGAGCATCACAAACTCTATGCCTCTTGTGGTAATCCTTTGAGGAGCTAAGATCCATGTTACAACCAAAGACTTGGCAGGTGGGAATGTGAGAGTATGAACCCTTAATGCCACCCCTTTTAGACCTCCCTTTAGAATGTTGACCATTCTGCCCATTTTTGCTATCAGCCAACCTCCCTAGCTTCAAAGCAATGAGTGATGAATCCTGGCTATTAGATTCAGTGACCGGGCTCGAAAACTTGGACCCAGATTCTCCTTCACCCAAAGATGAACTTGAAGAAATCAAACAAGTAGGAGAAGCTACAGAATTATAACTAGAATCATTACCAACCACACCACTCAAGATTTCCACTCCTTGGTTTGTATGAAAAGGCTTCCTCACTATGTCAGGGAGATCCAATTCCATGAACTCCATGCCGTCAACTGATTCTTTACCGAAATTAAAGCAAGTTTTGTTATCCCATTCTAGCAATGGTTTTCTACTCCTTGCAAACGCATCACTTTGTATATCTATTTCTTCGGGAAATAAAAATCCTTTCCCTTCTGAACCGAAACTCCAAGACTCCATAAGTAGAACAGAATTGAAGTCAAAGGAATTATGCAGTAATGTTAATGCCTACCACAATTCACAAAAGCAAACAGTAAATTTCCATTTTAAAATAAATCATAAGAATAGGAAATGCAAATAAATACGTAATGCCTCAGGGAAGCAAAGAAGCACAAAGATTCACCCCCAAAAAAAAAAACATTGACGTCTAAAATCAATAACCACTGTGGAAACAAAATCAAAGCAACCATATCAACAATCAAAGCAATAAGATGAAAAATCGAACATTTATAAATGCCCAAAAACTAAAACAATGATGCTGCATGGAATGAAGCAAACCCATCATATCAAAAGATCAAAACCATAGCTCCACTAGCTAAGTAGCCCAAAAGATCAAGCTTTGTTTGGTTGCTGAGAAACCAGAGGAACTGAGTAGCAAAAGAAAAGTGGATTGCTTGACTTTTTCAGTGTTTTGGAAAAAAGAAAAAGAAAAAAAAAGAGATCAAAACTGAGCAGAGGAAAATGCATAGCTCCATAGTTTCACTCCATTTCTGGTTTTCGTCAGCAATCAAACAGAGCCTCAAATAAAATCCGCACCAACACGACTACAGAGCATAAACACACGAACACTTAAAGCTCAAACCAAAATATACCCAGATTACAGAATCACATATTCCAGTGACTTTCACATTTGAAATCCCATGAAAGAGACTGAAATGTTTTTCAAGCTCAAACCTTGCTTAAGAAAAAAGCTTAGAAGAAGAAGAAGCAGACAAAAGATCATGTCTTGAAAAGAAGCAAAGCAAAGTATACTGAATACCCATTTCAATAAATAACTAAAAAGTTAGAACCCATTGACGTAGGTGCGTTTGGGTTCTAAAATTCTATGGGAAACCAAATGGCTGTTAAAAAGATTCCCAAAAATTTCTGCTCGTTTCCTATGGTTTCTCGGGAAACAAACAGAATATAAAAAGGAAAAAGACAGCTGAAAAGAGAGCGAGAATGAAAGACGGGTGGGGAGTAGTTTTTGCATACCAGACGAAACAATGAAGGCACGGAGTGAGTGAGAGAGACAGAGACAGAGACAGAGAGAGAGAGAGACAGAGAGAGAGAGAGGGAGTATTTTATTTTCAGGTTTGGTGAGGTCGAAGCAGATACACTGTGACTGAGAGTCAACATAATCTCCACGACTCTGTCCAAAAGCATGTCGAGGTCCTTTGTAGCTTTTGAGAAATGATAATTGAGGATACATGTCAAATTCCATTTTAGTACGCGCCCCTTGCTTCTTATTACAGGGGACAAAGTGGACGACGATTGCTTCTTGTTCCTTTTCTTCCAAACAAACTCGGTTGTGAGTTAATTAAATTAAGGTAATCCATTCATTCATTATGTTAACTTAATTACCAATCCTTGGGTATCGATCTTGTGTTTTATTAAAGTGTATCGAAAGTAAAAAGTTAAGTTACTAAACAGATATGATCAAGTAATAAAGGGTTAATATTGCGAAGTGAGAAACTTAGAAAGATTTAAGAAGATTTAGAGAGTAAATTTCCGAGCGTATTCAGAATTTTGTATTGATTATATTTGAGAGTAGCAAGATGATTTATAGTATGCGATTGAATATGTTATTTTTTCTTCGTTTTAATATTACTTTTTTTACGTGTTGAATTGTCGTCTTTGTCGTTGATGGAGATTTATTATAAATTTATATTTTTTTGAAGGGGATTTATATTGGTTAAATGCCTAACGATGTGGCCCATTTTGAGCGTGAAATATACTTTGGACATGTAATATTGTTGGGATGTGGGAGTGGCCCATTGGCCTGTGAAATTGTGGAGGCATTTGGTGGGGCACTTTCTGACGCAGCCAAGCATGCTTGGCTATGTCTGTGCAATGCAACTGTCGACTGTGGGTTCTTTGTCGCTAATTACTAATCATCAGAGACATCTTAAGCTTAAAGATTTTTGTACACCGACTCAAAAAAGACCGTATATGATTGGATTTGGACATGTCTCGAGACATTATCAATTCATTGAAGAACTGAGGCTTGTAATTAATCTGAGAAAAAAAGAGATGAGACAACTAATGATGCTTAATTTAAGAGCTTGATTACTGTTTAGCAAAGGTTAATTGAGGATTAAAAAGAAATGTTGAGGGAGGAAGGGAGGGGAAGTGGTAAGTAACGCTGTTCGCCACTTGTATGGCTTGAAAGGCTGACGCGTGTCCATTGTCAGTCTGGAAAAGCTGAAGATATTGGATGCATGAGATGGGTATGGGGTGGGTGCAGTGGGGAAACCTGCACCTGCTACTGGTGGTGTGACTCACCCTCTCTCTCTCCCTCTTTCTCTGGTCTTGTCCATTTTCTTGCCTGCTTCTCACACGCTCAAACCAGATGCGAACAAAACCTTGAAAACGACTATTTGTGCACAAATTTGCTTTTTTATTTTTTTCGGCCCCATATTTGAACAAGATTGCACCAGTCATTTGCTGTCACTCAAAGAGAAGGAGAGGCATAAATTTTGGTGTAACCCAACCCAAATTGATTCTATGGGCTTTTGGGTCAGCAGTAGTCGAATGGGCCAAAACTAGAAAGGATGGCTCAGGCCAACTTCTATCGCTAAACCCTACTCGGCCCAACTTGTACGAATTTAGCCTTGAAGACAAAGCATTGGATTAATAAATTAGAATTAGGTCTTCCCAACAATTTCAAACCCTTATTTTGTCACTTAAGGCAAAGGCTTGTAATTCAAAAGGTTAAAAACAGTTACTCCTGCGCATGAGGTCTTGTGTCGAATTCTCCCTCTTCCAATAACATTTGTATAAAAAACAAAATAAAAAATTTGTCACTGCACATTTGAACTAATGGGTGCCAGATGTAGACGGATAAGTTTGATGTGGGGAACATTGGGCCATGATGAGGAGGTTGATGCTATCTGGAATGCACCGACAATGATGATCTGGTTGGACTTTGGAAGCCTACTCAAAGCTAAGGCTAGCTAAGGCTGTGTAGCCAATGCCCAGGCCAGTGAAGGTTGATTTTTCTCATCTTAGAAATTTTCACGCTATTCATGTGTATATGATATGTGCACCAATTATTCATTGATGAGCAGAACTTCTTCCAAAAGTTGAGGCCAATTTATGACACTGGGTTGTCATGATCATATTTAATTTCATACCTGATATTATGTTTGCAGTTGCAATGTCCCAGTTAGAACTCCGAGTCTCATTCAGAGCACATAGACAAGGCTCACCTGCTCCCCTTACAAAATTCATCTTATATCTAGTTTCTGCTTCTGTTCCCAAACTTGAGGACAAAAACCATCAAATTCTTTGATCCTCTCTGATCTATGGCCCAACAGATATGAGCATTTTGAGGGCTATGAATCAAGACATGTATAGCTGGCTTGAGGAACCTCCCACATGTATATATAAATTAAGCAGGTTTGTTGTCTCTGCCTTACTTTACCAGAAGTGGTTGGCAGAACACCAAGTCAAAGAGACTCAAAATGCATCTTTGAAATTTCCAAAGAAAATGGTCTTTGGGATTAAGTTTGCAGGACTGTCATGCTTGGTGTTCTGTTCATGCCTCACATTCTTAATCTCTTCCTGTCCTTTTGGTGTGTATGGTTCTGTTTTGGTTCTTAAACTGATGTCCTGTTTTGCTTCTTGGTTGAATTTGTGACTGAAAAAAGAAAAACCCAATGAGCTAAAATTATGGGACCTTCATTAAAATCTATGCGGCCAAAGTGAATTTGATACTTGGATAATGCCTTGTTTTTTTTTTAAAAAAAAGGATCTTTTGTATTGAGAGATGCGATAATATATTAAATTTATACACACAATACGAATGCTAGAACTCGAACTCAAGACCTTACCTAAACGAGCAATTATTCCAAATAACTTCACTAATGAATCCTTTGCGGATAATGTCATTATAGTGAAGTGGTTATGGGGAGCTTGAGTTCTTACTTTGCAGATGCCTTTCATAAAAGAAAACGGAGTTTGATTTATCTGCAGGGAAAAGCAATGTTTATATTTAGTGTTTTAATAATTTTGGGGCCCTCCCTCTCCTCCACTCACTCTGGTAGTTACAGTTACATGCTTTGCTTGGGACCTTTTGGTGCCCCATGCATCATTGGCCCTTTCATAGGCTTTTTGGTTGCCATGCATCATTTTTCAGTCCTCATAAATTCTTTCTTAAAGGCTATCCAAAAGCTCCAATTTTAATTATATACTAAACTTCTTCAGCACAAGTAAATGATGCAGCCTTTATATTTGGCAATTTCATGGCTTCACCAAGAGGATTGTCTTTCAAGTAAGTTAAAATTTGGTTTGTAGATGAGACTCATCCTTCTCAAAAACAAGAATAATGCTACTCTTACCACATTCTCATACCACCTTATGTGGCAGCTAAGGTGGACAGCCACATCAATTAAAATAATTTAATATTTTCTTTTCTTTTATGGTTTATTCCAGTATTTGTTTTTCTAATTGCCTTAATTAAAATGCACTTCATTGATTTAATTGATGTGACATATAAAATGGATATGCCACATCATGTGGTATAGAAATGTGGGATAAAAATGTGGTAAGTGTAGCATTACTCCAAAAACAAATCTTAATTTTAAATCTTTGGCTTAATTACTATTTTACCCTCTGAAATAGGCTTTCATTCTCATTTTACTCATTGAAATTGAAATTTGCTCACTTAACTCCCAGAATCTCTAAAAATTGATAAAATTTTCTCATTTTACTACTTTTGTTCATTTTCATTCACAAAATCGTTAAGTGTGCTCATGTGGTACATTTTACTAATTTTAGCTATTAAAAAATTTTAAAATCCAAAATTAAATATAAAGAATAGATTTTTAACTTTTTTTGGGTTAATTTTTTTTTTTAGTTTGATTATGTGTTTTCAAGAATGAGAATTTAATATTAATCAAACCCCAACCATCATAGTCAAGCTAGCCACAATCTCTACCATCAAACCCACCACTCAGTCATACTACAATCTCCACATTGAACCCACCACACCCATACCAATTCAAACCACCACCATCCAATCAAACCCACTAGTAACTCCACCCATACCAATTCAGACCACCACCGTCCAATTGAACCCACCAGTAACTCTACCCATACCAAATCGACCCATCACCGTTAAACCCAACTGACCAACTGCCCATCGAACCACCACCCACCACCCATCATTAATTAGTGAAATCGAAGAGAGATTGACGAATCTCAGAGAGAGAGAGAGAGAGAGAGAGAGAGAGAGAGAGAGAGAGAGGGAGGGTTTGTTGGGTGCATTGGGGATGAGGGTGACCGGAAAGAGGAAACGGGGAAGATGAAGGTATGGGCTGGTGAGTTGATGGGAATGGGAGAAAGGGAAGAAGGAGTTTGTTAACCCTAAAACAAAGAGTAATGCTACACTTACCACATTTTTATCCCACATTTCTATACCACATGATGTGACATCAATTAAATGAATGAAATGTATTTTAATAAATAAAATTAGAAAAACATAAACTATTATTTTACATGATGTGGTATGTACACATAGGCTGCCACATCACGTGGTATGAAATTGTGGTATAAAAATGTGATAAGACTAGTATTATTCTAAAATAAATTAAAATTAGAATTTTAAAAAGTATTTTTTTATATATTTAATTTGGATTTTAGGCCCTGTTTGGTGGGTTGGACTGGATAAGATTTTTTCATTTAAAATGGACATGAGTCCTGACCATTGTTTGGTGGGCTTAAAATGCATCATAAACCGGATGAAATTATTGGACACCAGTCCATAATAACACCGGCTCTAGAACCCATCGCTTGACATGGGTTTCGAAGCCAACCACGCCTCCTCATTCTTTGAATTGCAAGACTCATCTGGTGTTTTTTTTTTTTTTTTTTTTTTTTTTTTTTTTTTTTTTTTTCCTCATCTCTCTCCTCTCTCTCTCTCTCTCTCTCTCTCTCTCTCTGCCATATCTTCGCATCTTCCAGTCGGTCTGGCAAAGCTTGAGATCTGATTTAAAGGAGGCCTTGTTCTTGAGATCTTATGAGGGAGCCTTGTGATTCTTGCTTTTTTGGGCTCTTCGGTGTTTGGTTGCGGAGATGGCGAGTGGAAAACCGATATGGGATCACAGCCTTGGTGTGAATATTTTCAAGCTCTTGATGAGAATCAGAAGAGATGAGTTGGCGCAAATTCTAGAGGACTTGTGTGAAGAAGGAAAAGATTTTATAGGGAAGTGTTTTGCGATGGATCTGAGAAAGCTATGGACTGCTGAGATGCTTCTAAGCCACCCCTTTGTTTCTGATTATGACATCGTTTTGGTGAAAGATAAGGAAGAGCTCTTTTGGTGGTTCACCATCTCCAATAGGCAATTTTGATTTCCTAGATTGGGTTTCAATGACAAGTTATGAAATTTCACTAGGATTTGGGGATTGTTTTGGAAAGAATGATTTGAATTACGGGTCTGATTGGTCATCGAGACAAAGTTCTATTCCAGCGGGGGATCGGTTGCTGCAACTGGCCATGGAGGAGACACCCAATTGATCTTTCTTTGGAGTTTGGGTCACAGTCCTATGATTCAAAGATTTTTTTCTCATTGTATTCATTATTATAAATTTATTTGTATGTTTTTAAATTTTTCCTATTTTTGTTCTAGTCTTGCAATCTCGACTTGGTGTTTATTGCACCAAACAACTGCTTAAAATCCAGTCATATCCCATCCAATCCAGTCTAATATATCCAGTCCAGTCCAATTTAGCCTACCAAACGGGGCCTTAAAGTTTTTTAATAACTAAAATTACTGAAATGCACATGTCATGTCAGCTTAATTAATTATTTTGTGGATGGAAATTGATGGAAATTGTAAAGTGAGAAAATTTCATCAATTTTTATAAATTTTGGGGGTTAAGTGAGAAAATTTCAATTTCATAGGATAAAATGAGACCGAGCGCCCGTTTTAGGGGGTAAAATAGTAATTAAAGCTAAATCTTATTTGGCTACCATTTGGGTTTAGGTCTTAAAATTGGTTTTTGTGGATGTTGCCTCAGTACCAAGAAAAAAAAATTTAAAGCAGAATGTATTGAAAAGTTTTTGGCTCCATTAGTTTGAATCATTATCCTGAACTGATCTTAAAAGGACGTTCAATTTGGCTTTGTCTAGGGCTCTAGAATCTAGATATTAGCCCTAATACTGATAGAAATAGATTAAGGCCTTAGGCTTAGTTGCCTTTCATTGCTGATCATTTGATTAGACAGAAATGTATTTGATCACATCAATTATTTGAAGTTTAGGCAGACAAAAGTTAGGTGTGCCTGCAGTGAGGATGTTAAACTTTAATGCTTTTTCCCATACCTCCAATGAAATCAACTCCATTTACTATCAATCCTATGTGCCCCCATGTCTGTGACAGCGATGTATCATCTGCATGCCGCATTGGAGTCTCATCTCGGTATATAATCTTTACAGAAACGACAATGTTTTATTTATTTTTTTATGCGAGTGATATAAGGAGAGGAAGAAAACAAACTTAGGACCTCATGTACTGGAGTAAATTCACTTAACCACTTGAGCCTTAATATAGTGCACGAACCAAATGCACTTAACTACTTGAGCCCTAATATAGTGCATGAACATTTAATAACAGTACAAACCAGGGCCAGTAGCCCCGGGTAAATATTCACATGCAGAGCTGATGAGTAACCCACAAAATAATTAACAGTATATACATGATTGCGCTTGTTGTTGTTGCCCAAAGTGATCATGATGAAAAGTGCTAAGAGGTATGCAGTTCACATGGTGTGAGTGATGATGCCTTGTTTCTCCCTAAATGTAGTGGAACATCTCATATGAATTGAATATTATATGATCATGGATTCATGGGAGGAAATTTGGCATGGCACAACCTAATCTAGTCAATAGTCAAGCCCCACCAAACTGTTGCACTGCTGCTGAGGGCTTCTGATTTTCCAACATTTGATATAACAAAAATGGCTGAGGAGGCTTGATCTATACATAGGTCCAAAAGTAAAGTAAAAAAAGCAAAAGACAAACAAACATTCTGAACTGTACATACAGAGAAAAAAACATTGGAAGATCAACTTTCAGAGAGAAGATAAGATAAATAAAAACAAAGAAGCAAAATCTAGGAAATTCAATTTCCTTCTCTCAATCACAAATGCATAATCCAATATCTAACATAATTTTATATCATGTCACATATCAACTGGTAATGGAATAAATATTAAACATCAGGATGAGGCATTGGAAATTGGTGTTCCTGATGATCTGATCTTGATGTTCTCCACATTTGTAGTTTCATACACAGGCAAGCCGCTTGAGTAACAACCCAAGTCATAGTTCTGCAACTCAAAAAGATCAGAGCTTGAATCACTATCTGCACCTTCATCATAATCATCATCATCAACAACCTCACTGAGCCTTTTGAGCAACCCCTTGTGATCCTGATCTGAACTAATCTTGTACTTCTCTGACAACCCATTACTGTATTTGAATCTCTCGTGATCCAACCAAGACAGTTCTCTGTTTGATTTCTTGTCATCCAGGACCACCTCCTCATATTGCAAGGCTGCTGTGGATTTTACTTGTCCATTAGTATTGTACTTTGACAAAGACACCACCTGCTGCTGCAGGTTTTGCTGCTTGTGATCTGAATAGCTTCTCAAGTCTTTGCAGCTCTTTGAGGCTGCTGTTTGTCCATAATTGTAAGGAGGAGGTGTTCTGAAACCTGAACTTGATGAAGAATATATGGACTTGACATCTGCGGTGCTCGAGCTTCGAAAATGACTAATGCTGCTCCTCCTTCTCCTCCTTCCACCAGGACTCTCCTCCTCATGATGGTCTTTCATGGACTGCGTGGTACTGGATTTTGACTTCTTCTTCTTAGATGCTGATTGGTTGAACAAAGAATTCAAGAAGCTAGCTAGTCTCCCACCTGGAGAGCTCGGCTGCTTGTATTTCTTGTCTTTGACGTTTTGCTTTTCCACCACCACATGATGATGATGGTGATGATGATGAGGGTGCTGTTGAGGATGATGAAGCATGTGTCTAATAGGAATGTCAAGGCTAATTCTGCCTCCTCTCCATGATCTGTCTTCTTTCATCATCCTCTGCGAAAACGTCGACGTGCTGTTGGTGTTGTTGTTGTTATGGCTGCTGGGAGCTTCATTGTATCCAGAGAAGTACCTTGCAGCTTCAAACACATCGAGCTCACCTGAATCGTTCCTTCGGTGGAAGGATTTCTTGTGTATCTTATCAGCTGCAGGGTCAGCTGAGAGCACCCCAGTACTAATGCTGGACATGGTTAAGAGACCTTGAAAAATAAGTGTCTGTTTTTGCAACCAGTTGTTTGAATTTATGTCACTGGTGTTGAAGGTATTTAAGGGAGGGAAGGAAGCTGAGAGATGGTAGCATAAAAGGAGGGTTTTGTGAGATTGTGGAGAGATTGATGGGTTTGAAATGATTGCTAGTAGTGGGAAGCTGGCTTTAAAATAATCATCAATTGTTGTGTGTCTCTTTAATATTGATATGCATGTAAATTATATATGATGGAGGTGTTTTTGGATGAACCCCACATTGATGTGAATTTTGGTGCTTTAGTAATAGAAGAGAGTGGGGTATATATATAGTTTCGGATCATTGAAATACCATGCGGTAAATACTACAAGAGTAGTTTCAAATAAACTTATTTGAGAGATCCCTCAACTACTAAGGTAAGAAAAACTTCGAATATCATCCTTGTGATGAGACTGTGAAATAAAACCAGAGGAGTTTGTGCTGGGAATGGTGGGGGAGGATAAAGATCCTGTGTTGCCTTGGATTCTAGGGCTTCTAATCCTTAAGGTGGGAATTTGGCTCTCAAGTGGGTGTTGGCCATGGCCTATGGGGCTATAGGCATGTAATGTTTGCTGACTTTTATGTGCATGTCATTATAGATTCGGAGAATTTGGTAGATGCCACCCAACTTTTGTGTGCTTGGAAGTCACTCTTTAATAAATTTTTTTTTTAAAAAAGCTTCTTGTTGGCCATGTAATTTTTGACTGGCTTAGATTAGCTCTGGCCCAGTAATATTTGGCTGCCTCCTCATTTATATGGCCTTGTAAGATCTACCTGCCTCCTCCTTCACGCAAATCTAAAAGTTATTGGTTAATCTACAACTTAGCCATTGATCATCAAATTTGAAATGGATTAACTGTCATGTGGCAGAGGGGCTAAGAGGGTTAGCATAAAGTTCACAAACAGTTGAATGCACACAATGATGGACTCCTAATTTTGCCTCACTTAAAAAGGTGATTAAGGTTTGAAATACCATCTAATCAATCTTATTGAAATGTAGAATTTATCAAATTTATAATTGGAACCTAAACAAGTAGGATTAAATGCTCAAAAGAAGTAGGATTAAAGGCTATACTGAACATGATCGTCAGTTATAAATTATTATTGATGTAATAAGCGAATGACATTAGCATTTTCGAACGATGAAAATTGTCACATATATATATGTATATGATATATCAGTGGATCATCACCCTCAACCTTGTAACTTACAATGACTAGACAAACTTTTGTAAGAAAAATCCAAAGTGGTGTGTAATATGTTTTCCAAGTCCCACCAAAGGGAAAAAAGAAATATCGCGAGAGGCCTTTTAGTGCGTAAAGTAGACATGAACAGCTTTCATCTTTACTTTTCTCTTTTTTGTGCTCCTCGGTTAGCCAATTGATTTGGCCCATTGCCAACAGAACTCGCACGCATTGATTTCTTCCCCCATTCCTTGGTGTTTGGGGCAGCCGGTAGTGTGTGTGTGGCTGCGAGCACACGTGTGCATTTTACGAACCAAAAGTTCACACGTAACCCATTCATTTGCATGATCATGTCAATATCTACCGATTAAAGACCAACATTGATGTATCAAATACCTAGAAGATTTTCGAGTCCTCATGCCTCCGAGGATGATTTTGATTCCTGATGGTTCTGTTAAGTAAGATTGTTTATGGGGTTTTTAATTAGTCAATGTCTTGGTGTCGGTAAAATAAATATGGAAGATTTATCACGAATAATCTTTATCGAGATTTACGAATGTCTCAACCTTGATGCTTTTGTTTTTCTTTTAAATAAAGTTCAGAATTTTGCGTTGGATTGCATATTTACTCAAAATCTTGTGTCATTTCATTCATCCCATGCCACTTGAGCTTTTCCATCTTGATCCATAAAAAGAAGAATATAATCATCTTGTACCCTATTAAAATCAACGGTTGCAAGAGCAGGGCAAAGAGGATCGTGAATTAATTTCCTTCTTATCTGGTCCTACCAATTAAAAACAATCTTCGGCAACGGATTAAGAGTCTGGTCCTATGCATGGCCAATCTGCCATTAATTCAGATAAGATGCACCATAGTTGAACTCACGAGAACCAGGTTGATAGTAACTTTACATTAATTTCATGTCATTTTCAACACCACAACTTTTTTTCTACAATTGTTTTGTAGCAGAAATGCAGAGCTGGTATCTTCTGTAGGGCAAAAGTAATTGCAAGAAGTGATGAAGCACATTTTCCAGGCGTACTTATAATTATATATGCTCCATATCTGAGGCTCGTGAAGGTCCTACACGAAGAAAAACTCAAAATTTCATTGGACTAAGCCACACAAATATGGACTGTTAGGCCGACTGTCATAGATGATGCTTGTCGTGACTCGCCAGAAAGTTGCGTATCCATCTCCTCTAGCCAATCCTGTATAATCTTGGATAGATTTCTGTGTTCAACATGTTTTGTAGCTTTCTTTTATTGTGCACCATGCATTCTAAAAGTTACCTTTCATGGCCTTCGTTTTCCCACATCAGTCCCATCTCTCCCTGCCCTCTACTTCACTCCTTGTTGTCACTTTGAATCAAATAAAATGAAGTGGCTATACTTATTGTCACATACATACATGTTCGGTCAAGAATTAACATGATTAATAGTTCAAATTTACAATCAAATGACATGAATCAACATGATAATAGTTCATCTTCACAATCAAACGACGTGAATCAACATGATCAATAGTCTAGATTCACAAATGTAACAACGTAAACACATCTTATTTTGTCAATCGGTAAGGGTTTGATTGATCAAAGTTCAAACTTATAGCAAAATATAGGGCTTTCTTGAGATACCCATCAAGGGTTTAGAGTCTTGAGGCTGAGGGAAGAAAGGCCCAATCGATGACCCCACCAAACCCAACTTTGCTAGAGTTGGTAAGACAGTATGGGACAGTACCCTAAAATGTTCCCCAGTCTCACCCAATAGGCCATAGTGTCCTCAAAAGTTTAATTGCTGGCGAGCAATATTCTCTTCCAAATGGGTGCTCTCTGTCAATCAATCTGGGCTTGCCAGTTACCCAAAAGTTTTCTTGGGAGAAGAAAAGGGATTTAGATAAGATAAGAACAGTGGATAATAAGATGCATATTGTCTCTGTGAGATGTGCATGGAATGGAACCCAATAACTTGAATCTATAGGAAGGATTTTATAAATGTAGATGAACCAAAGTATTCTTTAACCCCCTTTCAAAAAATAAAATTTTAGAAAAAAACCCTAAGTATTCTCAGGCATTGGACATACCCCTAGTTATTAGATTAAACGTGGCCAAACTGGATTCACAGATAGTGCTCTCTATCACCTAAAAAGTATCTGCCTGCATAATATCCACATTCACATCCAAGTTTCAATCCAACCCTCTCTGTCTCTTGGAAAGACTTTGCTCTCTCTCTCTCTCTCTCTCTCTCTCTCTATGTGACTTAGAAAAAGACGTCACTCATGTCTCCTATCTTGTTTTGGCAGCATGATTTTGAGAAGCACTTTGTTGGTGTCGTCTTGTGTTTTGTTCCCTCTCAAATGTCTGCAAAGGATATCTTCTACTTGCGCATGGGGCACGAGCAGATAAACTCAAACTTCTCTTCTTTTTTTCTTCTTTCTGGTCCCTGTTTTGATCATCTGCTTACATGCAAGTAAAGATTGTCGGATTCTGATTCATTTCCTCCCACCTTCACTAATATCTGCTGCTTGTATGTATAGAAAAAAGAAAAAAAAAAAAAAAAAACTTGGGCTTCTTCTTTTTGGACTGAAAAGAGACAAACTGACTGGGCTTCAGTTTGTCCCAAACGAGCTCAAGAGAAAAGACTTGAGAATATTTTCAAATTTCAAGTTTATTTGGCCCAACTCATTTTAATCAAATACAAAATTTCTAGTTTAGGGTTTTAGCCTTGAGGCTTGAGAAGCGGACACGTGTTAAAAAAGTTACCGCAGTTACTTGAATCTGGGAGGAAAAAAGCGACATCCCATCCCCCATTTGCATGGGCGCCCCTGCCCAGTGCGGCAGTGCCCTATATATTGACCAGTCAGAGTCAGACACGTTTTAAGTGCTCCTCTTTAATCTCGACAATGACAATGACGACCTCATATTTGCTTTCGTTTTCTTTTCATCAAAGTCCTAGACTCCTAGCTTAGGTCGGTATGTTTGGTTGGATTATAAGTAACATGATGCTGGGCAAATGCTAAAGCGAAGAAAGGTATGGTCTATATAAATTAATATACGTGTGTGTGTGTGTGTTCAAATTCGAATATAATTTTGGAGGAGCTTTGGTGGTCGGTCAATGAATCCTGTGGCTAGGGATTAGGGATTAGGGATGCTAATATATAGCTAGACCTCCCCACAAAATAGTTTGTTGGGCTGTCGATCGTCTGTATTTATGCTGATAGCCTTTGGTTTTGATGTCTCATCAACACAGGGACAATAGCACTTGCCCTAAAGTTCTTTTATTTATTTATAAATTTTATTTTATTATTCTTTTTTGTCTGTTTCAGGTAAAAACAAAAGAACTACCGAAGCAGGTTTATTAACTCTCTATCAATTGGAGTTACATTCCCATCATGACCACCCTCTTTTATGAGAAACACTTGTGTAGAATGAGAATGGCAAAACAGTGTTATTTTCGGTTAATCACGGTATGCCACGTGTGATAACCTTTTCACTTGGCATATTGTGATTGACCGAGAATAGCAAAACAATGCTATTTCCATTTCACACAAGTTTCTCTGCTTCTTTTATTTTAAATAAAATAGTTATTTATCCACATAAAGCAACAAAAAAAAATAAAAAAATATCAAATCAAATTCTCAGTTATATTGTGTTGTTAATTAAGCTGTGAATGTATAGGTGAAATGTACGATTCATATTGATAGACTCGCTAACTATAAGACTAGACATGTTGTAGTATGCCGTCCATTAGAGGGAAGAAAAAATATCTTGGACTAAGCTTTGGTATTCCACAAGGGTCCCCAGAGCCATTCTCCCATCGACACGTAGTAGAAACCCTAAAGTTAGGAATGTCCAAGATGGAGTTGACATTGCTGTCATTTTATGTAATAGACAGTTAAAAAATTGAAAACCTGCTTTGTCTTCTAAAAGAAAACCCAAAAAGAAAGCAACTCAGTCTGCTTATGATTCCTTTTCTATGTTCTCTTAAGCCAAAGCTAAGGAACACCCAACCAACAAAGAGGTAACAAATTAAAGTTCCTAAAAAAGCTTTCTCTCTCTCTCTCTCTCTCTCTCTAAAAAGCCTAACTTAGCTTAGCCTAGAGAGCAAGAATAAAAGAAAACAAAACCTAGTCCCATATTTATATCATAATATACATTATTTAAAAGATTTGAACATATTTATTACATACCAAATCCAGAAATTAATAATGGGAAGAGGGAAGGTAGAGCTGAAGAGGATCGAGAACAAAATAAACCAACAGGTGACATTCGCAAAAAGACGAAATGGGTTGCTAAAGAAGGCGTACGAGCTCTCAGTTCTGTGTGATGCTGAGGTTGCTCTTATCGTCTTCTCCACCCGCGGCAAGCTCTATGAGTTCTGCAGTGGCTCTAGGTGCGTTGATATTATATATGAGAGTTTCTTTGTGTTTTTGTTATGAATTTTTTCATATTTATAATAACAAAAAATGCAGCGTAATTTTTAGGGAACTTGGGTGTGTTGCAAGGTAAAGGGTGCTTTAATATTACAGAAATTGTTTGCGTATGGAATTCGAGATGGGGTTTTTTTTTTCTTTTCATTTTAAGGCTTCTTGCTTGTAAGTTGTATGAATTGAACCCGTGAGACCATTTCCAGAATTTATGTGGATGATTATTATATCACTAAATGTGTACTTGAGAAGATCTAATCAAATATTTTGAATGGTTGATATGATCAATTCTGAGTTTCTTTTGTAAATTATTCAATGGATTGCACATATTCGTACTAATCAAGATTCTCTCTAAGGGGTGCATAATCAATATTCTCCCTAATTAAGTTACTAAGAAGGATATCTTTCATAATGAATTAACAGTAGATGTGAGGATCGAGGGTTGTCAGAATATATATATCTGTATAGGTCCTTTTCTTTTTGGTTCAAGAAACGTAGCTAGCCCTTTGATTCAGTTTCATTACCCGTGATGACCTTACTCTGAAATTTATGGTACAAGTATTTCTCTAAGTTGGAACAAACGTCTAGTAACCTAGGTTAATACATTCGTATATGAATCGATGTTCGGATTCGCGGTGTGATAAACGCACCCCGAATGGATAAAGAAACATATTAGTGTAACCTCAGTGTGTACACCTTACAAAACAAAGTAATAAGGAATAGAGATTGGAAGTTTCAAACTCAATCAAGCTTTAAATTATTAGGAAATGCACCAACACAAACTATATATCACAATCTTATAAGCTTATAAACTCTCCTCAGAGTCGCTTATTTTCATGAGAATTTCAATGGTGTTCCTTCCCTTGATGTGTAGCATGCCTGCTGGAAAATGTTCCACTAATATTAAAATGCAATTATAGCTCTTGTAAAATTTTATTTTTACGGTTTCAACTCCCATTATTTTCCTCTCATACAATTCTCAAGATAAGATATCAAGGCCTGAATGGTACTAACTTTATTGTGACATGATTTGGCCTTTTTGACTTTCCTAGCATGTGAATGTACAGAGTGCATGTACCCTCTTTGCTCTTTTGAATTTGCATAATGTCCTACAATCCTTGCCTGCTTTCATTTTCATTTCAGCATGGAGAAGACACTTGAGAGGTATCAAAGATGCAGTTATAGTGCATTGGAAGAGAGTCAACCTGCTCAGGATTCACAGGTTGTCGATAGTTTGTCTATTATTAATTGGCTTTAACTTTAAGAAGCATATAATGCAACCTATATGCCCATAAATTTCTTAATTATCCAATAGTACTTAGGCTCTCACTTTGTTTAGGGACAACTTTATGGCTCGTTTGATAATCATTTCAATTTATATGATAGACTATAGAGGAAAATAAGAGTGAGAATGGGAGTGATGATGAGATTGAGAGAGATGATAAGAGGATGAGAGGATCGGAGAGAAGAGTAACAAAAGTGAACTATTTCAAATAGATTTCAGTTTTAGTTTTTATTTTCACGTTTTTTTTACTCATTCCTCCCTCCTCCCTCTCAATCCCATCTTCACTCTCATTCTCACTCTTCCATTCTCCCTCTTTTTCCTCTATACTCTAGCACAAAAAATAAAAATTAAAAACTAAAATTGAAATGGTTATTAACGGGCCCTTAATTTCTTGGTTTGGCTGATGCATGTTTGTATGTGCCGGGCAATGGAGTTAAATTTCTCCCCAAAACTGCCTCACTGATTTTTGACATAAGTAGTTGAACTTCTCTGGCATGTTCACAAGCAGAGCAGATACCAAGATTATGTGAACCTAAAAGCAAAAGTAGAGGTCCTACAGCGCACGCAGAGGTATATATGATCAACATTTTGATAGAATTAGAAACTTGTTTGCAAAGCACCCTTCTTGCTATGTAGGTCATATAATTATATTGAGTGTTCATTTTCTTGGAATTCTTTTTAGAAATTTTCTTGGGGAAGATTTGGGTCATCTAGGCACCAAGGAGCTCCAGCAGCTTGAGAATCAACTCGACATGTCGCTGAGGCAAATCAGGTCAACAAAGGTACGTATATTTTCAAAACCTGCTCCAAATTAATTAGCACATGTATCAGTTTCCAACGGAGTCTAGCTCAGTATAAAAGGGGCTTGATTTGCAGACTAGTAATCTCATGTTCAAACCACCGTAGCACATTGATAGTGTTTGTGTGAGAAACCCCCTCCACACACACATATATTATTTATTTGTTTTTAAATGGTAACAATTTGCTATTTATTTGTTTGCAGACCCAAGTTATGCATGGTCAGATTTCTGATCTTCTGAGGAAGGTTAATATATATGCAGAGACTATCTAATTTTTGTTACCAAGTATTTTTTGTTCTTTGCGCTTTCTTTTTGGTGAATTATGTGACCAAGTCTTCCAAGAATTAATTGCGCAGGAACAGATGCTGCTGGAAGAAAACAATGAACTGAGAAGGAAGGTAAATATACACTCAAGCTCAACCCATGCTCAGCTACTTGACCAACATTCATTTCTATTTTCCATTAATCAAAACAAATTCATGTCTTCTCTCCTTATACTAAAGCTTTTAGTCACGTGAAAACGCGATCAATAATCTACAAAAGTAACCCGAAAAAAAGTGACTATTGCCAACATTTTTTTGTAGTGGTTTTGAAATAGCTATACATTTTGGGTCTAAATTTTCATGTAAATTGGGCAGCTGGAGGAATGTGACGCAGCCATTGAAAGATATTCATGGACAACTGAGGAGCAAAATCAAAATGTTCCATATAGCAGCCACCACCAGGCTGCTCAATTTGAGGGAGTCCTTGACCATTCACAATGCAACAATACATTGCAGATCGGGTAACCATTTTAATCAAATTGCATTAATTCCTTGCATCTGTTTTTATTTTATAAATAAATATATAAATTTTGTTCTCTTTCTATGGGGGATACGTTTACAGCTACAATCCTCCTGCAGTAACGGATCATCATGAGCTACAATCCTCAACGCAAAGTCATAGTGGATTAATCCTCCCTGGGACGTGGATGCTCTGAATCTTGGAGCGATACTGTCTCACATGCAGAGAATAAGAGAACATTAAAGAACTTCGTGTTAAATATATGTATTGTTATATGTACAACACCTGTCCTAAATTAGGATTTGTGCTTCAAAAAAAAAAAAAAAAAAAAAAAAAACAAATTTCCTTAACTACATTTCTTTTAATATTTCACCGCTCACCTAATATATTACATGTATTAACATACATTTTTATGTTTATTTGGTCATTTAATCATGTTTAGTTCAACATGAAACTAGTCACTGAGTGTAGCGTAACTTTGAAACCCTAATGTATTTCGGAATGCATAATTTTCAGAATCTTGAGATACATTCTAAGTCCAATACAATTTTTTTAAATTTTTTTGAATATCGGAATTGATTTGAACTTTCCAAAATTGAAAATTTTCGATCCAACTTGCACCCTTAAATGAGAGTCATGTCATAAAACAAATGAGCAGAAGATTATATAATGTAAGCCATTTTTGTTTACTATAAATCCACACCTTCCATTATTTATTTTATCTCATTATATCTTATTAAAAGAAATTAAAAAATACAACAAAAGGAGGGGCAACGTACGATATTGTCTGTCACTCAACAACACAACATTGAAAAATGCGCCCCCCCCTTCGGCACACCGTTCTAATCAAACTCTCGACACAAGTCATCAGTAGAACAATAACTAAATGACTCAACTTAGTAAGAAATACGAAGCAGTTAGATTGACATGACATGTTATTGTCAAACTTAATCATAAATTATTATTCTAATGCGTGCCACAAACTGAACATTTCCTTAGCCAAACAGGTTTAATAAATTAACAAATTAATCATTTTTCTTATGCAAAGTGATATTCCAAAGAGTACTGATATTTCTACTCACCTATCATATTTTCCCATCCACCTTGTCTTCAAAATTTTAAAGACAAATTAACCTCTTTATAAATTGACGTCTACACCTGGATACTCACTTAACTCTAAATTAACACTGTTATGTCAAAACAATAAAAGTAAATAATAAACAAAATTAGAAGAAAAAAGGCCAACAAACAACCACTAGACCACCCACCCAACACCACGAACTGACCTCCCCTCCTCACCTCACCACCAGTCACATATTCAACATTCTTCAAAACTTCAAAACCATGCAATCCCAATTTCACATATTCAACATTCTTCAAAACCACACAATCCCAATTTCATAAATTCAATATTTTAGAAAACCTCGAAAACCCAATTCCAAAAATTCTACTACTTTTTATAACGCAGCAGACCTAATTCCACAAATTCAATCATTTTCAAAACCCAGCAAACCCAATTTCACAATTTCAATAATTTTCAAAACCCAACAACGAGAAGGAACATGTGCATAACATCCTTGTAGCACTTGAGCATGTCATGGTTTAGGGTTTAGGTACATCACAGGTGGTTCATGTTAGGTTTGGTGGAAGGTATATCACAGGTGGTTTTTTTTAGGTTTGGTGGAGTGTGCGGCGACTATTGAAACGAAAATTTTCATTTTCATTTTTTCATTTTTGGACTCAACAATGTTAAGTTAGGGTTAAAAAGTTTCAAGTGAATATCTAGCTGTCAATAATTAAAAGGTATTTTAGGAATAATAGTGGGTAGAAATATAATATATTATTTTTTAAAATTTAAATAGTGAATGAAAAAATAAGACAGAGGTAAAAATAACAGCACTCATTCCAAATTAGTTTGATTTACATAAAACGGATATACAAACTCGAATTAATGATAAGTGACACTATTAATGAAACCAAAAGTGCTTTCAAATAGAAATGCTTAAACGGTCAACATCACGGTAATGTGCCGCGCGAAAGCTGTCAGTGTAAAGAAGAGCGTACGATGTGTGAGGATAGTAAGTAACTAGTGAGCTACTAAATGAGCTCCACTAGAATACAAGAAAGATAAAATGTGGTTCCTAATACAGAGGAAAACGACGACACATTACACCCCAGCCAACCAGAACTCGACAACACATCCTCAAAACCACTTGTACACCATGAAACCGCTTTTCCATCTCAACTCGTGCCATATTAATTATAATCCCCATTTTCCACATACTGCACATACTTTCTCAGACCCCTTCTGAGCTTTGGATACAAGAAGAAAAAGAAAACAAAATTAATTCAGTTCAGTTCATTTGTTTACATATATAGGGTTTCAAGTTGTTGTCTTTCTTTTTTTGGGGCTGGGCTTGGATTTTGCTCTTGTTTGGGTTTTTTGGTGAAAGAAAAATTAAAGAGGCAGGAGGTGCAAGCAAAAGAGTGTAAAGTTTTAACTCAGAGAGATCATAACTGTTATCATGGGGAGGGGTAGGGTTCAGCTGAAGCGCATAGAGAACAAGATCAACAGACAGGTGACTTTTTCCAAAAGAAGAACTGGGTTGCTCAAGAAGGCTCATGAGATCTCTGTCTTGTGCGATGCTCAGGTTGCTCTGGTTGTCTTCTCCAACAAGGGCAAACTCTTTGAGTACGCCACGGATTCATGGTAAATATTATACATACATGTTTTTCTTGATTTCTGTGGTTTTGTTGTCTTTGTCGGTAGGGTTTCATTGTATAACTATGTCCTGACTCAGTGACTCCTGTTGGCTGATCAATTTGTCATCTGATGATGCTGGTTAGTTTATGTTTTTAAGATGTAGATCGTGCAAGGTAATTTGCAGATCGATGACAGCGTACTTGATTTGATGTAAAGTAGTATATACACGTTTGTTTCTTTTTTGGTCAAATTACTTCATGCGTACTTGTCTAAATTTGATCTCAAAATTATGTTAGTGAGGAAGTACTTGTATTTATTTTGGATCAGTGACGAGACTAAGCAAAAAAACCAGTTAACATAGTTAAATCTCCAACGAAGTTTTTGTCAGCAAAAATGAAAATGATGAGAAACAAAGGAGTGGAAGCGGCAGGAAATACTCCACTAACACACACTATATATATAGACCCTGAGAAAGCTCAAAGAAAAAGAAAGGGCATCAGCACAGACTAAAGTAAAATATTTACCATTTAAATGCATATAAGAAATTCTAATCAACATGACTTGAAAGTTCTTGAATGATATAATCTATCATTGATTATTAGCTAATTTGTTGAAGAATATAAGTCTCACATAGGAACCTTGACTAAATAAATTACACTGTATAATGAGTAGTTCCACTACTAATATCACCGAGGCTTTTTGTCCCACCTACTCGGTTTTGTAAGTTGTTAAGTTGGGAACAATATCGGTGTTGATAGTAGTGAGTTGTTGATCCGTTTCTCTGAAATTTAACACAATTAACATTTGATTTCATCTAGATATATACTAATTAGTTTGTAAATTTTATGTATGTTGATGCGCTGATCATGTACAGCATGGATCAAATACTTGACCGCTATGAGAGATACTCTTACGCAGAAAGACAGCTAGTCGAACCCGATTTTGAATCACAGGTACTTGCCTGAAACAGAACTGTGCGGATATTATTGCATCTTTAGACTGCAGCATGCAGGATGTGTTTCTTCCTTATTCTTTTTTAAATGATTGATATGGTCTCTTGGTAATGTTGTACGTTATATATATAATATATATATATATATATATCATGCGCAGTGTAACTGGACCTTCGAATATTCTAGACTAAAGGCTAAAGTTGAGCTTTTGCAAAGAAATCAGAGGTACTATTTAGTGCTCCAGTTACAAAAACATGCTCACTTTGTTTTCCTTTGCATGTCTTTATTAATTACTTGAACCTCTATGGGCAGGCACTATTTGGGAGAAGATCTCGATTCGTTGACTCTGAAAGAGATCCAAAGTTTGGAGCACCAGCTCGAGACCGCTCTTAAACAAATTCGATTAAGAAAAGTACTGAACTAACTAGCTAGAATCAGCCTCCTGATTCTACTTTTGAAAATAAACAAACACTTTAATATTATGTTACGTTGACTTGTATTTGTTTTGATGGCACTGTAAATTATTTTCTTTCTGCAGAACCAACTCATGCATGAGTCCATCTCTGAGCTTCAGAGAAAGGTTAGGACTGTTGTAGCATAAATTTTTTACTTGTAAAAATTGCAGCATCGAGTTAAATATGTTCGTATGTTTTCTCTCATTCGTTGTGACAGGAAAGGGCGATGCAGGAGCAAAATAACTTGCTGGCAAAGAAGGTAAATTGCTTATCTTCTATTAAAATTGCATGTTGATAGATAATCTTTTTAAATAAACTACCAGGTGCCACAATAAACTCGTCAAGAAGTTATATATGTCTTTAATTATTTTGCTTCTTTTTATTTTTATTTTTATGGTTTCTGTTTTACCGTGTACAATTTGTGAATAGATCAAGGAGAAGGAGAAGGCCGCAGCTGAGGAGGTTCATAACTGGGAGCAGCAAAACAATGGCCTTAACATGCTTCCACAGCCGCTTCCATGTCTAAACATGGGGTGATTAATTTTCTAGGACCTATCTATCTTGAAATTAATGTTTTCATTTCTTTGTTAGTAAATACTTTACATCTAAAATCATTCTAAGTTACATGAAAATATGTTATAAAACACCGCTGATCGATAAACTTAACTTCTTTTTTTCAGGTCAGAATTTATTTAAGTGGGGTTTCCATTAATTAATTAACTTGCTAATCTGCAATACATCATATGATCTTACGCAGGGGCACGCAGCAAGATGAATTCCTTCAGGTGAGGAGGAACCAGCTGGACCTTACTCTGGAACCATTATATTCATGCAACCTCGGATGCTTTGCTGCTTGATCATCAATCAGTACAAAAAGAACAAAACAAAACTATATATGTTGGTTTGGTTGTGTATTAAATTTCTGGTTTCTTGGTTAATTTGAACCTAGACATTGCTAAGGTATGTGGTCGCAATCCAATCATTGACAGACTATCAAACAATGCCAATGAGGATTTGAACTTTAAAACTGTTCTATTTATTGATGCCATAATTGTTGAGTAAATATATGTATGCTATATAAACTCTATATGACTGCCTTTTTGTTTAATTTACCACCAAAAATAAAATAAAAAAATCAGAAATCAGAAAAATTTGAATGGTAAATAAAGTAAGGTTATAGAAAATGTTTGAATATAAGACACTGTGATGATGCACAAGAAAAAGAAATGGAAATATCATGGGAATGAACTTCATATATAAGAGAGAAAGGTTAACAGCTAGAATAACATTTATCTCATTTGGACAATTAATTTAAGCCGGAAAGTTATAGAATGCTTACAGAGCCTTGATCTTTCGAGAAGAAAGATTTTCAAAAAAGGAATGGAAGAATTGATATAAATCTAGGGTATCTAACATATGGATTATGAGCCTTTCGTGCATCTACTTCTTAGAGTTTAGATTGCTTAAACTCTTCCACACACACACATATATATATATATATATATATATATACTTCAGTTGGTCGTTGCTCTTCACTCTTCAGTGATCATTGCATGCTAGACATTTTGGTTAAGTCTCAAGATGATTCATCAAATAGCATCACCTGGAAAATCAATTTGAAGACAGTCAGGGCCTGTCTGGTATTCAACTTGAATCCAACCTTTTAAACTCAAAAAAGGAATTTGAGTCCAAAACAAAGAACACCTGTTTGGTAGCCCTATTTTTAAAAACTCAAACTCAAGAACAACTAAAAAACACCCCAATTATTAAAAACAAAAAATATATATATTTTTTTTTCTAACAACCCACAAGTTCTCAAAATTTTAAGATTTGAAAACAGTTTTCAAGTTGCATACCAAACAAGTTTTTGAATTTTAAAAATAGATTTAAGACCTCATTGTTTTTAAGAAAAATCACAATTTTTGAGTTCTCTATTTGAATAGGATACCAAACGCCCCCTCAAATTCCATATGAAGTTACAAATCCAGCTCTCTTACATGCACCTCACTCTTTTGTGAGGAAGCACGATTGAAACTTTTTTCAGTAGATTGAAAAAAATGAGAGTTGAAAAAGAAGTTGGGCGACAGTTTGGATTAGGTTATGTAAAAATTCAAACACCAAAAAAAGATATTTGTTATCTATACAAGTTATAAGAGTTAGGGAAGAAATTGATTACCCGTCTGCAAATAGGGCAGTATTGGCTTCTCTCCATCCATTCATATATACAAGCAAGGTGGTAGTGGTGAGAACACTGCATGGTTGTCTTAGGATTTTCAGGTGTGTATTCTGCAGTCATTACAAAAACAGAGGTGCCAAGTTTTTACAACCAAACTAATAAGAAGATAAATTATATCTTTAAAAAATCAGTTATAGATTTTGCCATATGGCACCAGAGATTGAGAAAATAATAATCACCTTCGAAACATGTGGGGCATTCATCCTCATGTTCTATTGAATTTGAATCATGTAAATAAACAAGTTCTTGGGCTCTTTTTCCAGATGGTGTAATCTCATTGGGTGCTGTAGAAGAGGCTGGTGCCGCCTGATCAGCAGATGGATTGACTGACTCTTTTCTGCCATTCTTGATTGAGGCTGCAAATTCCTTTATCTAAACATTTAATGATAGATATCATTATCAGAAATTGATTAGAAGCAAGTAGAGCCAAAATAAAATAAAATAAAATAAAAACAGAACCAAAGAATTTGGGATACTGCTTGTAATGGAAAACCCAGAAACATACTTTGTTGCACAAGTTAGGGATGAAGCCAACATCATTATTATTATTATTATTGGCATTGTCAATGTCATCTTGTACATGGAAGCAACAACAAACAGAACCCATGACACCGCTTGATCAGTTTTTTGCTTCCTTCAAGCTGAACCAGTCCTCCCCTGCCTTGTCTGCAGTGATCGTAACAAAACCAAAAATATCTAAATATTTTAAGAGGCATAAAATAAAAGAACCAAATCCAATATGAAAAAAGAGGCTTGATGAAGTTGCAGAGAGAATATAGAAGAAAGCATACTTGATAGATGGATACTCAATGGTGACGCTCCCTTCCTTCTTCCCATAAAATCCCAAACAAACCAAAACAGAAAATAAAAATAAAGAAGCGGTAATTCAAGTCCTAAAGCCGTGTTATGTACATAATCCTATTTGTGTAAGGATGCTGGTTTCCGCATACAATCAGTATTCAGAACTGGAAAGGTCAGCATTACGTGTGGGCCATTGTTTGTGGGCCTTTTCCAATTTTTTGGATTTTGGGTCGGGCCGAAGCCAATTTGGATTAGGCTGAGTTTTGAACCGACTCAACCTAAAGTTTGGAACGAAGTTTTTGTATGTGTGTGTGTGTGTTCTATTTAAATGAGGGTCAAGCGTAAAGCATCCTCTTGTCCAGGGTTTATTTTCTGTTTCTTAACGTACTGTTTCTCTCTTGTTCCCTGGCTCTCGAGGTTAAACGTTTAATTTGAAGACTTGTTGGTTTCGAGGTCGGAGGTCTTTCAATGGTCAAAAAATGTGGTGCAACGAACCCGGAACTTGCAGACGAAATCATATTCTCTCATATACTCCCACGGCTACCGGCAGAGGATCTGATGCGATGCAAGTGCGTATGCAAGTCTTGGTCTCCCTCATCCGCAGCCCTTCCTTTGTCGCCGGCTTCCACGACTTTCACAGCAATGACACCACTAACTTTTTTTTCGAACGGATGGACGAGTTCTTCTCGTCAAAAATAGAGCAACAAGGGACTGTTCCAACACCCGGCGCCGAAATTTTCCAATTTCCGAATGATTGTTTTACTGATGTGCAGAGTGTCCATGGCTTGGTTTGTGCATCCTCTCACTCTAACTCTGTTTTCATACTTAACCCTACCACCCGAGAGTCCATCCAACTTCCCCATTCCCGTGTAATAGAAACCTGCAAGCCTTCGGTTACATATCGCTTTGGGTACATTCCAAGTACCAACAAGTATAAGGTTCTCCAGATCCTCTCCTTTCGTCTAGACAGAGATGGAAAATGGGATCTTCAGTTTAACACGTTCACACTAGGTAGGGATTATTGGTGGAGGCCATTGCAGGTAGACCCTCGCCATCTTCCTTTTGATTCTCTAGCTTATGCCTTTGACTCTTATAATAATATACTTGGACATAGTGGAAGTGTGTGCCTCAATGGGGCCGTCCATTGGATATACGAGAAGCAGAAATTGATAGTCGCATTTGACTTTAGAGAGGAGACATTCAAAGCGATCCCACTACCTGAAGATAATGATCAAGAGATTGCTGATTATTTTGATCAAGATGCCAATCATTATATAGGTGAAGGTAATCCTGATGATTATTGCCATCCAAGTATGGTTAAGGTAGGGGGATGCGTGGGTGTGATTGTTGACATGTCATGGAAACGGGACGAGATCATGTTATGGACTTTGAAGGACTATCATCATAACCATGTGTGGGTTAAGGAGACCATTAGCTTGGCATCAGAGCCAAGATATCTTGATTGTCCTCGCTACGTTGATGCTTTGGTTACAGTCCACACTGGTGAGTTTGCGCTGGTGCACTATTTTGTTGGACTTACTCCGGGATATGGCGACGGTCCACCCAGAAGTTAATTACTATTTATGATGATAGCATTGTCCCCTTAAAATGAGAGGGATTACCTTATATAGCCATGCTCTTTTTTGTTCTCATGAGCTAGGTATTAGCATACTTCACTGTATTTTGCTGTTTTCTTTTTTTCTTTTTTTCTTTTGTTAGGATTAATCTTTCTTTCTGGGGCACTCTATTTTTCTATTAATACAGTATAGCAATTCTCGTCCGTGTATTGGAATTTGGATAGTATATATATGTCAAGGAATAATATTTTGAGACTAGTTTCTTGTTCCTAACCTAACAAACCAATGCCGAATGCCGATGCTTCCTTCCTTTCTTCCCATAAAATCCCAAACAGACCAAAACAGAAAACAAAAATAAAGAAGCGGCCGGTAAAGAGTAGAAAAGCAAAACTCCAGTCCTAAAGCCATTGTTTGTGGGCCTTTTGCAACTTTTTGGATTTTGGGTCGGGACCAACCCAATTGAGCGTGCGGCCCAAATGTACAACGGTATTCAATTATGATTTTTAAGTAATCAATAAAAGTTTGATGTCATTTAATTAGGATTTTTAAATAATCAATACAAGTCCGATGGTATTCAATTAAGACTTTTAAAAGATAAGAAAAAGTATTGTGGTATTCAAAAACTTACCAATTATGGTGTATTGTGTGAGACTTTTGAGGCTGTGATATACGAGAAATTATACAATGGTACCGTATCACCACGTCAGCTGGTGATACTTCCATTCAAAATATGCCACGTATTATTATTTTTAAATAATTAAAGCTTTTTTTTAACAGCTGGACTTTAAATATGTTTTATCTTTAAAATAAAATTGAGAAAATAAGAATATCCAAAAGACAGAACCACCGCCCACCCCAACCCTGGCTCCCTTGACTGAACCACTGCCCACCCCACCCCAACCTCCTCCCTTGACAAGGAAGAAGAGACAACAGAAAAGAGGGAAACAATAGACCACAGCAACAATCGAAACTAAGAAAGCAATAGACAGCGGTCAATCTGGACAAGCCAACAAAGAGCCCCACAACAGCTTACTGTACCAGACACAAAACGGATAAAACACTCGGCATGAGGCAATTTGTATTTGTACAACAGTTATTCCCAGAATTAAATCTTTATGCCTCATGAATCAACCAAAGAATCTACGGTTTCAAATTTTCATGTCGTGGTAAGGATTATGAAGGCATATGTTTTCATCAATCACAAAGGTGTGCCATGAATCTCTTGAGTGGCATGCGATATTTATGAAAGGCTGGTGGGATTGTGAGCAACAGAGGCACTCGTTCATCATGAGGCAGTGAGAGGCAACCAGGTGGTGAGGTGGGTTTAAGTGATGGATACTCCTGACATACTTAGAATATATGATATTGGTTTTGTTTTCTGCTCCCATGGTTTAAGAGATCTTGCAGATTTTTATGGTGAGTGAGGGAGGGGGCGGCAAGCAGTGGGAGTGGGGAAATTGGGTTGGGTTGGGTTGGGGTGGAGGTGGTTATGGCGTCTTTTGGATTTTGTCTTTCTAAAATGTTATTCTAAATGTAAATAATGAATTTTAAATACAAGTTGTAAAAAAAATCAATTTTATTTAAAAAATATTGACACATGGCATATTTTGAGTGGAAGTATCACCAGCTGACGTGGTAATACGGTACTATTGTATAATTTCTCGTGATATACATACCGTATCACATAACAAATCACACCCTCCTATGCATGATTCTCATATATATTCTCAATTTTTTTTTATCTCCACTATTTTTTCATGCTTTTTAAAAAAAAAAAAAAAAAAAAAAAAAAAAAAAAAATTCATTCAAGATAAGAGACGATAAAGGGCCCACATCACAGCACACTCCCCATTTTTCCTCTTTCTTTTTTTTTCCTTTCCTCCCTCCCTCCCCCCACCCCCCCCCCCCCTCTCTCTCTCTCTCTCTCTCTCTCTCTCTCTCTCTCTCTCTCTCTCAGGGTACAGTAAACAGCCACCATTTTTTTCCCCCAGAAAAACAACCACCACTTTTCTTAAGATAGCAGAGTGATTATTATTGGTATTGTTAGGGGTAAACAACACCATCCCTTCAAACAACGAATCCATCTCATCTTCCTCCATATGATTTGGCTACCCCTAAATCCAAAACTAAAATCTTCCAAATCCAATGAACCACCAAAATATGAATCAATCAAAATCTGACAAAAGAAAATACGGAATTGCTTGATCTTAGTCCCAATTTCAAAACTCAAAGCTTGCCTCTTTGATTTTTGATTGGTGTGGCTGATTGGTTACTAGTACTAGTGCGCTGTAGAAGAAAAGATTTTGAAAAGGATGAGGCAAGCACCTTTTAAGGGTGGTGGTGAGCATACATCTTTGGTTAATGTGGTGAGCAAACATGCTCCCATAGGAATATAAAGTAAAATCCTATAATTGTAATCTATTAAAATCATGTAATTGCAATATATTAAAATCATAAGTAAAATCATATAATTACAAATCCGATTGAAATCCATTACATTAAAATTTGTTAAAATCTCAATTGAATACACCCCCTTAAAGTTTGTAGTATGAGGGCTAAAACCGCTTCTTCACAATGAAAAATGCTTATAAAATTGTTTGGCAAAAAATCTTATGAATCATGAAAAAAGAATTTAAAAGCACTTTCAACCACTTTTCTAAAAAGCACTTGAATATCTAATAAAAATATAAGGCTCGTTTGGGAGTGCTTTTAAAATTGTTAAAAGTGCTTTTAAATGGGTAAAAACACTTCTATCTTTTAAAAATGATGTTTGGCAAAAATTGTAAAAGCGCTTTGGGTGGGATTCAAAAGCACTTGAAGTGGTTTTTAAGAAGCACTTGAGAAATGCTTCTTCATGGAAGTGCTGCCAAGTGAATACACGGGAAGCACTTGGCTCCCTTTAATGAAAATTTCAAAACACCGAAAATATCCCTATTTAATTTTCTAAAACGCCAAAATACCCTCTTCTGTTCTGTCGGTCGCTTCTCATCAGACTCCATCTTGTTATTTCTCTCTCTCTTGGCCTCATGGTTTCTTTCCGGGTAGAAGATTTGACTATCAATTGAAGGCCATGGCCATGGCCATCCTTGCTTCTCTTGCAGATCGTATTCTAATCATTAAAAACCATCTGGGTATTTTTTGTTTTTGGATTTCCTTATCTGAGTTCTCTAATTGGATATGTTCTTCTATGATTTTTTATTATTTGGATGAAACTGGATCTTCTCTGCCTTGAAGTCCTTTTCATATTTTTGAATTTTTTATTTAGTGTGTAGGAATTGAAGTCTTTTTCATGGTTTTGAGTTTTTTTTTCTTTTTTCAAATTTGTACGCCTGGACTTGTCAATTTCTTTCCGGTTTGTTTCATGAGTAAAATTTGCAATGGGCTTGATTGAATTAACAGTTTCATACGTTAATTTGGGTCAATCTGTATTGATTTGTTCGTTTGCATACTATCTGGAATCAATGCAGCCAAAAGGGTGTTTGTTTGTGCAAATAATCTCACGGGAAAATATTCGCTTCTAGATCCTTCAACATTCGATCTTCCTTCTCTCTCTTCCTCGATTCCTGTAAAACAGATTGGAGTAAATAGACCACACCCGGGGGGTGTTGGCCAAAGGCCCTCCGATGCCTAAGTTAGTTCGAGTGTTTGTAGGAAAACAATAGCTAAGCAAAGGGTACGGAGTAGTGTTTATGTAGGGTGTGAACCGGGCGGCCGGAGCCGTGTGTGGTGGCCGGAGCCGTATGGAGAAAATATGGAGAGTGGAGAGGGAGAAAGAGAGAGCTTCGGGTATTTTTCTCGGGTATAAGGAGTAGGTTTAGATGTACCTTGAATGATGAATGAAGTCATCTATTTATAGGAGCCTCGGGGCTAGGGTTTCGTAGAGAATATGCTGAGTTTATTCTCTACCCAAATTCGTAGGGATCGAGTAGGACTGAGATAATATCTGATTTAATGATATTATCTCTTTTTATGGAGATAATATCTTAATTAAATGATATAATCTCTTTTTATGGAGATAATATCTGAGATAATGACATTATCTTCTCTTTATTAGGATAATATCTTAATTAATGATATTATCTCATTAAATAAAGATAATATCATGTTAATTAAGATATTTATCCCAATTAATTAATTGGCCAGATAAACTGGTTCAATTAATTAATTAAAAGAGATAATCTTCTTTTCCACGCGGCGCGTTGTGATTGGAGACGAAAATATCTGCTCCCACAAATGCCCCCCCAGCTTCTGCATGGCGCTTGTGTGGCATGTAGGAGATGAAATTATTTTTATACATTTTTTTTTTCGGGCTCTCCAACTGTGTCTGGGCTTTATTATGTGAGTTGGACTCCTTTGCAGATCAGATTTCCAATTGGCGTAGGCTTTTGACTGTTGTTGGAGTTGGATTCCCAGTAGGAATGAGCTTGCGATCCCTCCTTGACCTGGGTTGTCCAACCTGTATAAATACAGGGCTTTTCTTCACTCTTTCTCACATCACAAACTTAACTTCTTTACCTTCTAGCTTGAGAAAGATCTTAGGGAATTTGTACTGCTTTGTTGAAGAGGGGAATTGCCGTGCATCCAAAGTAAGTCGAGCTCGTGAAAATATATATGCACATATATATTTTTTTCTTCTGATTTTTGGCAGCAAGGAGGTGGTCCAGCATGGGTTGCAAGTTCGTGCATGTGGTGACAAAAACTGGAGAATTCGTGCTGGAATCAAATGGAGCATGAGGCGCATGCTGGTCTTGGAGCTACTTGGCCTGGGCTGGAGCTGGCGTGATGCAGGGCTGGCACATGCGCTGGGCTCAAAGAGACAAAAGGGCTGGGATTTGGAGCAGAGGCGGAGAGGCGCTGGGCCTTGCGCGTCGTGGGCTTGCGTTGGGTAAGCAGGCCGTGCGTGCTGGAGCTGGAGAACCGGGCCAGGTTGAAGTCGGGCCGCATGCGTGCTGGGTTGCGTGCGCTGGGCTGGAAGGACTGACGGGCTACTCATGCTGGGCTGCTTTTTTTTCTTTTCTGTTTGCTGCCAGCTTTTCCTTTCTCTTTTGTTTTGTTTTGTTTTGTTTTTTTTTCTTTTTGGGATTCTAACTTGTGGAATTTTCTTCTCTTCTTGCAGTTGTTCGTTGACTAACCATGCCTTCCAGAGACGGTAGCAAGGCTTCAAGCTCTCAAGTGCCTTTGTATTTGTGGGGAGGTTCCGAGGTGTACAAGAAGAGGTTTGTGGCCAACCTGCGCCGCGTTACAAATGAAGATCAATTCCAGAGGTGGCGGGTTGCTTATGCTTCTGCAATTCCTGAGGATGTGCATATCAAGCTGGCGAAGCCTTTGACTGACTACATGCCTTGCGTGGATGCGAATGATCCAAATGCGAGAATCATCACCTTCTGTCCCTTTTACTTCTCCTTGGGCTTCAAATTCCCACTGTCAAAGCTCTTCAAGGAGGTGTTTTGCGCCATGGGGTGTGCTCCGAGCCAGTGTACTCCCAATGTTTATCGGGCGATCATGTGCTTCGAGAATCTAAGCCGTTTCTTCACGTTGGAGCTAACAGTGCGAGAGTTCTTCTATTTTTTTGAAGTGAGGTGTTTCAAGGAGTACGCACAACTTCGCACCTGTAATGTCAAGCTGTTTGACAGTCTTAGCCAAGGAGATCACGTGTGGCATGATGATGTGTTGGAAGTCAGCGGACGGTGTGAAGGCGATGTTGGTGATGGTCCACTTGTTCTCATCACCTATTGCAACGGTACGTCTTTTTGCAGGTTCTTGATATGCTTTTTTTTTGTTTGAATTTCTTGAAGCGTAGCTGACTAACTTCTGTCTTCTGCTTGTAGCGGACGACATCAACAAGAAATTGGAGCTTGAGCCTGACATGGCTAAGGTCCGCCGCGCTTTGAACATCCCCCAAAAGTTCCGTGAGTGGCGTTGGCTGTTGAGCGAGTATCGGGAGGAGGACGGTGGTCTGCCTCCAGCCGAGGATGTTGAAAGATGGAAGCAGAATGGTCCGGACCCTGATGATCTGTCTGCTGAAAAAGAGACATGCTCTGCTGAACCCTCATAAAAAAGGAAGGCTGAAGTCAAGTCTCCGAGAACTCAAGCTACCTCTTCACGGGCGAGGAACGTGTCTCCCTTCTGCTGAGAAGATCCCAGTAGGAGTTGTTCCCGCCTCATCTACTAGGGTCAAGCATCTTGTTGGCGCAGACAGCAAAAAGATAGGCGGTATGCGCAACATAAGGGATGCTCCCCTTAAGCCTCTTGCTGATGAGCTTGGAGATCATGATCTGCTCCGTGAAGTGGTCCGTGTGCGATCTTGCTCACATGTTGAAATACAAAGAGATGCGGATGTTCTTCCCCGAAGTTTGGGTCGTTTGCACCAGTCGAAGAGTGGAGGTCGATGTGGGAGGTTTGCTCATCCATCCAACCGTCATGATCCAACTGTTGAGTCACGAGCAGTCAAGCATGGAGTTGATTCGACGTCGCAAATTCATTTGGAAGTGAGGTTGGCGGAGGCTAGGAAAGCAAGAGAGTCATTTGCCCGGACAAAAGGTTCTTCTGCAACGTCAGCGACTGATCCAAAGGTGGACAAATCTAGCCCTGCAGGGGATGCAGGCGTGTCTGATCTGCTAAAGACGCAATTTCTATCAAGTCCATCCTCTTGTGCTGAGCTGGTTGACCAAATCCGTCAGGCTGGCGATCTTGGTGCTTTCTCAAGTCTTTCCTTGGAAAAACAAAGGGAAGCGACACTTCATCTGCTTCAAAAGGGAGTAGTTTTTGCTGCTGAGACCATTCGGAACTCGCCTGCTGTTGCCCCCCTCTTCTGCTCAACTCAGCGAGTTGGAGAAGAAGAATACCGAGTTAGTTAGCAAACTTTCCGCCGAGCAGACCCGTTATGAGAAGAAGACGTCTGATTTGCGGGGGATGATATCTGAGTTGAAGAGTTCCCTTGCTGAGAATGATTCCGAGCTTAACTCTTCTGCTACTGACTTGGAAAGTCGAAAAGATGCTTACTTCCACCTTGAGCGCAAGAATGCCGACATCTCTCATACCTATGACAAGCTTTTGGCTAGATTTCACGCCTATCATGAGTCTGCTGAGGAATCCAAGTCCGAAGTTGCCATGGACGCGTACAAGTTGGGCTACTTGGACTGCACAAAAGGATATGATCCCCTCTACGCCATTGGAGATGAAGACATCGAGATGCTCTATCCAGACTTGCCCCCTGCGAAAAGTGAGGAGGCTAATGCTGTGAACACCGAAGGAGCTGACGAGCAGGTGGCTAAAGAGGCGGTAACTGAGGAAGATGGAGCAGAGGAGGATGCAACCGATGAGGTGGTGGCAGACGTCATAGATCAGGCATGTGGAGCTGCTGAAAGCGTGGCTGATCAGGCGGACGCTGAAGAGGCTGTAGATCAGGGATCTCCTGCTGGTGTTTCGGAGTAGACGAAGACTCCTTTATTTCTTTTCAACTTTTGTAGTCTGCTTTTGTTTAGAATAATTGGTCTTGTTTGACCATCTTCTTTTGTTTGAACTTGGCCGGTTGGTCGCCTTGCTATGAAAATTTCAGTCTTTATTTTTCAACTTCAATTTGCATATTGTCTTGTGAACTGCTTGAGTAACCGGCTAGTGTCTTGATTGCACATCTCCCTTTGGAGATTCATGAGTGCTAGGGTTCCCCTTGAAGGACTTCGAACGTGTTCTGCATATCCCTTAGGATGGCTTGGTCGTCGCCCTGCGTCTCCCTAAGGACGCTACTTATGGGCAACTGTGTGACTATCCTGCCTCCCTTAAGAAACGGATAGGAACCTGGATACTTCCCGCAGGAGGCATGGAGACCTCCTTTTAAGAAATTCTTGGCGCACCCCTGCGTCTCCCTTAGGACGCTTTTTTAGTGGGCTGCGTCTCCAAACGGACGCTTTTAGTCGTCGCCTTGCGCCTCTCTTAGGACGCTGCTTATGGGCAACTGTATGACTATCCTGCCTCCCTTAGGAAACGGATAGGAACCTGGATACTTCTCGCAGGAGGCATGGAGACCTCCTTTTAAGAAATTCCTGGCGCACCCTGCGTCTCCCTTAGGACGCTTTTTTAGTGGGCTGCGTCTCCAAACGGACGCTTTTAGTCGTCACCCTGTGTCTCCCTTAGGACGCTCCTTATGGGCAACTATATGACTATCCTGCCCCCCTTAGGGAACGGATAGGAACCTGGATACCTCCCTTAGGAAATTCCTAGCGCACCCTGCGTCTCCCTTAGGACGCTTTTTATGGGCTGCGTCTCCCGAAGGACGCTTCTGGTCGTTGCCCTGCGTCTCCCGAAGGACGCTGCTTATGGACAACAGTTGTGTTTTGTAGGTAGATGAGACATTTTGGAATGAGAAACTGAACTTATATTGATATTCATAAGATTACAGTCCTTTATTCGAAAATGGAAATCACTGAGTACAAAAACTTGGAACTTCTAGCAGTCAGGATGAAGCATTACGGATAATACTTTCGGAGATGGTAAGCATTCCATTGCCGTGGTATTTCCTTCCCATCCATGGTGTCCAGCGTGTAGCTTCCTCTGCCCCCGTACCGGCTGATCACATAAGGGCCTTCCCAATTGGGTTTTATTTTCTTAGACCCTTGTCTTTGTGCAGTGATAAAGGCTTTTCTTAGCACAAGGTCGCCAGGTTGAAACTGTCTGATCTTGGCTCTTTTGTCGTAGTAGGACTTCAACCGCTGTTGATAGGAGGCGACTCGGACAATGGCCTTCTCGCGCTCTCGCCTTCAAGTAAGTCAAGGTTGAGTCTCATCTGCTCGGAGTTCTGCTCTATACTGCCGACTTCAATGCCTATAGAGGGGACATTGACGTGAGGAGGAATGATCGTTTTAGTTCCATAGGCAAGGGAAAATGGGGTTTTGCTAGTCGACCTTCGTTTGGTGGTGCGATAAGCCCATAATACTCCGGGGAGTTCGTCCACCCATTTCCCTTCGGCGCCTTCTAGCCTTTTCTTCAAGCAGTCTAATATGACTTTGTTGGATGCCTCAGCCTGCCCATTTCCTTGTGGATACCTTGGAGTGGACAGGTGTTGCTTGATCTTGTATTTCGAAAAGAAGGAGGTGATCTGCTTTCCAATGAACTGTGAGCCATTGTCAGTGACCAACGATTGTGGGCAGCCGAACCGGCAGATGATATTTCTCCAGATGAATCGCTCCACATCGGCTTTTTTAGTAGAGGATAGAGCTTCGGCCTCGATCCATTTAGTAAAGTAGTCGGTGGCGACGATCATCATTTCTTTCTTGGCAGGCGCCGGTGGCAAGGGACCCACTAAGTCGATGGCCCATTGCATGAATGGCCATGGACTGTTTTGCGGATGGTAAACTTCGGCAGGCAGATTAGGGATCGGCTTGTATCGTTGGCAACGATCACATCTTTTGACATATTCAGCGGAGTCGTGGCGCATGGTAGGCCAGAAATAGCCTACGTTTAGAGTTTTCTGGGCGAGTGACCTGCCCCCTGAGTGGTTGCCACACTCGCCGTCGTGAATTTCGCAGAGGACTTCAAGTGTTTGAGGGTACTTTATGCAGGTGAGATGAGGGCCGGAGTATGATCTACGGATGAGCTTGCTGCCGTGCATATAGTATCTCGCGGCCTTCTGCTGGACCTTCCTAGCTTCGGACTTATCCGTTAGCAGGTTTCCATTCACTAAGTAGTCGATGATGGGGTCTTGCCAGCTGGGGTCCTCATCAATCTGCATTGAGTCGATCGGCTCTATTTCTTCGATGCTTGGCCGGTCAAGGTGTTCAACTGGGATGGAGCGTCTGAACTGGGTGTCCAGTGCTGATCCTAGGCTCGCCAACGCATCTGCATGAGTGTTCTCTGCCCGTGGAACTTGTTGGATGGTGAAAGTAGGGAATTCTTTCAAAAGTCCTTGGACTTTGTCGAGGTACTGAACCATTCTTGGATGCTTTGCCATGTACTCGCCTGAGGCTTGATTCGTGATCAGTTGGGAGTCTGAGTAGACGGCCAGTCTCTTGATCGACAGTTCTTTCGCTAGGCGTAGTCCTGCAAGCAGTGCCTCATATTCTGCCTCGTTGTTTGAAGCAGAAAAGCCTAGTGTGATAGCTTGTTCCAACAAGGTTCCGTCTGGGGTGATTATGACGACTCCCTCTCCCGCTCCCTTGTGATTTGATGCTCCGTCTACATGCAACTGCCACATGTTGTTAGGTAGGTTCGAATCGGTGGGGGAGGGTGTCGTCCGCTTTTTCCTTGCTTTTCGTAACCATCTTCTCTTCTTCGGCTGTCGGAGTAAACTCTACAACAAAATCTGCTAAAGCTTGGGCTTTTATAGCAGTCTTCGGCCGGTAGAGGAGGTCGTATTGACTGAGTTCGATAGCCCATTTCATGAGTCGCTGAGAAGCGTCGGGGCTGTGAAGGATCGATCTCAAAGGAAATTCTGTTATGACAATTATCCGGTGTGCTTGATAGTAGGGCCTTAACTTTCTCGCAGAAACCACAAGCGAAAAAATGAGCTTCTCCATTTTCGGATAGCGAGTCTCTGCATCGAGGAGAGCTTTTGAAGTGTAGAATACCGGATGTTGTGCCCCCAGCTCTTCTCGGATGAGAGCTGAGCTGACAGCTGAGTCGGACACCGCTAGGTAGATGTACAAGTCTTCGCCTGGTATCGGCTTTGAGAGCAATGGAGGTGAAGTGAGGTAAGTTTTCAAGTTTTGAAAAGCTACTTCACACTCGTCATCCCACTTATCTTTGTGTCCCTTCTTCAAGGCTTTGAAAAATGGCCTGCATTTGTCGGTAGATCTAGAGAGGAATCGGTTGAGAGCTGCCGCCCTACCCGTTAGACTTTGTATCTCCTTTGTTGTGGCAGGTGACTTCATGTTGAGTATAGCCTTGATTTGATTTGGATGTGCCTCAATTCCTCTTTGGGTGACTAAGTATCCAAGGAATCGGCCGGACGAGACTCCAAATGTGCATTTGCTCGGGTTCAACTTCATGTTGTATTTTCGGAGTATGCTGAATGCCTCGGCAAGATTCTCGATGTGGTCTGCTCGCTCGGGAGCTTTGACTAGCATGTCGTCTACGTAGACCTCCATAGTCTTGCCGATTTGCTCCTTGAAAATTTTATTCACCAGCCTTTGGTAGGTTGCCCCGACGTTCTTCAGCCCAAAAGGCATGACCTTGTAGTAGTAGGTACCTTTTTCGATGATGAAAGAGGTCTTTGCCTTGTCGTCTTCATGCATCATGATCTGGTTGTAACCGGAGTAGGCGTCCATGAAGCTTAGCAGTTGATTGCCGGAAGTTGAATCGACGAGCTGGTCAATTCTCGGCAGTGGAAAGTTATCTTTAGGACATGCCTTGTTGAGGTCAGTATAGTCGACGCACACTCTCCACAGGCCTTTATCTTTCTTTGCTACTAGAACAACGTTCGCCAGCCATTCTGCGTATGAGACTTCTTCAATGAAACCGGCAACTAGAAGCTTGTCGATCTCGGCTTCAATGATGGCGACTCGCTCGGGGGCGAAGTTGCGTCTCTTCTGCGCTACAGGCTTGATGGCTGGGTTGACGTGTAGGCGATGGCAGATGATCTGGGGATCGATGCCAGGCATGTCAGATGGTGACCATGCAAATACGTCTTTGTTGTTCTGGAGGAAGGCTACAAGCTCTGCCTTTTCCTCTTAGCTTAGGCGCGAGCCGATCCGCGCTGTTCTCTCTAGCTTGTCAGGATCAAGGGGTACTAGCTCAACGTCCTCCTCGGGCTTCCATCCTTCTTCAGGATAGACCTCCGAACGGATTCCCTCGACTTGGTCCTGATTCTTTGATTGCTATTGGGGAGTAGTTATTCCCTTTCCTTTTTGGCCTGCTCGGCCGTCAGGAACAGGATCTGCTTTCTCATCTGCTTGTTCTACTCCCTTTAGATCTGCTTGATTCACAGGGAGGAACTGTGTTTGCTTGACTTTCTTCAGCCCTTGAGCTGAGCATTTCCTCGCCATTGCCTGATCGCTGTTGATTTGGCCGATCCCACCCCAAGGAATTGGGTAGCGAATCTTGTGATGCGTGGCGGAGGTGATGGCGTTGATCTTGCTGATCCATGGTCTGCCTAGAATGCCATTGTAGGGTGAGACTTCATCAATGACCATGAACGTTTGAGAGCTGATTACAGGTGGGGCGTAGACGTCGAGCTCTATTGTGCCTACGGTAATCGTTGTTGCTCCATTGAAACCAGTCAGCGACTTGGCTGATTTATTGATCTTTGCCTCTAAGCCCATCTGTTGGATAACTGTCAATTGTAGGATGTTGGCTGCACTGCCCTCGTCTGCATGGATTCAGCCGACCATGGCCTGAGCGATTTGAATGCTGATGACAAGAGCGTCATTGTGTGGTAGATCAAGGCCAATTAGATCTTTCTTTTGGAAGCCGATTACAGGATCGTCTTCTGCTAGCGGAAGGTCGGTTGAGACTTGGGAGATCATAGTGGCTTGTTTGATCTTCCTTTTTTTTTCCTTGCTGGTCAACCCAGATTTCTCGGAGTCGGCTAGGATTGTGTTAATCCTTATGACCTTTTGGGGGCTCCTTGGCGGTGTCGCGGTCCTCTATCTGTTGGATGGCCTGCTTAGCGATGAATTCCGTGCAGTGACCTTCCCTCACGAGTTCTTCGAGGTGTGTTTTCCAAGCGAAGCAGTTGTTCGTAGTGTGTCCATGCGTCCCATGGAAGGCACATTATTTGCTAGTATCCTTCCTGTCTGGATCTCCTTTCAAGGGTGGCGGTCTTCTTACCCAAGGTTTGTTTTTCACTTGGGCTAGGATTTGATGTATAGGGATAGTGAACTTGGTGTAGTTCTCTCCTGCCTTAGCGTCCTCTTGTGGGTGTGACCTGCGCTTGTCCTTATTCTTGTTGCTAAATCCATCGCTTCTTAGGCCTGCCCGCTTGGTCTGCCGATCTCCCTGCTCAGTGGACTTCTTCGCGGCAATTCGATCGTCATCCCAGAGCGCGTAGCGTTCTGCGGTCGCGAAGACCTCTGCTAAAGTCTGGCTGGGAGTGATAGTCAGCTCGCGGTATAACTCGTGTTCTGCTGGAAGACCTTTCTTGAAGGCAGATGATGCGATTCGGTCGTCGCACCCTACGATGTTGGCCTTTTCTGCTTTGAACCTCTTGATGTAATCTCGAATGGATTCGTCGGGCTTCTTGCGCAGGTTGAACAGATGATCTGGGTTCTTCTTGATCGTCCGATAAGAAGTGTATTCTTTAGTGAAGACATAGGCAAGCTCCTTGAAACTGTTGATCGACCCAGATGGCAGGGTGTGGAACCAGTCCTGAGCTGCTCCTCGCAATGTCATTGCAAACGCCTTGCACATCAGTGCGTCGTCGGCCTTGTGGAGGATCATGACACTTTTGAAGTGTTTTAGGTGGCTCTCGGGATCGAAATCTCCCTTGAAATGCGTAAAAGAAGGCGTTGAGAATCACTTCGGGGGAGCAGCCTGCTCGATTTCAGGGGTGAAAGGAGTAGAGATCGCCTGGTCCATCTCCTTACGTAGTGCTTCCTCGAGGTTCCCGCTAGTCTTCAAGTCTCGAAGTCGGTCATTCACAAGCTTTTCAACGTCTTCCGCGCGCAGTGCTGGTCGATCACGTTGGCGACTTTTGCGATTCGGGCGACGCTGACTGACCTCCTTGTTGGTCTGCAAGGGTCGGTCCTCTCGTCCGCGCTGCCTAGGAGGCGTGTTGGTGGACTGCGATTGCGAGGGATTTTCTGCAGCTTGACGGCGAGAGTTGGTTCTCCGAGAGCGGGCAATGGAGTGCCTCTCTTCACGATCCTCATTGCGAGGGTTAGCGGGTTGACCTCCCTGGGGGCCTAGCCTTTCGTGAATATTTCTCTGCGAGTGGGCAGCGAAGCGCCTTTCTTCACGATCCTCATTGCGGCGATTGTCAGTTTGATCTCCCTGGGAGCCTAGCCTTTGAAGTACATTCCCCTGCGGGCCCAGGCGAGCACGGACGTCAAGTCGTGGGCCGAGCCTTTCTCGCACGTTGCTTTGTGTGTGGCTTGCAGATGCTTGCGACATGTCGGCAAGCTGATCACGTGGTTGTGCATCCCCTTGTCTGCTCGCTCCTGCTCGACCCGCTTGGTGCCCGTTGAGCTGCCCACCGGTGCGTTCGTCTATTCTTCTCACTTCGCCTGGTTGTCCAAGGCCAAGATTTTGAGCCACGCTTATTTGATTAAGGAGCTGCCTCATAAGAGCGTTTTGGTCGTCCACTCTCTGAGCTAGCTGGTCAACTCTCAGGTTGAGATCTGCTTGACTTTGTGGATCGGGAGGAGAGAAGCGTGTGGAGCCCAATTGCACACGGGCTAGGGTTTCACTGGAGGTGTACGCGAGAGCGTGTGTCGAGCGTGGAGGCAATGGAGGGAACGCTTGAAGTTGCTCCAAGACCGGGCCTAAGTCGGTGGTGGTAACGAGCCCACCTTGATGGGAGGTTCCACCATGTTCGGCGGCGGTGCCATGGAGGTTGCTAGATTCGGTCGCGGGTCCGGTAGGTGGCACGGTGGCGAGAGGTTGTGGTGCCACCATGTTGATCGCGGGATCGTGGGTGGAGTGGCTTTGGGCCGTCACAGATTGAGCCATCGCGGCGGTTTTACTCTTCGTGCGCTTGCTTCCAACCATGGTTGTTTGGAAGGCTTCGGTAGATTGGAAAATATGAGGAACGGATTCCTTGAGCACGCGTTGAGTATAACTCGTGCTCTCAATGAAAGCACCAAATGTTTGTGCAAATAATCTCACGGGAGAATATTCGCTTCTAGATCCTTCAACCTTCGATCTTCCTTCTCTCTCTTCCTCGATTCCTGTAAAACAGATTGGAGTAAATAGACCACACCCGAGGGGTGTTGGCCAAAGGCCTTCCGATGCCTAAGTTAGTTCGAGTGTTTGTAGGAAAACAATAGCTAAGCAAAGGGTACGGAGTAGTGTTTATGTAGGGTGTGAACCGGATGGCCGGAGCCGTGTGGAGAAAATATGGAGAGTGGAGAGGGAGAAAGAGAGAGCTTCGGGTATTTTTCTCGGGTATAAGGAGTAGGTTTAGATGTACCTTGAATGATGAATGAAGTCATCCATTTATAGGAGCCTCGGGGCTAGGGTTTCGTAGAGAATATGCTGAGTTTATTCTCTACCCAAATTCGTAGGGATCGAGTCGGACTGAGATAATATCTGATTTAATGATATTATCTCTTTTTATGGAGATAATATCTTAATTAAATGATATTATCTCTTTTTATGGAGATAATATCTGAGATAATGACATTATCTTCTCTTTATTATGATAATATATTAATTAATGATATTATCTCATTAAATAAAGACAATATCATGTTAATTAAGATATTTATTCCAATTAATTAATTGGCCAGATAAACTGGTTCAATTAATTAATTAAAAGAGATAATCTTTTTTTTCACGCGGCGCGTTGTGATTGGAGACGAAAATATCTGCTCCCACAGTGTTCATAACAAGCTGGAAAGCTGGAAACGTATTGTTTTTAAAATAATTTTTCAGTTTTGGGTTAAGAAATTGTAGTGCCATTGTTTTATACTGTTTTCTAAAAACTGTATATGGAAATATTTTTGGAAACTAGAGCCTAAGAAATGCTTTGTAAGTGGGGTATGTGTTCTCAAACCAATTCTTTAGGAAGAAGGAGATTTGCTATACTAGTTGTCATTATATTCTCAAACCAAGCGTTTGGAAATTCCCGACTCAACCAAGAAGATAAAACAATGGAATTGGTTTGATGAGTTTAGTGCAATTGAACAAAGCAAAATTGCATGTTCAAACATTCAATTATTTATCTGATATGTGATTCTAAGGTTAGTTGTTTTTTCAATGTAGCATTATAATAATCAATATAGGTCTACTGATTTTAACAATGCTGCAAATCCCAGCCCTGTGACCCCATTGTTACCTGATTTCATAGATCCATCTCTATGTTATCTCCTTAATTAACTACTAAGGATTTGGTCTTTTGCAGGGATCATCTCTATATAATTTTTATTTCCTATGTTTATTACAGTATTTTGGGATTCTTTAAACTTTTTTAAAGTACTTTTTAAAACGCTTTTAGTGTATTAGCCAAATACTCAATAAAATATCAAAAACGTTTTTATGTAGTGTAAAAGCACTTTTAAATGTGACATCCAAACAACAAACTGCTTCTTTGTAGAAGCGCTTATGTCATAAGTGCTATTGACATAAGCACTACTAGCATAAGCGCTTCGGGAAGAAGCACTCCCAAACGAGCCCAAATGTACTTATAATAAAAGCGCTTCTAACTAAACAATATCAAACGGTCTCTTAATTCATGAAGGAAAAAAGTCAACCTTCATCACTTAACTTGCCAGACTGCAAAAACATAAAAACATGATAAGACATGCATAAGAAACTTCTTTTTATTTAACAAAAAAATCCACTGTTTTGCTTTCAAAGATTGGAAGTCAAATTGGAGGTTGGCACGTCCCTTCTCGGTGTTAAAGTTGTCCATCAAAGCATAGCATCCGAATTAATGAAAGACTTTACCACTTCGTTTCTTGTGTCAACCCCAATGTTCATCATGAGTCACAGTTTTATGCTTCAGCTATACCAACCCTAAGAAATCTCAATGTATTTCTGACATTTTATGCTAAAGTATGAATTGCAGTTGAGCTTTATGCTCATTCATGATTGGGTTTGTCTGTAAAATTTGATTACTTTCAGAATGATTGTTTTGGTTGCGTTGGAGCCACGCTACTTGTTTATGAAAATAGACAACAGAAGTTCTGCATAATTAATTAAAGCCTTTAATTTATAAAGTTCTAATTTGCTCTTACATTAATAATTGATCTTCTAAGAGGATGCCAGCACAATTAGGGATTAAATAAATATAATCTCACCTAACAGAGTAAGCGTCCCTTGAGCTGCAATTCAAGTGGTGTCACACACTGATCTTATATTATAAAACTTTTATCTGAATTATTGAGTAAATAAATTCTTATTTGTTGCTTTGAAAAAAATTTAATTAGTAAATTGATTATATGACTATAAGATGCCAGATTGCCCAGAAGTGAACAGCTGCAGAGTCTAAAATCTAAAAGGAATTTGCATGGCCCTACAGCTTCATGATAAGCACGTTCAGAAATAGCACCCCACAAGGGAAAAATAAAAGAAACAAAAGAGCTAGCATGATTACACGGCAAAAATAAAGAAAAAGAATAAAGCAAAGCAGAAAATCCATGGCCCCCAGACCAACATCTAGAAATTTGTTCAGCTTCAGCCACAGCCACAGGCAAGCCAACCCTAGTCTCTCTCTCTCTCTCTCTCTCTCTGCCTCGCCTTCTTCTGCCCTGCTCTTTATAACATTTATAGCCTAGGTGTCTCAAAACTCAGCTGAGTTTAATCTCATATCAGACAAAAAAATGGGGAAAATAGGCACCAAGTTGCCAGGTTTCTGCCTAAACAGAATTAGGCCCCATGTTAGAGTTCGTTCTCCAACAATACAGTCCAAGGTAGATGCTGCCTCAGATGTCACCAAAAACAATGCTGATAAAAAAGCTGAGAATTCTGGCAATGTTGGGGGAGAAAAAGCTGGTGGTAATGGAGCTATAGCTAGGAAAATCATGATTGTGGTTGATTCTAGCCTTGAAGCTAAAGGAGCTCTGCAATGGGCTCTCTCTCACACTGTTCAGAGCCAGGACAAACTTGTCCTGCTTCATGTAACCAAACCTTCAAGTTCAAAACAAGGTTTGGAGATTTTTTATTTTTGGTTTTTGTTCCTACAATTTGATTTTCTGAAGTTGAGGAAACAGAGTATTTTAATGGATTAATCACTTGTTACAGCAGCTGGTGAGGAGCCCAGCAAGGATGTAGCTCCAAGGGCTTATCAACTTGTTCACTCTTTGAGGAACATGTGTCAGTTGAAGAGACCAGAGGTGGGTATTTTACAGTTTGATCACATCATTAATTGGCCATTCCAAACTTAATCACTATTAGCAAAGCTTTAATTAACTAGAGGCTAATAGAAATTTCTTCTGGGCAATTGCATGTGTGTTTGTTGCATCACAGAATTAGAACAGAGGAAAATACCAACTTACTTCTTTTAGTGTTTCTGTAGACAGAGGTTCATGTTTATACTTCCCTTCTTACCCTAGTTGGCATATAGCATTTTTTTATCATGTGGTAGCACAGTGGAGAAAATTCCCAGTTTAGTCTTGTGTATTGATGAGATACTTCAGAAATAGAAAAAAGAGCAGCTAATTAGTAAGATCATGCCCCCACAGCCCACAGTAAGACATGACCAAGCTTTTAAATTCAGAAATAGCCCTTCAATTTAAGGGTCAAGCTCCTAAAATCAGGGGTATAAATATCATTATCAATAAATCATACTCCTAATATCACAGGTACAAATTGAGGTTGCAGTGGTGGTAGAAGGTAACAAGGAGAAAGGTCCAACTATACTGGAAGAGGCCAGAAAACAAGAGGTGGCACTGCTTGTTCTGGGGCAGAAAAAGAGGTCTACGACATGGCGTTTGCTGATGATGTGGGCAGGCAACCGGGTGGGCGGCGGTGGCGGCGGCAGCGTTGTGGAGTACTGTATACAAAACGCCAGTTGCATGGCAGTTGCTGTGAGGAGGAAAAGCAAGAAAGTTGGAGGCTATTTGATTACCACAAAGCGCCAGAAAGATTTCTGGCTCTTGGCTTAATTAACTAAAATGTGTTATATATATGATAGTCTAGTCTTACTACATGAAAAAATTATGATTGGTTTTCTTGGCATCTGTTTGTAAATTAAAGGTGGTTATGAATGAAAAAGTGTTGCTGTGATCATTATTTAGGCCATTGGCCTATTATGTGTTTGGAGAGACAATGGGGTCCCTTGGCTCCTTTATCTCCAGGTCTTGCTATACTTTAGTACGTGAAGGCCTAACCTAGGAAAAAAACTTACCCATAATGGGGATAGCACTGTTTTGCTATCTCTGGCCAATAACACAATGACACGTGAAAAAGTTATCCTAGCTCACATCACATTGTGCCAAATTACCAGAGCATCTTTGGGACAGATTCCCTTGGTTAGGACATGGTGGGGACATGTTAGCCTACCTGACCCTGTCCTTGTTGTCACATTTGAGCAAAGTGGTAAGTTTGCTTCCTAATAATGGAAATCGAAGTGTTGTTGAGGTAACTACTTATATGAGATGGAAATCAAATTCTTTTAATCAGATTTGAAAATCTTGGAAGGCTTTTCACCCCAGCTAAAGCCACAAAAGTCTTACTGTTATAGAGAGCGCGAGGGGTTTGTAGGCCAAGGTTAAGAGTTACCCTAGCATATGAGGTCTTGTTTTCGAATCCCCCTCCTCTAATATCACTTGTATATAAAATAAAAAAACATAATATATAGCTGGGTTCATGAACGACTCATTATTATAGTATGTGAAAACGGGAAAAGATCATGTTTGGAAGGACAGAAAGCATTGTTGCCCTTCTGCTAAAGTCTGAATGGGGCGGCCATGCTTGGAATCGGAAGGAAACAACACGATGTAGCTAGGCCCCTGTTTTCTGATTTAAAGAAAAGCACTCATTTTCAATCCCAGGCCTGAAATCCATGCTGCAGCCTGCAGGTCAGTTCTATCTATGTCTTGGGGCCTTCATCTGCTGCGCCTTCCCAAACCTTTGTCAGATGGAAAGACGGAATTTCTATCTTTGCATCTGCATATCCAAAAGATGAACACAACCTAATGATTCTAATTGTCCTATAAAACAAAAGAGAAACATAGTGACACTTATGTTTAATCATGAGCAAATTAAAAATCCTTCATGTTTAGTTTTTAAAATTATTTATAACCTTTATTATTAGTATTAGTCCTCCAAAAAACTCCATACATCAAAAGATATATGTTTGGTTGTAAGATCATGTAATGCATGACTAAATCATTAAAATTGGGGGATTTGAATGTGAAATCACTTTACCTTCTAACGTTGAAAAGAGAAATACCACTAGACTAAAAGTTAGTTGATGCACGGCTTACAGCTAATTAAATAGTGAATATAATATGGTTTTACACCAAAAAAGTAAGTTGGTTACGGTTGAACTGGTTTAACAACTTTAACTAATAGTGAAACAAGTTGTTTTTCTAATATGAAATATTGAGATCTAATCTTTGGATTCACCGAAGTCTTAGCATAGCTTGTCTTCAGCTCTATGGATCTGTCTCATAGTTAAATAAAAAAAAGATTTTTTTTTTTCCCACCAACACCAAGTTACTGTAGGTGGTAATTTGCTAACTACGGTAAGTTGAATGTTTTTTTTTTTACTTTGAAAGAAAGCTTAAGCCTATATTAGTGAGCTTGGTTAAACCCATGGGGCTCAAACAAGTCAAGCCATACCCGATTGGAATCCGAACCGCCCGTCAAAGTCCCCAACTTCCAAGTTCTCCAACCAACGAACTCAACTTCCCGCAAAACCCTAAACCCTTCACCCTTCAGCACCAGCTCATATCTGCTCCCATCAAGTCCCAATGGCGAAACACAAAGATAAGAAGAACATGAAATCAGGGCCAAACGCCGTCGCCATGAAGCACCAGGCCCCAAAACCCAACCCCTTCACGGCCAAAGCACCTAACCCTAGCAGAGCGGACACCAAGAACAATAAGGAGACGACGACGACGAAGAAGAAGAAGAATAAGTTGGGCCCAAGCTCCATAGCCATGAAGCTCCAAGCTCCAAAACCCAACCCTTTCGAGACCATTTGGTCCCGAAGGAAATTCGACATTCTCGGAAAGAAACGCAAAGGCGAAGAGCGCCGTATTGGCCTCTCTCGCTCTCGCGCCATTGAAAAGGCACTGACTTCTTCACTCCCTTCGTAATTCCATTCAAATTTCAAAATTTATTTCATTTATTTATTTAATTTTTTGTGTGCGCAGAGGAAGAACACGCTGTTGAAAGAGTATGAGCAGAGTAATAAGTCTTCGGTCTTTGTCGATAAGCGAATTGGAGAGCATAATGATGAGCTCGACGAGTTCGATAAGGCCATTCGGCGTTCCCAGCGCGAGCGTCTGGTAAGTCCATTTTCCAAATGACTTTATGAAACTGAATATTTCTTTGTTCAAAAGCTTACCTCATAGACGTGTACATTCTAGCATATGATATCTAATTTCATTTACTTTCCTCCAGCTTTCTACGCAATTGTATCTCGATTTCAAAACTGTATTCAGTTTAAGTCATTGGTATTTTATGATTAATCTCTTCAATTTCTCATTACGCTCTTTATTCGTTTCTCTCTTCCTTTTTCTTTAATAGTCAAAGCAGAACAAGAAAAGCAAGTATAACTTATCAGATGGAGAAGAAGAGGACTATGAATTCCAAAGTCTTGGTGCATTATCTGAAAGGGATGATTTTGAGGATGATATGCTTCCTGATGACGATGAAGATGGAGCCGGAACTGCTAAAACTAAGAGTATGTATGGAGATACTGCGATATGTGTTGTTTGTTTATTCAGCGGGGTTTAGTTTTCATTTGTGCAGGTTAGATTCATAGTGTATCATTCAGGGTCCAGAGACCAATTCAAATTTGGTTATTGAAATGTCGATGATTTTTAACTGTAATCATTGGATAGAAGTACACATGGGTGATGGTTGAGCTGTATAATTCTGGCTTCTGGTTAATATCTTTTTTCTGGAATAGGCTTTGTTGTTATTGTACAAGTATTGGAAGGGTCTCTTGCTCATATCCAGTAAAGGAAAATAATAATACATAAATTGCTAACTGATTTTTTTTTCATGCAAAAATTGATAACTGATTTTTGATGTAAACCAAAATGTTTCGAGTGCTTTTACATTTTTGTTTGGGCAACATGTGTACAGTGCTCTTCAACTGTACATCTCCCTAAATGTTATTGCTTGGGAGTAGGCCATAGTACTACTACTCTTAGTGAAGGTTGCCATTTCTGTTCTGTAGTTGCTTTTCATGTTTGGTTCTGTTGGACCATTGAAACTGCTTAGAATTTGGTTATTTATTCTTTAGGACTATGCTAATGGTGTTAATGGTGCCTGCCTTGTTTTCTGCAGAAAGGTTAGCCACACTAGATCAATTTGAGTCCCATGATAAGCAGAATCTACAGGACGACGGTCCAATGGAAGGAGAGGAAAATGTGAGGTCTTTTTTACTATCTGAGTTTCTGTGCATTATATTCAAATTCAAGATTGTATAATTGTCTTTGCTAGATTTCAGGATTTTAAATGACATTTCCTGACTGCTTCATTTACCATATTTTTTCTCTTTCGAAACTCCCCCCAACCTCTTTATATGTGATTTCCTTTGTCCAAATTTTCTTATAGGAATTAATTCTTTCTTCTAGGAATTAATTATTTCTTCTATATGATGTCGCCAATAGCCTGTCAATCTTTTTCAATCTGCAATTTGGGAAGGGGATTCAAGTGATCCTAATTTGTTTTATTGTTTTCATTATACAGAGACATAAAAGCAAGAAGGAAGTAATGAAGGAGCTTATGGCAAAAAGCAAGTATCACAGGGTGAGATTTTAATTCTTTATGGCATTCAAATTGATTTATGATAATGGCTACATTTTTTTCTCCTTTTTTTTTGTCCTTTAGTTATGATTTCCATTCTTCATTATCTTTTGGTCTATTCCCAGGCAGAAAGAGCAAAACATAAGGAAGAACTAGAAGATTTTGGGCAAGAATTGGACAAAATCTTTACATCCATGGCGCAGTCTAAGCTTTTAGAATTGGCTGAACCAGACAAGAGTGTTCCAAATGAGAAGAAGGATGAGCTTTCTGGACAGGTATGACATTTTTGATGTAGGTCCTTTCTTGGTCCTGACACTTCCCCCTCAGCAATAGTGATGCTATTGGTTTCTACTTCTTAAAAGTTATGAAGTGTTTTTTTAAATGTTCTTTAATTTATTAAGTCTTTAATTCCTTGATATTTTCAATTAGCATGTTATGTTCTCTGATTTGCATAGTATTGCTTCCAATTTTGCAGTGTTTTTATTTATTAATTTTTATGTTATCCTTTTGTTTACTTGTGTGTTTTCTTTATGGATATATTATATGAAGCTGTAGCTCTTTATGTTCTGCTTACATAAATTTGAGTATTCGCAACTTAATCTAGTTTGCTTTATTTGGCAGGAAGTAGCTCGCTCTTACTTCAAAGCTTTGGGAACATTAGCATTGGAACGCCGTGGTCAGCCCTCAGATAGGACAAAGACACCTGAAGAGATAGCACAAGAGGAGAGAGAGCAGCTTGAGCATTTGGAGGTATCTCATATAGTTATGACTTATGAGTGTGCTTGCATTCACTCATGTTCATGCCTGCTTTATGTTGGGGGTTTTTATTGTTGTTAATAAGTTCATTCTATTGGTGTCAATATCATCTGAAAATTAAGAAGTAATGTAACTCTTTTAATATAGCTACATGGTACAAAAAGTAGGTTGACTCATCCAACAGTAAGTTTCTTCCCTCATGTACCATGTAATAGTTGAAAATTTTCAAGTTATTTGTAATATTAGCAGTCCATATTAGTATATAGTAGTAGGATGTTGGTCAGTACAATATGCATGCTTATGCCCACTAAGATGTGTCATTCTTGTTTTATTCAGTTATATGGTAACTGGTGTCATCTTTAATGTAATTTGATTAATTTATCATGTACACCTCGATTCTGGTGGCACAGTGGCAAGATATTTTTAGGATCTAGCAATGCTTTAGAGTCGACGTTTTAGGCTTTCCATTTCCTGTTGTGTCTCAATTGTACTTTTTATTATGAAGTTGAATGCTCACTAGAATTTGTGTCACAATTCAGGAGGAAAGACAGAAGAGGATGCTCGCCACTGATGACTGTAGTGATGATCAAAATGAAGATGATGAGATTCCGTCTACCCAGAGGCCAAGAGCTATATCCGGGGATGATCTTGGTGATTCCTTCTCGCTTGATGAAGAGCCTAGAATTAAAAAGGGTTGGGTTGATGAGATTCTTGAAAAAATAGATGCTAGTGATTCTGAGAGTGAAGAAGGCGGTTCTTCTGAGGATTCAGAAAGTCCTGAGGATGGCAGTGATGAAGGATCTGATGAAGATGATAATGAAGGTGAAAAGAATCTATTGATGAAGGACTGGGAACAGAGCGACGATGATAATATTGGAACAGATTTGGATGAGGAGGAAGAAGAAGAAGAAGACGATGATGATGGTGAGTCTGAAGGACATGAAAATGATGATGATGTTAATGAAAAAGAGATGGAGCCAAGAGAGCTTAAAAGGTTGAAAAAAAATGATGCTGCTGATGCTAGTAAAAAACAGGGCAAGGTATCTCAGGATGGTAAACGACCTTCTACTCAATCAGACCTCCCATACCTAATCGAAGCTCCAAAAAGCTTGGAAGAGTTAAGTGCATTGGTGGATAATCTTTCTAATTCCGACATTGTCGTGATAATCAATCGAATCCGGAAAAGCAATGCAATCAAGCTTGCAGCAGAAAATCGGAAGAAAATGCAAGTATGAAACTTTTGGCTGCTTTTACATTTTGTAAATGAGTATTGCCTGCATTATGTTAAATGTGCATCAATTCAGGTTCCTGCATTTCCAATTCGTGATTTAATAGTTTGACTTGGATTTAACTTTTGTAAGCAAAAATTCAAGTGAATGAAGATATACATATTCTGTTTTCATTGTATATGCCAAGTACTCATTGCTGTTTCTGTCATTTTCCAGGTATTTTATGGTGTTCTTCTGCAGTATTTTGCCATCTTAGCAAATCAAAAGCCATTGAATATAGAGTTATTAAATTTTCTGGTTAAGCCATTGATTGAGATGAGCATGGAGACTCCGTACTTTGCTGCAATTTGTGCTCGTCAGAGAATTTTACGGGCTCGAACTGAATTTTGTGCAACTGTTAAAAACCCAGGTAATTCATAATGGAGTCAATAGTTTTGTTTCTCTGGAATCACAGCTAAGAGCTTGCTCTTGCTAAGGTGCTAATTCATTGTCCAATTGTATTGTTTCTACAGAAAACAGTTGTTGGCCTTCTTCAAAGACATTATTTCTTCTGAGGCTTTGGTCCCTGATATTTTCATGCTCTGATTTTCGCCATGTGGTCATGACTCCAGCAACAGTGTTAATGTGTGAATATCTGGCGCGATCTCCTATCGTGTCTGGACGTGATGCTGCAGTTGGTTCTTTCTTATGCTCTATGCTTCTCTGTGTATGTATATTTATGATTTCCTTTTTCTTTGTTAGAAGCATTTTTTCAATAGATTTTCATAACAGAGATTTACATAGAATTGTATTTCAGTCCAACAGTAGAATTGTATTTCAGTCCAACAGTTTCAGTTCCACCTTTTTTTCATTGGATTATTTTATTATGTAGATCACCAAACAATCTAGGAAGTTCTGCCCTGAAGCAGTCATGTTTCTCCGAACATTGCTGATGGCAGCTAAAGACAGAAAGCCGGCAACAAATCAAGATTCTCAGGTATGACTGTTCCTTGTAATGTAATTCTTGACCATAGAAAGAACCGTATGTTTTTATTGTCATGAGAAGGCAATTAGTTTACAGTTGCATGATGAAGTAACCATGCTCTTTTTATTTTTCTGGCAGTTTTATGAGCTTATGGAATTAAAAGCACTCAGGCCCCTTTTATGTATACGTGAATGCGTAGATCAGATTGATCCTCTGAATTTTCTTACGTTAATGGACCTGCCAGAGGACGACTCATTTTTGAGCTCTAATAATTTCAGGTTAGTTGTTTGTTACCGTACTTTTTGATACATTGTGGAAGTGTCCATGGGATGCATTATATTTTAGACCTGAGATTGTATATCAATTGTTGTATATCATTCATAACTGTAAAGTTTGCATATGCTCTTTTAGCCAACTATTTGGTCTTGGAACTAGGTGGGGTAAACTTGATTTCATATTGCCAAAAATTTATATACACAGAAAGCACTGCTTTTTCTCATATGTCCTCAGAGTCTATTTTTCAAGTTAGTTACAATTTTTTAAAAGTTGAACTTTGAATTTTCAGGGCTAGTGTGCTGTTGACTGTAATTGAAACTCTAAGTGGATTTGTCAGTATCTACGAAGGATTCAGTTCTTTTCCTGAATTCTTTTTGCCCATTTCAATATTGTTGGTTGAGGTGGCGGAACAGGATAATATGCCACAAGTATTAACAGACAAATTTCAAGATGTTGCTCAACTTATTAAGACAAAAGCAGATGAACATCACATTCTGCGGCAACCACTTCAGATGCGGAAGCAAAAGCCAGTGGCTATCAAAATGCTTAATCCGAAATTTGAGGAGAAGTAATATATCTTAACCCCCCGACCCCAATTGCCTTAATATTATTTTTGTTGGGCAGTGATACTTTGAATTGCGTAAACACTGAATGATATGTTGTTCTGCAGCTTTGTTAAGGGCATAGACTATGATCCAGATCGTGAACGAGCTGAGAGAAGAAAGTTGAAGAAAGTTCTAAAACAAGAAGCTAAAGGGGCTATCCGTGAACTGCGTAAAGATAATTCTTTCTTATATGAGGTGAAGGCGAGGGAGAAGTTGCTGATGGAAGAAGAAAAAGCTGAGAAATATGGAAAAGTAAGACTTTTCCTTCAAGAGCAAGAACACGCTATGAAATCTGGGCAATTGGGAAAAGGCAGGAAGAGAAGGAGATGAGCTTGAGACTCTCCTTGAAGGTTTAGGTAATAATAAAAAAAGGCAATAATAGCAGCATTTTGATTCCGTTCTTTTTTTTCTTTCTTCCAATTTGTAGTTTTGTATAGTGCTTGGGAAACTCTCTCACACTCCCTCATGCAGGTATGTTCCCGTAGATCAGAAGCTGGTCTTGTATTGTGGATGTTATTGAAGACAAAAGAGGTGGTAGAAAATGTGCTGCGCTGCCTTACACATATTCCTGATGAAGCCAATTATTTGGCGCAAATTTTGTGCAACATTAATTTATTTATAGATGTGTTCATCCTGAAATATTGCATTAAATTTTTGTTGTAACGAATCGGTTGCGGGATGATTGAAAATTTATTTAAAATCTTCTTGTGTTTATAAACATTTTTATTCTCAGAAATCTAAAGCAGTAACAGAATACGACGTGATTTATCCATGGCGGTGATTTGTACTCAGCTTTCAGAGTTTGTAATTGTAACTACGTTCAGAGAGGTAAAAAGTAGAAACAATTAAAACAAGGAGGCAGAAAGCTTAACCTCCAAGATCAGAAGGGTTCCATTAACATATTAAATAGATAGGGAAATGCATAATATTAGAAATAGATAGATTTTTAAACTGCTACAACAGTTGATTATTCATATATAGGTAGCCTCAATCAGCTTCAAGTGCAATATCCTCTCCCACTAGCTGGCTCCCATCTACTTGCGCAGGTCTCTGAAATAAGCAGAAGGGTTTCGCTCAAAAACATCCCTGAAGATTCTGCTGTCTCTGCCGGGAGCTTTCATCGTCCTCCTCTGCCCTGAACCTGAAAAAAGTCCAGACAAACCAAAACCCAGCAGACCCAGTCCTGCCACAGCAAGAGCTGCAATCACAAGGTTGGACACGTCAACCTCATGATTACACAAGTCAACAGCATTCTCATCTCTCCCCTTGTTCCTAGAGCTAGAGCTTCCCCTGGTTTGGTTCGCTCCCATTTTTGCAACTCAAAGTCGTAGCTGGTTTTGAAACTTCTGGTTTGAGCGGCTATGGCTAATGGCTAATGGCTAATGGCTATGTTTATATAGAGAGGGAGCGTTCATTGATTTGTTTATGGGAATTTAAAGAGTCCCGTGAGAATTAATACAAGCATTGGAAGTGCCAGAATATTGATTGCTTTGTTCATTAAACTCGACCTTTCCAATTTCCAATTACCGCGAGGCGACAAGAGTGGTGCATTGGATTACGGGCGTGGAAATTGAACGGCATGCATGGTTTTTCTCTTAATGACATGTGTCATTTCTTTGGAGTGCTGCTAAATGAACTCTAAAATTAGCTAAGCACACCTTATGATCTAAGTATACCATAATATTTTAATTAAAATGTAAAATTAACTAAGTACATCATATTGAACTACCAAAAATACCCCTGGTACACCCTAATACTTCTAGCATTATTTTATAGTTGATTTTCAGCTTGATTTTTTTAATAGTGTTTATAAATCTTTGACTTTTCATATGGATTTATGCTTCTACTAAAACTGTTGACACTTTTTTTTGCAATTCCAAGTTCTTGCAATCACCACCTCTTTCGTTAATAGTGATTTTTTATGCATGTTTCAGTTATATACTACTATGCTACTGTGAAATTTATTTGTTCTCAACTTTCCCAACCTCTCTAGATGGTCTATTTATAGTTATTATCTTTGCTGATGATCCTATTAATGTTGCTTTTATTTTCATATATGCTACATAAAACTGGAATAATATCTCTGCAATGTACTAATAAGAGGCCAATTCATTTGTGTCCTTCCAAAACTGTTTTCTAATGGCTTGTTCTAAGCCCCACATTGAGGTGGACATGCACGAATAACAAGACTTTTCCCCCCAAAGCTAGTTCTCTAAGGTGTACTTTTGGTATCCACTATGAACATAGAAAGAGAGAGACGAAAGGATATATTTTGAGAAATATTAATCTTTTTATTGTTTGCTAGTAATGAGTTAAGAGTGCTGGATGATGTTATGTTTATGAGGTAAGTAACAGAACAAAGAGCCTTCCCCCAAAAATGATGGGGCATACGAGCCTCAGATAAAGAGGCATGAACAACTTCCAAAAGATGACGATTCTTACGCTCTGTGACACTATTATGTTGTGGTGTATAGGCACATGTTACCATGTTGGCTCAAAAAAATTATGTAATAAGTCATGGTTGACATACTTTCATCCATTGTTAGACTAAAGTGTTGTGATTTTCTTGTCAAAATGAGTAGCAACATATTGATGAAATTGCTTGAATTTTGCAATGACTTCGCTTTTCTGCTTCAGGAGAAAAACTCAGGTCATCCGGGTGCAATCATCAATAAATGTCACAAACCACTTAAAACCATTAATAGTGGGAACTCTGGATGATCCCTGAACATCAGAGTGGACAATCATGAAATGCATAAAACTTTATTCAATCTTAATTGGTGTTTGGGCCTAAAAATTGACACACCCAGCCCAGCGAAAATGAAGCCCAAAATAAGGCTGCAGAATTCAGAGCAAATTTGGTCTTCGAAGAAACAGGGAGTTAGAGGCCCAAAATCTAGAAAAGCCCAGCCCAAAACCTGGGCCTCACAGCCCCATTGTGATGAAAAGGGGGGAGCCCAGAGATAGGAAACAATCCCACGTGACATCTCTGGGATGAAGAAAAGTCAACAATGGCAACTGTCATGAAAGAAGTGATTGAAAAGTTTATGTCATCAAGCTGTTCTGAAAAAAAACCTTGAATAAATCAGAAGATAAAAATCCCTCTTACATATACATATATATATATATTAATTAGAGATTTTTTCTACTCTACAGAGAGGGTAATTCTCCCAAAGAGATAAGCAAGCTACAAGCTCAGAGAGAGATAAGCAGGAAAGCAGGGAGCTGTCCAGAAAAGAAATCAAACTAACCATCACGGGTGAAATCTCACAAGGGGCAGTTGAAATTGAGAAAAGAGATTAGGTTCTTTCTCAATTAAAACAGGGAAGTGATTGCCTATTTTTGAAAGCCTATCTGCCAAACTGATAAAATCATACTTTCTTTCTTTCCATTTTAAAAGAGAAAAAAGGGGGAGATATCTTCTGAAAGAGATTTGCCGCCCATTATTAATTTTCACTATAAATACAAGAAGGAGTGAACAGGTTAAAGGACACACAAAAAATTCATCATCCAATCAAACAAAGATCTTACACAAGAAAACCGTCAAATAGACAAGTTCAAAATCAACCAACAAGCCCACTTGAATTTCAAGTGAAACCAGCTCCAGATCAGAATTCCCAAGGTCCAGATTTAAGAAGCAAGTCATTCAAAACGAGATTTCTCTCGTTACAAATTTGGTTCAGCAAAAAACCAAAACAGGTAGAGTTTGAGCTTCCTCCAAATATGGAAAACCTCAACAAAATTCACAGTGCAGTCTCTAGCCCACTGAAGCCCTAAAAAAAAACAGTCACTCCTGCCCGTGCAGACTGAGAAAACTGCAGTTCTGCCCACTCAAAAGCTTCACAAAAGCATGAGGTACATTGAAGCTCTGCCAGAATCAGCCTTTGGTATCGATTTACAAGTTGAAGCCTAGCAGTCAAGGTTGTCAACGGTCCAGTCCAGCCCAGGCGTTTCCAGTCCAGCCCGGGCATCTCCAGTCCAGCCCAGACCAGAACCTTCCATCTCGACAGAAATAAAGTCCCAGCTGTCTCTTCATCTCTCTCTAGCATAAGCATTCATTGTTATATTTTTGTAAAAGGCAGTTCCGCCTAAAAAACAGTTTAAATCCCATCAACCATTCTGACCAAGACAACCTCTTTATACTGAGATAAATTGTTAAAGCCCTCACCAGTCTGAGGCAGGAAAAGAACTTACTTGGGAGATATTCCTCACCCAAATTCACAATCGCTTGTTTGCAGAAATCAGTAACTTGGGACGCAAGTTATCCATTCCAAACTAAGTCTGCTAGAAATTTTTGCTAGCAGTGGCACGCTCGCACACCAAAGAAAGCTGACTTGTTGACCAGTTTATGATTCTCAAGGCAGTGGGGAACTTTGCCCTTCCATCATAGGAGTAAACGCAAAACGGGTGAACAATTGGTAAGAAATATGATGGCTTTTCGCCAAAATGCAAGTTTCACAATGAAAGTCTAATTCAACAAACTGGGAAAACAAGTGTGGAAATAAAAGTTTCAGATAACCAAAAGAAACATGCCTTAATCGCCTATGCCATAGCCACATTTTCTTCATCCTCATGGACTCGTCTCCTCACACATGATGTGCATGACTTGATGCCATAGAGAATAATTATTCTCATCTAGTTTGATTCTTGCCGAGAAGTTGGAGGTGTCACTCTACAAAGTGAAGATTTGTGTGGTAGTGTTAGAGCCTCCTAACACCAAGGATTGATTGGTGTTTATTGATCCATCATCGTTGGCCATGATATTGGCTTGACAAGAGAAAAAAAAGAAAAAAAAAAAAAAAAAAAAAAAAAAAAAAAAAAAAAAGCAAAGAGAGCGGTGGAAAGTGATTTGCAAAGGATGAGAATAAAACAAAAAAGTGATTTGACATTAAATTGGTTTGTGAGATGGAATATAGGCTGGTGTTGGGTTGTATACTTGTTGAATGATGTGAACAATGATATGAATGTTTGGAGCGAAGGTTAGTGTTGGGTTTGTATGACAACTGCTGCTGCGGAAGCGATTGTTAAGGTTAGGTCAAGCGATGGTCATGATCAATTGCTCTTATACCATCTCAGATTGGGTGAAATAATATTTCATTGATATTCTAATATACAACAATAGGAAGAATATATTACATACCATAGGAAACTATTCTAGGAATGTAATTATGAGCCTATAATCTAGGAGAATCAAATAATTGACTTAGACTAATTAGGAATGTACAACTCATTTGACATTAATTAGATTGTTTTAAGTGTAACAAAAGTGACACATGTCATTAGAAAAATGGAGAAGGTTCAAAAGAGAATGTTAAAGAGAAGGTTGCAGCATTACCTAACAAGATATTACCTCTTCATGAAACATTATAAACGAGCCCACGCAACCAGAGCTAAGCTCAAGTTACAGCCCACACAAAGATGAAATCCTAAATGCAACATCTCTTCATGAAATGGTACCATGGGAACTTGAACAGATGGCCACTTGGGAGTACATCAAATACCCGAGCTAATCCAATTGACACCCCATTAGTTTTTTTCGTAGCGGAGCTTTGCTCAATGATTTCCTGTTAAGTTGAAATTTTTTATAAACAGAGTGATAAAGAGAGTTTTGCGAATTTAATTTAATAATATATTATCATGGCAAAAGTAGGACTTAATTTGAAGCGCACAATCAGAAGTCAACACGAGTAAGTTGTAAGTTGTAGGTGATGTAGTAGGGTCCAAGTGGCCTTTTAATAATTCGTTTTAAGAACACAGAGCAAGAATATACTTCCATAACCGTACTCTTTAAAACCCCATAGGTTCAGAGAAAGACAATACCAAAAGATGACTTCTTTGGGAGGCCTAGTAATCACTGTTTCAAGCTTTCTGTGTCTGCTCCTTGTCTTAGTTCTCATCAAGATCCTTCACAAGCTATGGTGGGCTCCGGCTCGCTTGCAGAAGCTGATGGCCTCGCAGGGCATCAAAGGCCCTCCTTACAGACTTATCCATGGCAACACCAAGGACATCTCCAACATGATCAAGGAAGCCATGAGCAAGCCTAAGAGTTTGAGTTCGTCCCACGACGTACTTTCTGTAGTTCAACCTCACGTTCACTCATGGACCAAGATATATGGTAACAAACAAACGGTCTTAATTAAACTATTGTTTTGAAATCTGAGTTCCAAGTTAAATTTTGGTCATATTTATTCATCAACAGGGAAGAACTATCTTCAGTGGCATGGTTCTAAGGCTCAATTGGTCATCACGGAGCCTGAGTTATGCAAAGAGATACTGAATAACAAAGACAAAGCTTATCCCAAAAGAGAGCGCGAAAGCTTTGTGAAGAAGCTCTTAGGAGATGGACTTGTGACAACAGCAGAAGGTGAAAAATGGGCAAAAATGCGAAAGCTCGCTACCCACGCCTTCCATGGAGAGAACTTAAAAGTAAGTTTTTAGAGTTTCTGGTACTTCCTTAGAATCAATTAATTGAAGACTAAAGTTTGCTAATTGACTGCATGATGGTGTTGTTTTGCTAGAGTATGATTCCAGCAATGGTAGCCAGTGCAGAGACAATGCTAGAGAGGTGGAAAAATTATGAAGGGAAAGAGATTGAGGTGTTTGGAGAGTTTAGGTTTTTCACTTCAGAAGTGATTTCTAGAACAGCATTTGGCAGCAGCTATATAGAAGGACAACACATTTTTGAGATGTTGATGAAATTAGGCTTCCTGTTAAGCAAAAATGCTCTCACAATAAGGGTTCCTGGAATCAGGTAAACTTCCTTACAACTAAATCTGAATGTGGGGAACCAAATGGGGATAGCCATATAATCTCTTTTTTGTTTATATTTGTATTGATTCGCTGATTTATTGATCAACGAGGCTTGTTATGCAGAGAACCAATCTTCTCTATTATCTTTTTATTGTTCTCATGTGTGTTCTTTCATTCAATGTTGCAGTAAGCTTTTCAAAACTGGCGACGAGATCGAATCAGAGAAACTTGAAAAAGATGTACGTGCCTCCATATTAGAGATTGTCAGGAAAAGAGAAGAGAAGGTGATGACTGGAGGAGAAGACAGCTTTGGGAGTGATTTTCTTGGATTACTTGTGAAGGCTCATCATGATGCCAATGACAGCCAGAGGATTTCAGTGGATGATTTAATTGATGATTGCAAGACGTTTTACGTCGCTGGACAAGAAACTACTAATTCTTTGCTTGCTTGGACTGTCCTCCTTTTGGCACACCACACGGATTGGCAAGAGGAAGCAAGAAAAGAGGTCATACAAATGTTTGGCAAACAAACTCCAAACCCTGATGGCATTGCCAAACTGAAAACAGTAAGAAAGTCAAGAACTCAATCATTAGCTTGTTCTAAGTGGCAGAAACATGTACTCAATTAAGATTCAAAACTTTTGTTTTTTTTTTTTTTTTTTTTTTTTTTTTTTGGATGCAGATGAGTATGGTGATCAATGAGTGTCTAAGGTTATATTCCCCTGTTGGTGCTCTGTTAAGGAAAGCTGAAAGGGAAGTTAAACTAGGAAAGCTGATTGTTCCTGCTAATGTTGAGTTGATAATGTCATGCCTATCACTTCACCATGATCCTCTAATCTGGGGACAAGATGCGCAACTTTTCAAACCAGAGCGATTCGCAGAAGGGGTTGCTAAAGCGAGTAACAATAACGCAGGCGCTTTCCTACCCTTCGGAGTAGGACCTCGAACTTGTGTGGGATTGAACTTTGCGACCATTGAAGCAAAGATTGCGCTGTCGATGGTTCTACAACGCTACTCCTTCACCCTCTCCCCGGGCTATGTCCACTTGCCCTTTCAGCTATTAACAAATCGCCCACTCCGTGGAGTTCAAGTAATGCTACATTCACTTTGATAAGTATCCAGAACACAGACATCAATAACAATGCATCTGGTCATGAGGTGAATTGATAAACTCGCTGTATTATTAGTCAATTATCATTTCAACTTTTCCTAGCTGTTGTTGCCTCATGTTTGGCAGTATTGTTGGATAATACAAAAGTTTATTTCTTTTTGTTTGGTTTGGGAGAAAGAATCTTAAATCTTAAAGCATCCATCCAGAAAAAGGTAATATGTTAGAATATGCCAATATCATAGCCGTCTGATGGACCAATATAATATGAAAGCGATCATTTAACTGCTGCAATAGAAATACTGAAGAAACTGATCACGGGACATTTTCAGTTTGAGTGCATCATCCATAACAAATTAAGAAATGACAGAAACCTTAAACACAATATGTAATCGCAATTAATCCGAAACCAAAGATAATTCGGGTAACGTAATTTCATTAACATAAAATAGGGACAACAATTGATAAAGGAAGATTAACAGAAAGCAAGGATATAGAATACTCCAATTTTTGTTCATAAACATAATTATTATAATCTAATTAAGTCCAGCATTTTCCAACACAAGAGAAAGATCATGTGATAATAGAATAGAATGCCGTTTTTAGAGAGTGTCAAATTGTTAAGCATACGTTTTGTCGTTAGAACTGGATAAAAGCCCATATGCTATCATTTTAAACGTGAAGCCTAACACGAAGCCCAATTTGGCAATACAGGGATCGCTTTTAGGTCCATGTGTGTGACCATTGTGAATTTGTGATGTGAAATTTAAAAAATGAAGAAAAAATACATGTCATTGTCTAGGAATTCAAATCCTCTTTTGCTTATCTGTCTATACAGTTCAGTCTCCCATTTGGCAAAGTCTAAATTGAACTCTATCTCTATGCCTGTGCGTCAGCGCCATTATTGATGCTTGAGGAAGCTTGAGGTTTCACTCTATCTGTGGCGAACTTTCAAGCTTAACATATAAATAACATAAAGAGCAATGCTAGCAACCTTCTCTCTAACCTTCTCATTTGGATATTCTCCATTTTTTGCTTGACATGTGTCATTCTTCTTACACTTAAAACAATGTCATTAATATATTATACAAGCTAACTTTTGCTTTTCAAGTTTACCCTTATTATTAAATGTATTCAATTTATCCAAAAGAATTTCACAACTTTCTTACCATCTTATTAATTTTTTTCTAACGCCAATTATTTTTTTTAAAGAAAATATGTGCTTTTAAGAGGAAATGTCCGGTTTTTTATTTTATTTTAAAAACACAAAGGGTTTAGATAGAAAAAAAAAGTCCTTTGTGTTAAAAAAAAACGGACATTTCCTCTTTTTTTGAAAAAAAAAAGACATTTTCTTTAAAAAAATAATTGACGTTTAAAAAAAATTAATAAGATAGTAAGAAAGTTATGAAATTTTTTTGGATAAATTGAATACATTTAATAAGGGTAAACTTGAAAAGCAAAAGTTAACTTGTATAATATATTAATGATATTGTTTTAAGTGTAAAGAGAATGACACATGTCAAGCAAAAAAGAGAGAAGGTCCAAAGGAGAAGGTTAAAGAAAATGTTGCTAACATTTCCCATAACATAAATTAGGTTATTTATTTGATACTTGAGGAAGCTTAAGGTTCCACTTCATATGTGGCAAACTTTCAAACTTAACACGTAAACAACACAAATTAAATGACGTGAGAGCACATTTGGCCGTTCGGCCCAACATTTTCATAGGGGTCATCTTTATTTGTATCATGTGATGCCTAGGTCATAATATGTTTCACAAACGAGCCGCTTTCTCTGGTCTTCGGAAATTCACAAAAGCCACTTATTACAATCTTATCCATCCAAGACAGCTAATCACAGAAAGTGGTGGACATAATTTGCCATGCCTGCTAGTGCCAGCTGCTAGTAAGAAACAGATGATTATGAACTGTCTATCTCTCTCTCTCTCTCTCTCTCTCTCTCTATATAGAAAGTTGTAAAGATGAAAGGTTGTTCACTAGTACTTTCCACAGCAGAATTTTCATAGGGAAGCTATAGTCTCTCCGTTAAGTTGAGAAAAGTCATGAAAGAAAACGAAATGTGGTGATAAAGATAAAGTTTTGAAAGATTAGTAATAAGGTAATGTCATTGGTGACGAAGCCGGGAGATAATTCCAACATGAATTCACTAACCATGATGTATCAAAAGTCGACAAATGGCAGCTTAAGGTTTCAAGGAGAGTCACTTTACCATGATATTCATATTTGCCATCTGGATTTTAGTAAATGGCTGGACAGCTAAGTAACAATCAAAAGCTAACACAACCATGATTTAAAACTGGTTTTTTCTTTACTTTTGCTAAACACTCAGGAGCAAGAAAAGCTTTAAAAACTCAGTAGAGAAAGAGAAAGAGATAGAGATAGAGATAAGATAAGCAAAGAAAAAACGAGACCAAAAAAATGACTAGCTTGGGAGGCCTAATAGTCATTCTTTCTAGCTTTCTGTGTCTGCTCCTTGTCTTAGCTTTCATCAAGATCCTCCACAAACTATGGTGGACTCCGATTCGCATACAGAAGCTGATGGCTTTGCAGGGGATCAAAGGCCCTTCTTACAGATTCATCCATGGAAACACCAAAGAAATCTCCAACATGAAAAAGGAAGTCATGGGCAGGCCCCAACTTTTATCACACGACATACTTTCTGTAGTTCAACCTCACATTCACTCGTGGACCAAGATTTATGGTAACAAACAAAAACAAGCCATCTCAATTAGTTAACTATTTTTATTTAAATCTTAGTTCTAAACAAGATAAGTTTTGGTAATTTTTGCATGCAATTACAGGGAAGAATTATCTTCAATGGCATGGTTGTCGGGCTCAGTTGGTCATTACAGAACCTGAGTTGTGCAAAGAGATACTGAATAACAAAGACAGAGCTTATCAGAAAAGAGAGCCCACAAACATTGCAAAGAAGCTATTGGGAGATGGCCTTGTGGTGACAACCGAAGCTGAAAAATGGGCAAAACTGCGAAAGCTGGCCACCCATGCCTTCCATGGAGAGAGTTTAAAAGTAAGTTTTTTTAAAGTTACTGATACTTTGTTGCAAAGAGTATTATAGTAATAGCTGTGTCAACTATTTAAACACGAAAATAATAAATTGAAGGGAAAAGTCTGCTAATAGCATGTTGGTATTATTGTTTTACTAGAGTATGATTCCAGAAATGGTAGCTAGTGCCGAATCGATGCTAGAAAGGTGGACAGTTTATGAAGGAAAAGAGATTGAGGTGTATGAAGAGTTTAGATTGTTCACATCGGAAGTGATTTCCAGAACAGCATTTGGCAGCAGCTATGTAGAGGGACAAGACATTTTTGAGATATTGATGAAGTTAGGCTTCCTAATATTTAAAAATTTTCTCAAAGTCAGGGTTCCTGGAATCAGGTAAATTTTAATACTCCAATTGAAGAGAAGAAAATTATTTTGGAGAGTTACTTATGTTCTCATTTTTAGTCTTTCATTCAATGTTGCAGCAAGTTTTTCAAAACCAGCGATGAGATTGAATCAGAAAAACTTGAGAAAGGAATTCACGCCTCCATAATAGAGATGGTTAAGAAAAGAGAAAAGAAGACAATGGCTGGAGAAAAGGACGGCTTTGGGAGTGATTTTCTCGGATTACTTTTGAAGGCTAATCATGAAGCCAATGAGAACCAGAGGATTTCGGTGCAGGAGATAATTGATGAGTGCAAGACGTTTTACTTCGCCGGACAAGAAACCACTAATACTTTGCTTGCTTGGACTGTCTTTCTTCTGGCACTCCATACGGATTGGCAAGAGGAAGCAAGAAAGGAGGTGCTACAATTATTTGGCAAACAAACTCCAAATCTTGATGGCATTGGCAAACTGAAAACAGTAAGAAACTTGTCTAGGTGGTACAAACGTGTTCTCAATAAAGTTTGAGATCCTGATTCGGTTATCTATTTTTCATTTTGATGCAGATGAGTATGATCATCAATGAGGCTCTAAGGTTATATCCCCCTGCTGTTTCGGTTATAAGGAACGTTGAAAGGGAAGTTAGACTAGGAAAGCTAATTGTTCCTAGTAATCTTGATGTGGTTGTCTCAATCGTAGCAGTTCACCATGATCCTCAAATTTGGGGACAAGACGTGCAACTTTTCAAACCACAGAGATTCTCAGAAGGAGTTGCTAAAGCAACTAACAACAACATAGGCGCATTCTTACCCTTTTCAATGGGACCTCGAACTTGCGTGGGCTTGAACTTTGCAATCACTGAAGCGAAGATTGCTCTGTCAATGATTCTGCAACGCTATGCCTTCACCCTTTCCCCGGGTTATGTCCACTTGCCCTTACACTATCTTACAGTTCGGCCACAACATGGAGTTCAGGTAATGCTGCATTCACTTTGAAGTTGAACTGCCCAAGTAGACATAAGCCCATGTTGTGCCTTGCACTTTGAGACAAGACAGAGCTTATTTGTCAACTGTCCTTTCAACTCTAATTAAGAAGAAAAGGATGTTATTGAAGTCAATGCATTTCCCAACAACAATTGTACAATAAACAAAGCTTGAACTTCATGGAAAGCATGAATTTGATTGAAAAGGATGGTTTCCCAAGACATTGAAATTTAATGAGAATAATTGAAAGCTGTGATAGCCTATGTTAACCTTCTTAATGACTGTTGCATCAGCTTATGTTCACCTTCTTATCACACAGTCAGGATTCCTGGCGTCAGGTAACTTTCTTTTAGCTAAATCTCAACTTGGGAATCACATGGATACCCATTTTTATATGTGTTCATTCCACTTGAAGAGAAGAAGAATCCATCTAATTTGGGCGGGTCTGACCCAAAAAAATAGCCATTTTGGAATCTCCAAGGTCAGGGACGAGATACGGGGGTGACGAGCACTGCTATGAGAGAGAGAGAGAGAGAGAGAGAGAGAGATGAGGATGAGAGGAGGAGAGGTCTCGGGTTATTTATATGTTGATGAAAAAAACAAAAGGAGAGATGGGCTTCCAATTGGGCATGGGCTTAAAACTCTAATAAAACCAAATGCCCTATTTTGATGGGGATTGGACCTTAAAAAATACAACATTAATTAGATTTTGCATTATGAAATCACTGGGCATGTTTACGTATCAGTAATGGAGAAACTAAGGAATCAAAGAATTTAGGAATCGGATTAAAGAACTACTGAATTGGTATGCGAAGAATTATTCCTATTAAGCTGTTTACTAAACATATGAAATTAGCAATGGAATAAGATTGATTCCCATTGTTATTGTTTACTAATTTGCATGAATCCGAATCCAAATTAATTTTAGAATTATGGTAAAGTGATAAGGGTATTTTTGGAAGTTATTAAGAGAAAACATGAATGGGAATCGTATCGACTACTCCCCCATATCTGATTCCTAGTTTTGAGGGAATGTGATTACGGATTTTGAGGTGGGGCTCACTTATTTTTTCATTCCTGATTGAAAGTAAACGCAGAAGAAGTCAGGAATGGAAATCATTCCCTTTGCTTCCATACCCATTATTGATACGTAAACATGCCCTAAAGCAATCACTAATAAATAACAAATATATATATTATACTATTTGTTTAATATATATGTATTATGGTGGTATTTTATAATTTATACATCGTTTTATTTTGCATAATTTTGGTATAAATTAATAATTTATAAGACTAAATAATAAATAAATAAAAGAAATCGGCCTTGATACTCCCCTACCGCCTAGCCATTTTTCTTCATATACAAGTTGATGTGTTTTTAGATAAGGTCACAAGCTATGGTGGAAACCAAGAAGCATACAGAGGCTGATGGCTTTGCAGGGCATCAAAGGCCCTGCTTACAGACTTGTCCATGGAAACACCAAAGAAATCTTCAACATGCAAAATGAAGCCATTGGCAAGCCCCAAGGTTTATCACATGACATATTTTCCAGAGTTCAACCTCATTTTCACTCCTGGACCAAGTTATATGGTAAAGAAACTCCTCATTGACTATGGTTTTTGAGTCCTTGTTCTGAAATAACTTTGGTCATCTTTTGCAACAGGGAAGAATTTTCTTCAATGGTATGGTCTTCGACCTCAATTGATCATCACGGAACCTGAGTTGTGCAAGGAGATACTGAATGACAAAGATAGAGCTTATCCGAAAAGCAAGCCCAAAAGCTTTGTGAAGCAGCTACTGGGAGATGGACTTGTGACAACAACCAACACTGAAAAATGGGGAAAATGGAGAAAGGTGGCCAACTATGCTTTCCATGGAGAGAGCTTAAAAGTAAGTTCTTACAGTTGTTTATGAATGGTAGAAAAATAAGAAGGGCATAAATTGAAAGTAAATTTGTTAATGGCATGATGGTAGAGTATGACTCCGGCAACGATAGCTAGTGCTGAGATTATGCTTGAAAGGTGGAAAAATCAAGATGGCAAAGAGATTGAGATGTTTGAAGAATTTCGGTTGCTCACCTCAGAAGTGATTTCCAGGACAGCATTTGGCAGCAGCTACTTAGAAGGGGAGAAGATTTTTGAGATGCTGATGAAGTTATCCTTCTTATCTTTCAAAAACTCTTCGAAACTCAGGATTCCTGGTATCAGGTGAATTCTTTTTTCTTTTTCTTTTTTTCATTTTCCCCATCTGCTGCACATCAAAGAACTATTCACAAACGAATTCTTGGATTATTAGTTTAGTTCTCATGTTAAGTCTTTCATTGAATATTACAGTAAGTTTTATAAAACATGCGATGAGATCCAATCAGAGAATCTTGAGAAAGGAGTATATAACTCCATAATAGAGATTGTTAAGAAAATAGAAAAGAAGGCAATGGCTGGAGAAGAAGATGGCTTTGGGAGTGATTTTATTGGATTACAGAGGAAATCCAAGAAAATAAGGGTACTTAGAAACAGACTACAGAGGAAACGAAGAGAGAAGTGATGGGTAAATTTGGTGGACTAACACCAAAGAAATCTCCAACATGACAAAGGAATTGTTAAAGAGGGCTGCACAAAGTTTAGTATAGTCCAGTTAGTCACAAATTTTAATAATGTTGCAGCGTCATTGGTTGTTAGGGACGAAACTGGCATCTTCTTTGTGTCGTAATTGTTGATGCGAAAAAGTGGTTTGGCACCTTTCCAGCTCAACTTAGTGATGTTGGGCCTTCGGTATGCTTTAGGCTTCGGTAGAGCGCATGATTTGCAAGACAATGAACGCTCGGTAAGACCCTAGGGCACCGGGCTCTCCGATGCTTAAGTAAGTACGGATTTAGTAAGCTTAAGCTAACAGATCAATAGGCAGTATGCCGTAAGTGTTGATTACCTCAATTTGGGGATAGTAGTCCTCTTTTATAGGCCTTGGGAGGTGTGCATATTGTTTAGAATTTTGATGTGGGACTGTGGACGTCGATTGTGGGCACGCCACGTGTCCTAGAGAAGAGAGTTGCTCTAATCGCCGGATCTGTAGGTAGGGTGCCGAAGGCCCTCACAGCCAGGCTCAATTTTGTCCACGTGTCTGGTCCTTATAAGCTGTTCATTTTGGTATAAATAGGAGTCCCCCAAGTTCTCATTTGAGAGTTCTCGGATGGGGACTTGATTCCTTCTCTGGTAATTGAAGTGTCGTCCTACCGTTCATTAGTTGAACAGAAGGTGATGCCCATTCCCTATCCTTATGCGCTTCTTTTCTCGGAAACAGATACCGAGGAACTCAAAGGTCGCTACTTCGAGGCGAAATGATGGGACGGATTGATGCTTTGTCTTTTGTGCCCTGTGTGCCGTCAAAACATCCGCACAACAATCGACACGTGGCATGCCTTCTCATGCGGAGCGGCGCCATTAATGCACCGTTTGGCTTCTCAAGGCGTACCGTTTCAAACCCTCGCCTTATAAATAGGAGTGACTCCAGATGAGAAGTTCACTTTGCATTTGTTAGTGAAGCGAGAGCTCTGTCCAGGCGATTTCCGGTGAGAGTTAACGGTATTCAAGGCGATTTCTGACGTAGCTAACGACAACCAAGGTGATTTCCGATGACATCAATCGGCAACCCAAGCTACCTTCTTTTCTCCGCATTTTGAGGTAAGGTACCGTTCGATACTCATCTGAATACTTTTATCTTGTGCACATCCTTCCTTGGCATGAGTTAGACTAACCTTTGCGCAAGTGGGATTTTGTTCGGTAGTTTGATTGCCATAGGTAGCGATGTAGGTATCGGTAGGCTAGTATTTTGCATGTCCCTTAGTTTCCTTTATCTGTGTTTTGTAGATGTCTGATAGCGAGTCACCGTTCGAGAGTGAGCCCAATGCGTTCGATGGGGAGTCATCGGACGATCAGTGGGATATGAATAGTGAGGCCGTGAGCCTCGATGCCGAGGGTGGAGAAGACACTGATGTCGAAATAATCGGTGAGGAGGCAAGTTCCGTTCCTACCCACGGCATCGGGAAGGGACTGATGACAAGGCAGCCAGTACCGTTAACTGTGGTGTATAGAGACGGCAGTCATGCCGGTGTGCATTAGCACTGCGAGTTCCAGATGGGGGATACTCGGGTGCCGGATGAGCACACTAGTCATCAATCGAAGACCTTCACCTATGGTCGTGAAGAGGCAATTGCCGGACCTTCTTCTCAACCGAGGGTAACCATAGTCAATCGGGGAAATTCTAGAGTACCCATAGGTGTGCCGAAGGAGCACCTGTTCGGGGTAGATTATCTAGAACCCAATAAGATGACCGAACATGAGCTAGCCGAGATTCATGCCGAGTACCATATCTCGGATTCGGTAAAGATGAGGATCCCAGGTCCTATGGAATCTCTCAGCAAGCCAGATGACGGTGAAGTCGTCTTCTTCACTGACGTTCTTCTGCAGGGGGTTCAATTGCCGCTACAACCTGCCGTG